GATTGCATATGCGGTGGGAGACAACCGTCTTCACTGAATGGACAACGGTGATGATTATATATACGTTTACACTCCGGTTATATGCAGCATTGGCGAAAAGCACGGACTCGAACGGGCAGCTTCAGGTGCTCTTTTGCCGCGTTTTTGTGCAAACAAAGCACGGTGCTACGCCGGCGCGTCCCAGAGCCTTCGCGTCCCAGCCCGTGCGAAAGTGTTTCCGATGGAGGACTGTTGTATTCCGTAGTGATGGGTGTACACAAAATTACACAACACATTGGGAGTGATCGCTCCCGCACAGTCGGAGGTCGGAACACACTGCGAACTTCGGTGGCAGCTTTCGCGGCAGCTTTGCGCAAACGATGAAGAGTAGCTTCACAGCGTCGTACGCGCACATAAAACACTGCTCACAGTCAGATGTTCCAATCGGCTTGCTTCTTTCCACGCTGGAATACTTCCAGCCACGTTTGGCGAGTGCAGGAATCCCCCGAGCTCTCTGCCTTTTTGCCTTCGTTGTGAGTCGAAAATTAAAAAAAAAAAACAGCGAAAACATGTCCTAACCGGAAAAGGGCGATACGTCACGTCCGGAAGCTCGCTGATTGGCTCAAGCGCGTGCGTCGAGGGAGAAATTGGGTTCCGAGGCGTCGTCTCCCTGCGTCGTCCTCCTTGGCGCGCGACTTTTTTCAATACAAAAATAAGCAAAAAATTCCCCCCACGACGCGCGTCTTTCCGCTGTGTGAATGCGCCTTAAAGGGGCCCTGCAGTCATATTTAAGCGTCTACCTTTTTTGCGGTTTCCACGTCTCTTGGGGTTGGGGCAAGCCAGCGGGCACGGAGAGAGTAACTAAATATCAGCGCGTCATATTTTAACCGGACGACGCGGAAACCTCCTCCACCGACGAGGGCGACCCGCGGTACCGAAAGCGCGCAAAATGTGACGTCTTTGGTCCTGGGCTTGCCACTGGTCAAAGCCGCTAAGAGCTTTTTCTTAGTCGAGATACAAAATATAAGTGTCGCGAACTGTTTCAATTTTTATGAAAGTAGTTTTTGTTCACTATTTTAGATCAGAAAAGAAACAAATGCAGTTTAGAAAGTACGGAAACGAGAAATGACCCGTCGACATACCCGCCACCAAGCGACGGGAAAAAACGGCGCATACTAGAAAAGGCTAGTGGGATGAGGCTACGGCAAACGAGGAGCGTAGAAAGGTCCCGGATGTGCGCGGCGGCGCTGTGGTCGTATACCGGCTCAAGAATCCGACCGGTTCCGAGCGTTCCGAAGGCCTTCGGCGCGGGCCCTGCTGGCGATTTGGCCATTTGGCGGTGCGTCAGCGCGAAGTGGCTCCCGTTCTGAACTGATCTTTACCCCGTGTTTGCTGTCGTTTGTGGCCAATGAAATGTTATGCCAAATTAGTGTTTACTCGCGCTGCAAATGCAATGCGAGCTGCCCTGGCCGCCCGATTCGTATAGCCTATCCAACACGTGCTTTAGTGGCGCCCTCTCGAGCCGTCGACACGGGGTGCGGCAGCCGTGTGCGCTCGATGAGCTCACTACTCCTCCTCTAGTTCAAGGCCACTCAAACCAGGACCTACGACGTCATGAAGGAGGTTATTTTTTGCTTGTTTTTGTAATTCTAATTTGCCTATAACTTTTAAAATAAAGCGAAATTTGAGAAAAGAAAAGTTGGATTAGGTTACTACGTTCAGTATGCTCAGGTTCAGTGCAAATTAAAAACCAGTCAAAAAGTCATTGCAGGGCCCCTTTTAAAGGGGTAGGGAAACGAAATTTCAGCGCTCATTTTTTAGCTTTAAAGGAATCATGAAACGCTTTTTTATCTTTTTTCTGTTTAGCTTTCCTCCTCAACTCATAAATCGCGCATTGTACCAAACAGTTCAAGAAGTCAGAAAGGGGGGAGTCCCCTCTTGCTCGGAATCTCGCTTGTGTAGCCCGGACACAGCCATTGTCCCCCTAGAAGATTAGCCCGCCGCTCAAAATTCCGACTAGTTGCTTTCCCCACCCTGTTCACCCCGGAGCTGACAGTGCTGTGGAAGCTACGTGCTCGTTGGGCCAGCCACACATTTTCCACGTGATCACGCTCTCCCGCGCATACCGACCCGCAGATAATGAGGCCAGGTGATGAAAGGGAGGCGGCTGATTGGTCCGGCAAGCGCGTAGCTTCCACCGCAATGTCAGCTTAGGGGTAAAGGGATTGAGTGAGGTTCGGTGTCGTGTGACGTGCGCTTGGGCCCTGGTGACGCGCTGCGGGGGCCCGGTTATGGTGGCTAGTAGCCCGGTGACGCGCTGCGGGGTCCGCGGATGTATCACAGTGAAAATGCGGAGAGTTTACGAAGGGAAGGAGGTACGAAATAGTCCGCTATGTTTTGCAAATTTTTGTAGCGAAAGTCAGGCTTCTGACTTTCTACCTTTGTTCTTTTGGCCCACTGAACGATGTGCTATTAGTAAAATCCCAATATAAATTGATTTACTCCAGCCCAAAATTCGTTTCATGGGTCCTTTAATGTGTTGCATGCTGCACCCTAACCTCAAAAACACCAGTCTTCCGTTGAAAAGCAAAAGAAAACTAAATTTAAAGCTAAATAAACGATCTCTCAATGTGCACCTGGTGGATGCATGCAAAGCCTATTTGGGAGCTAGTCTAGCAACGTGGAATCTGCTACGTAGTCGTGACGTAGCAGATTCCTTCGGAGCAGCGCCACCCTTTGGCATTTCAACGTTTTCCTTCTTAGCTTTCCTCCTAGCTCAACTCACAAATCGCGCATTGTACCAAACGGTTCAAGAAGACGGAAAGAAAGGACTCTCCTCTTTCTCGGACCCTCGTTCGTGCAACCGGAAACAGCCATTCTCCCCCTAGAAGATTATCCCGTCGCTCAAAACTCGAACAAAAGTTGCTTTCCCCACCCCGTTCAGCCCTAAGTTGACGGTGTTGTGGAAGCTACGTGCTCCCTGGGCCAGCCGCACGCTCGTCACCCCACGGGTACTTCGAACGGCTCGGTTGTAACGCGCGCGCTGACGTTATTCGCTGACAACGCCACCAAGTGCAAAGCTCATAAGCACGCCTGCCTTGCTACTTCACGAACGCGGGGAATCTTCTCTTTCTGTTTTTGTTTGCGCCGGACATCCCATGACGCATCGCGCTCTCCGCTCGCTTCCAAACGGTGCGAGTGCACCGTTTGGAACGAAAAATATAGCCAACCGTTCAAAATACAAACGTGCGATTATCATTTACGGTTATTATCCGTCATGCTTGACTCATTTCCGAAAGAAATTTGAATATTTCAATTTTTGTTTCCGTACCCCTTTAAGAACTGCGTTCTAAAAACACTATGCATTGTTTTTGTGGTTCCCGAAGTGGCCGGATTTTAGGCAAGGGTAGGCAAATGTAGAATGATGGATTGCAACGTCCGTGCTGGTGCCCATGTCGTGGAAGTACATTCTCATGCGCTTGAAGAAAGATTATGCTGGCTTGGAAGTTCACGTGCTTGGCTGCAGGAGTACGGACAGCAGCTCTGTCATCGAAACCGAAACCATGCCGCTCCGCTCCGTGGTCAACTGGTTCCCAGCATGCAATGCGCGAAGTGTTGCATGGACTGGAGTGGTGATTTGTGCTAGTTGGTCATTCAACATGATAAAACTAGGGGTGTCGCGAACTTTTTTCGAACCAGATTTTTAGGTAGAACTTTCGGGGTTCGACTGGGTCGAACCGGTTCGACGAAGCTTCGACCTTTTCTTTCACCAGATTCGAACGGTTCGACTTTGTGGACATTGTGGCCAGACCTTGATACAAGCATGTCTAGGTTTGGAGAACTTTTTTTGTTTGCAATGGGTTATTTTATTTTATGAACAGTTGCAATTAAAAGAAATCAATTTTTATCACTGAAGAAGTTAATAACTTAATTTTTGTACTGAATTAACTGAAAGAACCAATCAAAGCTGCCCTTGATTCATCATGTAGCCATCACCATCCAATCCGAAGCCAACTGGTCAGCCTATCGCGCATGCGCACACGAGTCGAACCTCAATGCAAGGTTCGCCGAACTTTTCACTAAAAGTTCGAAAAAGTCGAACCTGGTCGAACTCGAACCGCGGCCGGTTCGGGACACCCCTAGATAAAACAGCGCACATAACTCGGACGAAGAGAAGAGGACAGTGCTCTTTCGTTCTACCTGTCCTTTTCTCTTCCTCTGTGTTCTGTGCTCTGTTTTATCATGTTGCATGTATGGATTTCTGAAAGTATCCTATTTGCCTCCCGGAAATTGCATAGACTCTAGCGCCAGTTGGACCTCTAGCGTACATAACTAAGTTCTCGTAGCAAAGCGCTTTGGATAAACAATAGTTCACACAGAAATAATAAAAGCACCGAAATAATCGAGGGACAGACACTCACAGTTCTTTCAACGAGCAACGACTTGTAAATAAATATAAATGTGTCGTTAATCGTTGAAAGAATTGCGGGTGTCTGTCGCTCGTTCATATCAGTATTTTTATTCGTCCTGTGTGAACTGAAGTACATCAGAAAAAAACGACATGTTGCGTCTTTTATACGAAGTAATTCTGTATTATTTAACGTATTCGCATAAAAGCATGTTTTCTAATAACAATCTAAACAAGAGTAACGCTGAAAACTGTAAACGAAAACATCAGGATCGCCATACTGCCCAACGTAACGTTCGTATCGCACTTCGCCCCCATGTGTAATAGAACCATTGAGATCAGTCAGATTAAGTCAGATCAGTGAATAAACCTATTTAAATTCCGTCCCTTCGTGACCTCTGGTGTCAAGCAACGCTGGCGCGCGCGATAGAGTCATCCTGGTGATATCCCACACTGCCTGGTGATAGTTAGGGGGAGAAAAATTGGTCTTAAAAGGGGCGGGAGGAATCACTTTTTTGTCTTTTTAGACTTAGGCTAGGTGGCGCAAGCTACCACCCATTACGAAGGGAATAGCCATTAACATCCATCCATTCATTTATCGTTGATACGCCGCGCGAAGTAGTTTTTTACGAGATTTGGTTGTCGGACTCAGAAACGATGCTCTTGGCGTTTAAAACGTATGCGTCTTGACGAGCTAACATATATATAATTAAAGAAAGAAATTAGTAATGCTCCGCGTGAAGCCGTACTTGTTTTACTGCGGTTCTTGAGATGAAAACGAGGAGGCGGGCCGGGGGTGGCCGGCTACGGCCGGCTTGCCGCGCATAGTTTCGTTTTTCGTGATGAACCCGGCCACAACGGTGTGCTGTTGCCAAAGCAGCCAAAGTCTGACAGCGTTGTCGGGTCCTCGGAAAGTGGCGCCTGCTGCATACTTCTCCGATGGAATCGGGACAACAGAGTTTTCGAACGTAAGTACGATTAGTTTTCGGTGACACCACGAAAGCACATGAAGGCGCTCGCTTTCGTGGGGGCGGTCACTGCGCCGCGTGACACAATGTTTTGCTTAGCGCTGTCGAAGCGCTTGGCATTCGGGAATATTAGCACGATTTACACGGTCGGGTATCGCTAGTGTCTCGTATCTGGTTGTGTGCGCTGGAGTCGTTGCCGTGCCGTTCGATATAAGCGAGAACAGACTTGTAATAACTGGGGCTCTTTCGAGCCTGCTGTGTTTTACAGCTCATGACTGGTCGCCAACTTGCTAGCTAGAGGGGGTACACTGGTTTTGGAAGAGCGAAAATTGAAGAAAGCATTGAAATAATTCGAAGTCAGAACGCAAGCGAGCTGGTGAAGCACACCACCATCTCAAGACCAGCAAAGCACTGCACTGGCTACATTGCTCATCTACAGGAAGTGACTCGTCGCAGCTTTGAAATGGCTGACCAACTACACGCTGTATATATATCCACACAACCCCAATTAACCAGCGCAGCATACAGCTGTCAGTTACTTCCACAGCAGTCTTCTTCATCTTCCATTCATTTTTTTTAAAATTCTTTTTCCTCTTGTCGTATTTTAATGAATACATGCCCTAATGGCAGGCACACACAGGCCAATACATGCGACTCAAGTCAGCTACAAATTACCATTAGATCCAATTGGAATTCCAACTGGTTTAAATTGGAATCGATTGGGTTCCAATAGACCGATCTCATCAGGAGTTGCACGAGGCAACCGCTGTCGCGGTGCATGAAACCCGAAGTTTTCCCTAGTTTTCCGGCCGCATCGTTTGAAAGTTTTCGGGTTAGCACGAGACTTTTAGCCGGGTGTTTACTCGTGGTTTTCAATCGGTGGCTTCACCTGTTGTATGCCACGGAGCTATAGCAATAGCGTGAGGCAAAAAGGCCTCGGATCAGGCACGAAGCCAGGGGGGGGGGGGCTGGCCCATGGGGCTTGGGCTCCCCCCCCCCCCCCCCCCCCCTCGAAATCTTTCATTTTTGCTGGGACATCCTCTCCCCCCTCCCCCTCATACAGCATTTCGTCATGGGCGGGCCCCCCTGAAACAAAATCCTGGCTACGTGCCTGCCTCGTATATTATATCTTCCCAAAAGAAAGAAGCATGGCAAAGACTGTTAAACAGAGCCGGACAGAGCTGCAGAAAAAATAGTGTTTCGCGATTTGCTTCATAATTTATACCCATCCTATGGCATGTCAGCTGAAATGTGTAAGATTACAGGGGACGAGACATAGAGTGCTCCGAAGTGTTCCATATGTTGGAATCTCCCTGATCATACGCTCCGTAGCAAGCTATCCCTTAGTTTATCTCAAATAGGACCTCCGCACTTCTTTGCGCGGTGGCCGTTTTTAATACACTTTTTGCTCAATGTATTTTGGTGGTTATAACTGTTATTGCGACGACATGTTTCAAGCACAGCTGTGCTTCAAAAGAGGACAACCACTTAAACAAAGAGCAGCGATTCGCAATGTGCATCACTTGAAATAAATAAACTTTTTTGAGAAGCAGCCTTCGCTTTTTTTTTCATACAGACGTGAAAACGCTATATAATGCAATTTAGAAGTGCAAAACTTGCCGCCAAAAATGTAGCAAACGAACCTCTACCATTTTGTAGTGGTCTATTGGGCTGGCGTTACTGGTCCAATCAAGACCGCAGAGGTCTGCAGAAAAGAGCTTTCCCCCTCAGGCAACTGTTACATTCGGAACTTGCGCAAACAAAATAAAACCAAATACGCTGGCTGTCAACCAGAATGAAACAACTTTTAGAAAACTATAGCTCACGGAGAAAGTCTATTTAGCTCCTCTTACTTCATTGTTGATTAACTTGACAAGTTCGAGCACTACCCAACTCAGTTTTTCACAAACACATTTGATGCTGTTCCGCGGTGCTACACCGAGCCGATGGTCCCTCGAATTTTCTTGTTCTTTGCCATTGCACTAGATGTTCACTTGTTTCCAAGTTAATTGAGACGTCCTAGCAGCTGGAATGCTAGAGTAGTGGCGGCGGCGTTCTTTCCCTGCGGCCACAGTGGGACCACTGCGTGAATGGCAGTGGGCTCACGCATTGACGAAGGAGCAGACAAAGAGATTCTAAAGCGGTAAGACAACTGGAACTGCTTTTCTGCGCTTGCTGACAAACTAAGGCATCATAAACAACACAATCTTGTGAAGTACAGACATGCAGAGGAATCAAGCTGATACCGGGGCGTCTTAAACGGTAATCTACGATGATGTACGCGCAGCCCTATGTAGCCGGGCAGCTGTAAAGGGATGACAAGTAGGTGGCAGCAACACCTCTTCCGGAATGCACGCGCCTGCGCAGTTTGCTTGGTAACATCGGTCTATTGGAAACACTGGCCAATGGGTCTCGCCAATTGGGATTTTCTTTAGTTGAAACCTGAATGGCTTTCAAATAGGTTTCATTGGTTCCCATTGGCAGTGACCAATTGGTTGTCCGAAAACCGAACTGGTACCAATGGGAAATTCCACTTGGAATCCAGTGCAAATTTTCAACTGGGAAAGTTTTTTTTTTTTAATTGTGACTGGCAAAAAAAATTTTGTTCTTTTTTTTTTTTGTGTGTGGAAAGCTTTGTGTCTAGATGAAACTGTGCCCTGGGCAATATTTTCCAGGCATTGCAAAGAGCTTAAATTGGTTTCAGATAGCATTGACCTCAAGCACAGTTGACGAATGTTGCAATATTAATGAAGATTTGTTGAACCCTGGCAGAATGACTGCATTGACTTTCTCAAAACTACCGCCACTTCTTAGCACTAAACAAAATTTTTAGCTCGGCTGCGACAATAAAAAAAAAAAAAGGAGTTTGTGAACGAAGTTGGCACTGCCCGTGTTGCTCCACTCGACGTCCGCAACATAAGTTTTTGCCGCCGCCAACATCGAAGTTTTAGCTACTGCGATGAACCTAAGTCGAAAGCCACGTTCGATTAAATAGAACGTGGCATTCTACAAAAAAAGACTAGGGATGTCGCGAACCACCCGAGGTTCGATTTTGAAAGGTTTCGATATTTGCGAAGCGAACGGAGCTTCGATTTCGAAAAATTTCTATATTTTTGTACCAACCGAGGTTCGAATTAGAAAAATTCGCACCTTTCGATCACAGTGGAGTTTCGAATTCGAAGAGTTCGAAGCTTTCACGGTTTCTAAAATTTCGGATTCGAATATTTCAAATATTTTTTTACTTCAGGTTTGATAAATTCGAAGATTTCGAAATTCTTTGGAAATGAAATTCGAAAACTTCGAACGCTTCGAATTTTCATAGACATGAAGTTCGAAGATTTTGAATTTCTTTCTGCATAAAGTTTGAAAAGTTCAAAGGTTTCGATTCTCTTTTAACGCTAAATTCGGAAAAAAAAACAAAAAAACTTTGAAGATTTTGAATTTCTTTTTAGTCCAAGTTTTCAAAGTTCGAAATCCGGTTTTCAAGTTCCTCCACAGTTTGTTTCAAATAACGTTTTCACGACTCACTGGTTTTTACAAAATCAAGTTTAGAAAAGTTAGGGTGTGCTATCTAGATTCTGCGAAGTTGGTCAGGCAATTAAATGAGACGACGAGTGTCCCGGATGTGCTGGAATATTTGCCAGTGCAGATTGACGTGTGACCATAGATGCATCACGCAGTAGTGATCACACGAACGCACTGTTTTACGAGGCTCATCCAATTCGAAACGGCCACGGGCGAGCAGGAAGTTGAGGCTCAGGAAAACCTTGAAGAGACCTGGCAAACTACCTGGCCACCCCTTGCACGCTGGTAGTAATCTGATTGAATGCCGCCCGGGTGACGCTGGCATATAGTAAGTTAAGTTTGTAATTGTCCTAGAGGTTTATTTTCTGGGACGGAGGAATCGTCGCGCAAAAAGCCGACACAACTCGAGGTCGAGGAGCGTTCTACCATACAAGTGGCTTCGGAAGAGGAAAAACGGGGGGGAAAGAGGGTAGCGGGGGTGGGGGGGGGCTTCAGTTCCCTTCCCCCCCTTCCAGGTATTTCGGACTGTTAAAGAAAAAAATACGGGGAAAGAGGGCGTGGTCGAGCTTATTTTAATCTGAAATTATTTATCCATATGTATAGCTACTGTCGCTCTTCACTTCATAAAAGATTGCGTAGATGGTCATTGTTAGAAACTCGTTGTCAGAAAGCACTACTCGTCACATGCTTAGTGGTTCGGAAGTTCAAAGCTATGTCTTTTCAACTTAAATACCTGCGTCAAAAGTAAAAAATAAAAAAATAAATGCGAGGATAAAAAGCTGGAGAAAAAAAACTATCAAGAATGCGCCGGAAGTGTTGTATTCTTGCATATTCAGAGGTTCAGAACTTCGAAACAAGTTTCTTTTACCAAAATGTGTACAGGCTAAAAGAAACACGTCCCAGGAACGTGAAGCGAAAAAAAAATGTCTTAATGACGTGCTGAACTTGAACACAATTAGAAATCTTCTCCAATGAGTTAATTTATTCCTTAACGTGAAAAAGCAATAAATACATTATTTTGTATTCTTCACATGGCAATGATATGTACTGTCTGTGGTGATAATTTAAATGCGATACCTCAAACAACTTAGACGAAAATAAATATCAAGTTTAGGGCGTAATTGCATGTAGATACATGTTTAAACATTTTTTCGACACTCACGTCGAATAACAATAATCACTTCCTAAGACTGCACTTACCTAGGATATACATAGGTCATTCTTAAAAAAGTATAACATCTCTACCATAAATAGCTTTGGCTACAGCGTGCTTCAAATCTAACACAAACGATAATCGTCAAAAACTAGTCGTCCTTCCTCGCCCCTTCGGGAATTAATTTCTTTAAAACTAAGCATGCCAGAACATTTAAACAAACGGCATTGTCTTTTGTAAGGAACGCAGCACTGCGTGTAAAAGTTCGAAAAAAAGAAATTATGAATTTATCTCACTACTTGAATTCAAATGAAATCGTCCGCCGGTCTTTCGAAGTTCGACGAACATAGAACTTTCACCCTAAAAGTTTGAAGTTCGTCGACCTCCTGACTTTTCAGGATTCGAAAGTTCCAAACTTTTCGAATTCTCTTGATAAATAAGTTCGAAATTCATCGAATTTTTTGGTCAGTTAAGTTTGGAAGTTCGACAAGCATCGAACTTCGCAGCACAATAAGTTCGAAAAGGATCAAATTTTTTAGCGTAATAAGTTTGACGGTTCGAAAAGCGTCGAACTTCTTAGCTTAACAAGTTCGAAAATTCGACTTCTGTCGAATTTTTACGATCTAGACAATTCGAAAAATCGAAATCTTTTCGAACCTTTTGAACCGCTTGATTCGATCATCGAAACTTCGATTCGAAAAAAGTTTGTGGCATCCCTTAAGAAAGACAGCAAAATCCACTCACTGTGAGTGTGTCTGTTTACTCAACACATTTGAGACGGTGGTGTGTATGACCCTCTTGTTTCCTTCTCTCAAGGTTTTAGTTCTTAATTATGAAAGAAAGCATGCTTGGCAATGCTACACATGCAGTTAGATTTGCCACATCTAGGACCGGGCTTTTATTTTTGCTGTTTCCAAATGTGCTTCACTTAGTTGTTGTTTTTTTTTTTGTATTTTTAAGATACATTTTTTTTATCAACATAGCTTTTCCAAGAGTACATGGATGGATCTGAACTAGCTCTCAATTATTCTTACAGATTGATAGCTCGCAAAACTCAGACTGCATCAAGAGCTTGCATATATGCCATTTATCAGGTTTTCTAATTGGCATGAACTAGAATGACTTGTATAACCTGTAAAAGAAGTACATATTAACACAACATGGTGCTAAAATTTTAAATGCACTTGCACATCATGTCATGATCACACAATGGCCATTCCTAATTGTTCTTTGCCAAGAAAAACAAATTAGGTGGTACAAAATATATATTTTGCAGAATGGCAGAAGTGCACAGCAGAAAGGTCTTTCACAATGGCTCCTGGATGTCAGTGCAAGCTATATAACAAACAGTTTTGTTGGACTCTACCTTGATTGCTCGTAAAATATACTTTTTGCCATGCTTTTCTTAGGGGTGCTGCAATTCTTTTAGATCGCAAAGTAGCTAGGAGACAACGAGCTTACAATTGTATGCACAGAAAAGACTGGTTGCAGAAAATGGGTCACTTTTGTGGTTGATGAGTGGTACACTAATTGGGATAGAGCACTCTCAAAAAGTTGCACATATGTTTAGCATTAGGTTTTCTGAAGTACTTTCCTCAAAATCAGGCTCTGTTTTTTTTTTAAATGCAATTTCGATGGTGTGAAAGAAAAATTTTTCTTTAGATGCTTAGAGGTTTCTACGTCCTTCCTTTTGCATCATTACTTCATGCCTACATTTTTCATAAGTGTGTCCCGGTAATATGGACTGGATATGTAAATTTCATTGATCTGGAACAAAACACATTTCTGCAGGATGAGCTCCAAGAACACCTTATCCTTCGTCTTCCTTTGGATCCAAGACCCGCGCAACACCAACGGCACCTACACATCTGCGTGTCGCCAGTTCTTTGAGTCGCTCGAATGCACGTCCGCCGCCCGAATACACGTTTCGGAACCTTCCCCAAAACTCAGCAATGACGCCTACGAAGACCCAGTGTACCAAGCCGTCTGCACAGTCAGCTTCGGCGACGGTCCCCTGCCCGCCAAACTAGAAGACCTTTACGGAGTTATTGCACTTCGATGGTGCTTGGAAGCCAGGAAGGACACATTCCGCGGTCGCCTCCAGTGGCTTGCACCAGACCGCGTGTCGTGTCGCAGCTGGGTGTCCTACGAAAACAACATACAGCTTGCGTCGGTGTCGTTTGGCACCTTCGTTGGTCTGGACGTCTTCGCCGAGACGAGCCTGATCAGCTCACAGTCGAACGCTCCAGGCTACTCCACGAGCTGCATCTTCAAGCATGACGAGAAGACGCTTCACGTCGTGCTGCGTTTGCGGCATACTCCCTCCTGCACACGGCTGGAAGACACGTACCGACTCGAGGTCCCCTACAGCAGCGTTGTTCGCGTCGTCGTGAATGACAGCGAGGGGCTTGCAACCACGACCGACGTCTTTCTACACGTGCGGACCCTACCATTGCTCTATGTGAGGGTGGAGCCAACGAAGTCGGCTGTGGCTCAGCCGACCAACCCGGACCACTTCATCTTCAACAGGGCTCTCGAGCTGGGCTGCCGCTGCCTGCCTCTCTTTGCGTGCTACGACTTCAGGGGCAGCTCCGTCGTCAAACTGAGTGTGCGCAACAAGTTCAAGGCGAGGCAGATCGTGAGACGGCTACGTCAGCGATGCGACAAGGGCACCGAGTTCTTCTTCTCGCCGATGGAGACGTGCGACGTTCACTGCAAGTTGGATGCGGTCCGACGCTACTTCCATGCGAAGTTCGCCCCCCAGCTTCGCTACTCGTGCTGCTATGCCCTGAACGCGCTCCTCTACCCGAGCAACGACGTCTTTGCTCAGATGGCGCTGCTAAAGGGAGGTGCGTTGACGCAGCTTCAGAACAACCTGATCGAGTTTGCGCTCGACAACGAGGCGGCGCTCGAGCAGGCGTTCTTTCGCCTTCGCTCTGCCATCGAGGAACGCAATGTTGTCACCGTGGTGACCGCCATACCGGAGCTGTTCCACAAGTTTCGCGGAGGCTTCGTCGTGCCGAGGGTTCCGCCGGGGTCCTGCATGGTGCGGCGGATCTTTGTGATGCCTTCGGGCCTCGTCTTCCTCCCGCCCATCGTGCACCGCGACAACAGGGTGCTCCGCCGGTTCGACTCCGAGTACGCGCTCCGCGTGGCGTTCCGAGACGATAACATGCAGCACCTCTCGCACTCCCTCGCGTTCCATCAGCAGAAGGATGAGATGTTGGAGAGGATCGTTGCAAAGTTTCTCCGGGACGGAATCCAGTTGGGTGACCGCAAGTTCATGTTCCTGGCAACGTCTTGCAGCCAGCTTCGGGACCATGGTGTCTGGCTCTATGCTAGGGTAAGTTGTTTCCTCATGCTTTTTTTTAAAATTTTTTTATCATCGTTTGTCTTCTACTAAATCGAACCTCCCGAGGAGTTATTTGCATGCATTCGTTGTGGTAAATTTCACAGTATCCTGAAAGATGGCCCGGCCCACCCCTGCAAGATAGTTCACCCCAATCTTTTGTGCGAGTTTCTATTAATGCAAGAGCACAAAAGTCAATCAATCAATCAGTGTTTATTTCAGCTTAAAACACAAACTGAGCGTGGCGAGAAAGAAGCAGTGTCGTCCACTGCTTGACGAGCCTCTCCACCCTTACAAGTCAGCAGTGTAAATGCGGTAAAAATAAAATGTAAAGAAAATGAAAAGTACAGACAAAATGAGAAGTACAAATTATAGAAAAACATTCCTAAGGATAGAACAAGACATATCACTCAAGTGATCACATAGAGGCATATTCAAAAACTTGGCTAAGATATACCGTAACATTGTAAAGCCATAGATCGTTTTACATCTAGGTAAAACAAAGGTGTATTTTTCCCTGGTTACATAAGGTGTATTGTGGGGCACAGTAGAAACAATACGTGAAAGAAAATTATGGTTTTTTGCTATTATAGTTTTGTAATATTGCCAATTTATATTCAAATAAATTATATACAGGCACAATTTTAAACTGCAAGTAGGCCTGCCTGGTTGGCAAACTATATGGAGCTTTTGTAATAGTATGTAACACTTCCTTTTGCAAGATCAGAAGCTTCTGAATATTGGATACTGTGGTATTACCCCAGACAAGGAAACAGTAGCTTAAATACGAATAAAAAAAGCGTAATACAAAGTAAGTTTAGTTTTTTCAGGTTGAACATGCTTATTACGTGGGGTAATTCCAACAACCTTAGAAAGGGCAAGACAAACCTTGTTTATGTGGGCGTCCCATGCCATTGTTGCAGTAAAACTTATATTCAGAGATCTAAGCATATCTACGTACTTGATGGCGGTATCACTCAAAACAAAAGGTGGTGGGTGCATTACAAGTTTTTCTTTAGGACGAAATATTACAGCTTTAGTTTTCTCTTTGTTAATTTTCAATGAGTTAACTAATGACCACCGTGCTAATAATGTCAATACTTAGTTAGCAGTGCCATTTAGTTGTTCAGCATCGGAGGAGGAAAAGAAAAAGCTTGTATCGTCAGTGTAAATAACACTGACGATAGCCCATTTGTAGAAATTGCACTACTTTTTATGCCGCAGCCTCCCTTATTGAAACCAGAAAACAGTTATATGTTATTTCGAGACTTTCCTTGTAACTTTTCCTCAAAGTGAAGTACCCATTCTGTTTGCGCTGAGTTTGGGGTATTCGGCCCGAAATTCCCGGGCAAGCCCTGCAAAAGTAAAAGAACTCCGGTAGGTTTCAGTCGTGGCAGAGACATCTACAATGTTGGATGCTGTTCAGGAGACTTGTAAATGCAAAAAGTGCATTTACAGTTTCCTGAGCATCGTGCACCAACTAGGTCAGCAACAAGTTTTGCTAAACATTGTTGCGTGCGCACATGTGTCATTTTCTAAGGACACTCACGGATGCTCGGCGGAGTCGATCCGCCGCTGGATGGGGGACTTCAGCAACATTCCCAGCGTTGCCAAGAAGATGGCCCGGATGGGACAGTGCTTCTCCTCGACGGAGGAGTCTGTCAAGGTGCCCCTGGACGGAAAGGCAGTGGAGGACAGACCGGACATTGTTGGAGGGAAGCACCCCCGTTCTGGCAGGCCATTTATCTTCTCGGATGGCATCGGGATGATCTCCCAGCCGCTCTTGGAGAAGGTGATTTGATTCACAGTGTCTTTAGTAAGCCTTAGGCCGCGGTCGCACTTCTAATACATCGTCCGAAAGCGAGTCTGCAGAGTCAGAGGTGTGTCTGTTACTTGTATGACTGCCCTGTCGCATTGATCGTACAAAACCACTGTTTGAAGCGTACGTATGTAAACAGCATGCGTGTTTCGATCATGCCCGAGACATGTCCACAGGTGGTTCTGTCATTGTGTCCGTGGCGAACACTGTCTTTTGTATAATTTATGGTCTGTGTGACTGCGGCTTTAGGATACGACCTCATACCTGGGACTTCCGCTGTGGTACGAGGTACTTGCATTGTGGTACCACTTGTGCTATGCTCCAGACTTGCACCGCTCCAGACTTACAACCTTAAAGCAGTAATAACTTCATTATTACTGCTTTATGGTTGGTCAGATGCAGGGCCAGTGGTTTTTCTAGCGGATCAGCTTGAATCCGCTAGAAGCCTCGGGAACGCATCTCCTTAGCTTAAGTCAACGGTCCATGTCTCAAAGAGAATGTGTGGTATGGAACGTGGTTATATATGCATTTGAGCATTTAACCGCAGCGCCCTCTCGTCTATAAATGTTGAGCCAATGCATGCAAAGTTCAACGCAATTATATATGCATTTGACCACAGCGCCCCCTCCTGTATAGACGTTGAGCGGCTACATGCAACGTCTCATCCATGACAGAAACCCCAGCTCATGAGTTACTACAACATCTGGGAGACCCCTACTCGTCCCGCAGTCGTGGCCGAGTGGTTAAAGCGATGGACTAGAAATCCAATGGGGTGTCCCCGCACAAGTTTGAATCCTGTCGACTGTGCAAACATTTTTTCTTTTTATGTGAGCCCGAACGCCGGCCGGACGGACGGACGGACGGACGGGCAAGGCTAGACCCTAAGGAGCTTCTCCCCTAAAAGTGACGAAATTATAATTTTTATACATCAAATAAATCAGTTTTATTTATTAAGTATATCCAATATAAATCAGATGTATATATTATTTTAGTCGCTTTACCAAAAAAGGTAATTTGTTTTTTGCTAGTCTTTATGAACACTGGAAACAGGTTCTTCAATCCCCGCAATCACTGAAAACAGTAAAAGGAGGATTCACTATACATTTAATTATACCGTAAGGTGCAGATTAATTCCAAACTGTTCTCTTGATATAAACCACGCCATACATACTAAAACAAAAAGAGCTAGATTTATTTGATGTCGTATTCCAGCAAAACTAAATAAGAATATCTAGTATATATGAAAAGGCAGAGGAAACAGCTCCTTCCCAACAAATTGTTTTCTATCAGCTTCGTGCACACCGTGCCGCTGTTGCCTTTGTTTCCGAGTCCAGTTCTAAACAAAGTATTAACGCTCTCTCAGCCGCATTAAAAGTGAAAAGCAAAAACACAATATTCAACAATGTAAATGGAGGGTCATTGAACACGAGCACAGTTCGAGGGTTGTTTAACGACCACGACTGTCTTTCGGTTTTAAATTGCGCAAGGTGACTGCATAATTTCATGAAGTGGCAGGCTCGTGTAGGACAGAACGTATATACTCATACTGACCGATGTAAGATCAACCTTACATGTACAATTAGATCTCTCTGTGCCTGTCGCTCTCAGTCAATCCCTTTGTCGGTCTGTGTGTGTGTGCACATGCATACAGATGTTCGTTTGTTTCCCTCGCATTCTGACATGCCTGTATAAGATGCCACGTAACTAAAGAAAGGAGTGGAAGATAGAAACAAAGCTCACCTCTCCGATTAGCACAGAAGGACACTGCATTTTGCTCATGTTCAGTCATGTAGTTCTTATTTGCCCGATTTTTTTTAAATTAAAGACAAAATAAATTAAATGGATGGCATCAAATTACAGGCAAGCAATGATAACATATTTATAGTATTAGCTTTGCAGGAAATTATTTTAGTGTAAAAGCTGTTCTTGTGGAAAGTCATCACGGTGAAATGAATGTTCTTGAAATCACGATTTAAAACATCTTGATTTTAATTTTCCATTCTGAACGGATTCATCTCGTGGTAGATTAACTTCAAGATAACAATGACTCATTGAGTTTGCAAAAAAGTACAGTGGTTGCGCCCTCTAGAAGTCTGGAATGTTTCGTCGGATGCCAGCCTGCAGTGTGATTGATACAAGGTGTTAAATTTATTTCCTGGGGCATATAAGAAGTGGAGAACAGCTAAATGACCTTCTTAGGTCTACCCCAGCCTTCATATAACGTCACCTTCAATGTATCGGCTCGAAGAACCAAAGTTCTGTTCGTGCTCACTTCCGCTGCCATAGCTTCGCATGCGAAAAGGTGCCGCGGGCTGCTAAATTCGTCTCACTGTCGAACACCAGCTCCTCCGCTAGTGGTGCTATTCGCGTTTTTCAAAGCGCCCCCTATAGTTCCCGCACGGAGTGTGTAGTGATAGTGATCTTTACTTTAGATCAGGAGATAGCCTCTTGAGCTAAAGAAAACGAAGCTAACTAGTCTGATGACTGACGAAGAGCCTACCAGACTTCATATTTTTCAACAAGTTGTTTTAACTCTGTTTTTGTCTGTTGAAGACTTAAAGGCCAGTATTGTTTTGGGCCTTGCACAGTACTACATCAAGAAAAAAAACAAAAAAACGCTGAGGCGGTTTTTGAATGGGAGTCTCGTTGAAGTCTCAAGAGTGGCAGGTGACCTTTTGCAAAGAGATTGATGAAGCTAGTTGTCTTAGGAAAGCATTGGCTGCTACAGTCTTCCAGGAGACATTTTTTCGTGTTCCACAGCACGCAGTTGCAAATAGATGAACTTGCTTGTATTTCAGCACATATACTTTCATTCTGAAAGTCTGGTTCTGTTAATTTGTCATCATTATTATTATGTAAAGGTGGGAAGAGGCTATCATATATTCTCATAGGATGTTTGTTTTGTATACGAACAAGGCCTGGCACCTGCATTTCCTCAAACCATACATATATCTGAAGCTCTGTGTTTGTGAAGTTGTGTTTCTATTGGAAGATTCGGAGGGTGTTCCTCGGAACCCATTATTTGCTGAAGATTTTGGAGATTTAGAGCTCTTGCTTGCGTCGACCCAAACTTCTGAGCTGGCATTTTGATGTTTTGTTCTCTAAGCTGGCAAATGTAGCTCACAGCTATTCGACCCCGAGGTAGGCCACATAGTTTTCCAGGTTGCAGCCTCCGGAACCACTGGAACTACAATTTCGTAAGCCACTCTGTTAAGTGGCACCCTCCTGTCTAGTGTATCCCTGCTTCGTTCAGTGGGTAATGGGCTCCCTGGACTTGACAGCTTTTGCACCAACACCTGATTCAATCCCATACGATTCAATCAGGTCTGCAAAAAGCTGGAGATGGCACAGATTCCATCAGCGATCCAGATCCGCTACGCGGGCTACAAGGGCATGCTGTGCGTGAACCCACTGTTGCCAGGAGACAAGCTGGTCCTGCGGGAGAGCATGCGCAAGTTCACCTGTTCCAGCTCAGACAGCCTGGAAGTCATCAAGGTCTCCGCACCACGTAAGGTCTTGGGCGGGGAGATCCATGTCCCCTTCATAGACCGTTTCATCCTCCGTCGCATGGGCACTAGTACCATCTTGGAATCACATGTCGCAACTGCCATAAGGTGGCTTCAACTCGTTGCTCCGTTCGTCCCTCGGCGCCTTGGCAAATGCGTTGTTTCCATGCATTTTGGTCGTGTTTTGCCGTGTTTGTTGCCTTACCCTGTAAAGCTTTGTCTGATGCTCGTCTTTACTATCTAATTACATTATCTGCCCAACTTCTGCAGTTAATTTTGTAACATGTTTTGACTATTTTTCTTGTCGGCGTACCAGGTACATGTGTGGAGGCTAGAGGAAGTCATCGTTATAACTTATGCACATTGATTATGTAGGGGTTGAGAGGTCAGTCATGTATGACAACTCATGTAAGCTCAGGGATAGTGGCGGAATCCTTAAAGGAGCGGTGCAACGATATTCAGTTGGAATGTTTTTCACTTTACACAAGCTTACTGGCACAAGTGGGACTCAAATATACTCGCACGCAATGCCCCACTGGCCAAGAAACTCCTTTGCTCCGGTGTAATTTCAAGGATAAGAGCGATCATCTTCATTCAATCTCTCTGTTGCAAATTTGATGACGTAATGTAAGGATCGCAGTTCACCCCAATGACGATATTTGAATGCGGGTCATAGATTGGACCCGAGCATTGCGTGAGCACTCGGTTTAGGCTCGTGATAGTTACTAGCTCGAGAAGCATTCGGGTAGTGGCCCATGTCCAATCACTGCAACGACGACAATAGCCAAGCCATAACAATGTCTGGAACTCAGCGCGTGTCCTGTGCTTTGCCAACACCAGCGCGTGGCTTTGATCAACATTGGCGGCATATAATCGGCTCCAGATCAAGTGGCCGCTTGTTCTGGCTGCGAGTTGAGGGGGTGAACGCTGCTCGTTTTTCTTTTCTTTTTTTCTAGGACTTCTATCGCGTGGGGTGAAAAACGAACGCGTGTTTCTTAGGTCATTAACGTCAGGGATCCGTTCTAAGCGGTATTTGCGCAAGGTACAAAAATTGTTGCATCGCCCCTTTAAACAAGTATTGCAAGGTATATTTATGGTCATGCATTTAGGATCTAAGGAAATTGACAAAAATTAGTTGCGTGTTTTCTGAAAGTATCATGCTTTGCTTTATAATAAATTGAAAACAGTTTCTTTTGATCGTATGTGGGATCTTGTGGAGGTAGGTGATGAATGTTTAACTTGCATTTTATCTGATCCTGGGAATGATGATGACGTCAACACCAGGCAGATTGTTCATGATACTAATCCTAAACTTGTTAGACATTCTTAATCGATTCTACAATAAAAACATTCGCTTGATCGTTCAAGTACTTCATTGACTATTTTTTATTTAAAATCCAGTTAATTATTCTCAATTATTTCACAACAACAGTTTTGACTTCGTGGCTGAAAAAAACTGTCCCAGACAGCTTTAGGGTGCCTGAGGCCATCAATATGTGTGCCAAAAGGCAGCCATTTGAATGGAAATCACCCAAGTGCAGCATTGTTGATGCTGGATAGGGATTTACTTGCTTGGATTTACTTAAGCGGCTGGCGACAACAAAATGTACAATGCACATTTGTTTTAACAAATAAAGGTCTGTCTACACACGTTCATGAAGTGGTACCTGACCTTCGACTTGAGCCAAACTTGCTATAGATCACTTTTCTGGTACTCCTCGATTTAATTCATTTGCAAATTTTGTGGAACTAAGATGTCAGAATTCACTTGATGGACCTGTCACTTACCTTTTATTCCGAGTATTTCAGAAGCAAATGTCTGTATAACAAGTGGTTTATTTCGTAAGGCCACCATTGTGAAATGTTGTCGACGAGAACTTTAGCGGGGCTAATAGCTAAACAGTTTTCCTACCCAGCATAGGGTGAACTATCAAAATATTTCACAAGTAATTAATTTCTTTAAAGGGAAACTCCGCTTCATTTTTGTTTTTGATATTTAGAAAATTATGCAGCCCTCTTCAGTATCATATTTGAAGACCCCATGTCAAATATTACAATCTAATTCCGTCTATATATTTAATAAACCGGCCAGCAAACTTTTATGAGCCAAGTTGTTGAAATCCGCCAACTCTAGCGTGCGATGTGAGGCGCAATCGTCAGCGCAGTCAATGCGACGGAGTTGGAGCGGCCAACATTGAGCCACTACGTCGGAGGCACGTCTACGTCATTCTGACGTTTTGTTTGTTTTTACTTCTCAGAGTGAAATTGAACAATGACGTCATGAGTTTCTCCTCTTGGTGTTGGCTGAACAGCGTCCACGTGATCACCGTAACACGGATGCGCTATTTCGCGCTGCACTGCGCGCTTATCGGTCTGTTTCTCCGCTCCCCCTCTCCTCTTTCGTGTTCTCCCCTTCCCCCTCTTCCCCGGGCCATTACCGTCCATGCCATGCGAAGCGACCTGCCCACGTCACGTGTCTTGTACCTCGCCCCCACGAATGTCACAAGACCACGTGGTTCGACGTGACGTGGCCATGAGTCTGACGACACGAGGCCAATGTTGCCTGACGCAACCAAAGTTTTGGTTTTGGTATCAGCTGATGTTTAAATTAAGATTACACAAATAATATTCCACATTTCGCGAATCCGAAGACGTAGAGCTGTTTATTGGTGCTTTGTGAAGTGGAATCACATGTAAGCCTAAATTTTTCGGAATTGAGCGGAGTTGCCCTTTAAAAAAAGTAGTCCCAAAACAAAATTACTCTAAAGTCCCGTATGAACGCCCGCCCCCGAGAGATCGCCCATCCCATTTCTTGCGCTGATTCTTCATAACGAAAATTCAGAAACATAGATCACTCCCCGATTCCCACAATGTTTCGATCATGGATTTCGGACGGGAGTTGCATCAACAGCGTGATATGAGGTATCGGTACACAGAAGGGGTCCCGAAGCATCGGTGTTTGTGAGCCACTGCCATAGTCGATGCATGCATTGATAGTTCTAGGTTAGCCTGCTCGCATTGCCATGCCTGCCTGGCATCTCTAGAATAACCCCAGTGCAGTAAATAGGAGGCATCATGACAAACTGCTTTCAGTACAGCTAGTGGCCAAGAAGGGCAACTTTGGCTAAGTACTACTACCATTAGTGTGTTTTTTTTTTTAGAAAGTAACCCCTATTATTGGTGAAACACCCTGTATGTGGACACTACCACTGCTAGGTTTGCATCTGAAAACGGAAAAAAGAACCCCAAACGGCGCCTGTCTTTTCACCAGGCCCGGTGTGCCTGAATCGGCCGCTGATCACCATCCTGGAGCAGCTGGGAGTGCCCAGCCGCGTCTTCCTGTGCCTGCAGCAGAAGATGGTGCTCATGTTTGCTGACGCGCTCGTGTGCGAGAGCACGGCACTGCAGGTGCTCTGCACCTACCTGAGTGGTGCCCTGCCCTTCCGTCGCCTGCGCATGCATGGCCTCTGCCTCACCCGCAACCCGTTTGTGCGTTCCCTGCTCTACACGGTCTACAAGAGCACCATGGGTGAGTGGCACTGACGGGCAAAGTCTGGATCCTCGTGCCCCAAGACCGGGCTGCAAGGGGGATCAATTTTCATTCTTTCTTCATTTTTTTCTTGGTGCCCTAGCAAAAATTCCCATAGAGAAAGCCAATAGCCTATCGGTGTATTGACACCTATGGGTGTATCGGCCTATAGGTGTATCGTCCTATAGGTGTATCGGCTTATAGGTGTATGAACCTATTGGTGTATCTGCTTATAGGTGTATCACACGGTGTGGTGGTGCCTTTATACATTTTGTTATCCAAAAAAGGGTCTTGGGGGTACACTTGCTTACTATGTTATGAAGGCATCTGGATGCTGAACACTAGCTGTCTTTTTTGTGTGCTGTTCCCAATTTCTTAAAACACTGTCACAAACTGAGTCTTGACTGTGCCACGGCATAATGGTATACTTCTTGCTTGAAATCCTGAAATGAGCAACAGAACAAACAAAAAGAGTTAATCGGTGGCATGGCAAAGGTGGAAGATGATGTCACCACAGAAAGTGATTAAGGCTAAAACCATTTGGTAGATGACTGGAGCATGCTGGAAATTTCAGACTGAAGAAAATAAAATTAAGAGGCTGGACTTCCTTTGTTTTCTGTCTTCATCATGAGCCTAACTGCCTTAAAAACTTATCAAGCATCAACCTCTCGAAGAGCCTTGAAATTAAATATTGTCAAATTAATATCAGCTTTATGTTTGTGGGATTGCTAACAATGCTTCATTTAGTTCGGTCAACTAATACATAAGTATGTAAACCCAAATCAATTCAGGAAGGTCAGGCGATCGAAGTTTGCCCTGTTTGCCTTAACAGTACCATCCAGTCCTCTTCCACAACTTCAAAACTAGTCGCATGCTGTCACGCACTTCAAAAGATGGCTATCCTTTTGAACCATTTTGACTGCAAAGGCATAGTATAGTGGCTCTGCATGAACCGAATACTATGGAAGTGTAACTTCTCCAATGAAATTAAGTATGATCAATGTAATCAATTTATAGTGGGACCACCTCAGTCCACTGCTCGACTGGTAAGACATTTTCTAAAGAAACTGATTTAAGGTAGCATTAAGGAGTTCAATAAGTGTGCTCTGTTAACATAAGCTACAGATTCTCAGACCAGACCCGGAATGAGTGGCAACTTTTCTCTGTGCTACGCACAGTTCCAAACATACAAACAAAACAAACACAACTAGATACAAAAAAAAAAGTGTAACAAGCAAAAGTGTGTTGAGAAAATGGGGAGTTTTAGAATAACGGCCGCTACTTCATTTCGCGTTATGGATGGCAAAAGCGTTTCTCTACCGGGGACCCAAAATGCAAGCATCTCGCACTTAAGGTGCCACCAAGATGTTGCGATAGCTTTCATTTTGAACTTAGAATGTTATATCTTCAAAACAAGCTTTTCGTCTGGAATAACATTTGTATAGTTGTTTTATACTCAATGCTGCATGTTTCTGTCACTGCCAAGCTGCTCTGTTGTACTTCCAAGGTCACGTTTCACTACCCCGGCATGTTTACATTTCTGCCACGATCGTAAGTACACGCGTTTGGATAGCTTTGAGCTCTGAATTCAGCGGTATCTGACATTTTCAATACGGTCTGACATTTCCAACCGCGGTCGCCAAGTGTGACTCGCGCAGTCCCGAGCGGGTGGTGGGCGTCGAAGACGCGATCAACGGGGACGTCGTGGGCGCTGCCATTTGCAGTACCCACACTATTTCCGAGAAATAACGGGCCCCAAAGCCCAAGCCTCGATGCTCGTTTTGGGTCTGCGCATTCGCAGTAGCGACGTTATTTATTTGAGGTTGCGGGTGTTATTTCAAATAACTTCTACGCATCTACAGTGCAAACAAAGATCAAAAGAAGCATGCTTACCAACTGTGTTGAGCTACTCGTTAGACTGTCGCGTCGTGGTTCTTCCACACTCTTCTTGAACATAATCAACATAAGAGGAAACTTCACAGATAGATAAACTTGAATAAATTAGCACATTTCCATGCCTAAAAGCATTTCTGTCCTGCGACAGAAACGCACCCGACGCACGACAGAACAATGTCGGGGAAAAAAATGTATGGTGTCACTAACGATTAGGATCTGTAACTGGTATGAGCTCGATAGGGATAGATAACTGGGCAAGTTCGTCTTTTTTTCCTCGTCCCAGCTGTGCTGTTTTTCAAGAATATGAGCTCCTTACAAAAACCAAACCGAAACTGACGGAATCGCGGTAGAGGGGTGCCGTAAAAATGTCTTTACAAACTTAGGAATGAAAGTGGGTGAATACAACTATTGTTATAAGCTCAGGAAATAAATGTGTAAATCATGAATAGTACCGACTTGCCTTTTGTTTTGGGTGAAATGGAGTAGGAAGTAGATTTCTTGTTTCAACCCATCAAGATATTTTCTTTATTTTTTATGCAGATTCCCTTTATTACACTTTCCTTATAGTATTTTATTAGTAAATTATTTGAAGGCATGAGGCTCCTAAGTTTTATTTAGTGTATTGCCCTAAAATTTAATCGGAAAAGCAAGCATTTCAGTATGCTATTTTCCTCTAAATTGTGACTGTATGTGAGTCTCTTATTCTAGCATTAATTTCGAGCTACAAAACTATATGAATTCTTATAACCCATTGATGTACTCCGACGGTGTGTTATGTAACCTGGGCTTAAACCATTTTTACCATTCAAAAATACTGAGAAAAGAAAAGTGTAACATTATCGCATAATTAACTTGGCTAATGTATACTATACATGCTGTTCTAGTGTGGACACATCCTTTGGACGTGGAATAGATATTTGCATGACACAGCCCAGGTTACATAACACATGCATCAGATGGGCCGGTGTATTTCTGACACAGACTATTCTGACAGACATAGGTATGTCTAATTGATTCCTATTGCTCAAATAGACATGCACAATTGGTTTAGACATTGAATGATTCGAGGTTTCCACTAGTCAAGGAGGCATTCCTATTTGGCCAACAAAACTTTTTGTTTGACTGATAAAGATTCCTAATGGTCCAATAGAGTCCCAATGGGACCAGTCTAAGTTCCTATGGGACCAATTAGAAATTCCTATAGGCCCAATAGGCAATCCTATGGCACCGGTACACGCTCCTATGGGACCTATACACGCTCCTATGAGACCGATACACGCTCCTATGGGACCGATACACGCTCCTATGGGACCGATACACACTCCTATGGAACTGGTACACATTCCTATGGGACTAATAGAACTTCCTATGGGACCGATACAGATTCCTATGGGATTAATAGAAATTCCTATCGGACCTATAGAAATCTCTATTGGTTTGATACAAATCACTATTGATCTGGTACAAATCTCTATCGGAATTTTTTCTAGGGGCCTGTGCTGATATCGAGAGGCCTCTCAGGGAATCTCACCACTCTCTGCCTTTAATCTAGAAAAGGGTTTCTCAAATCTTTCGATCTCAAGGATCCCATATCTGCGTCGAACGGGAGCCAAGGAACCTTGCTCTGTCTAGGCATTGGTACACCGAAGCTTTGCAGATGCCTGCAGACCTTGTAAACAGTAATGTACAAACTAGGGAGTCATTGGCTTTTAATTATTATTAAGGGGGGGCTCAGATTTGTTGAGATGGTGCTTGAACTGGAAAGACACTTGGTGGCAGGTGTGCTTGAGGTAATTAAGGAGCTTGGGAAACCCATAAATGTACTTTAGGGCAGGGGTTCTCAAACGTTTTCATCTTAGGGAACCCCAGCAAGCCTCATAAAGTCCCAAGGACCCCCCCCTGCCCCCTTGTTGTTGACCGATAATACTGGGCAATAAAGGCATTTAGATAGTGAACAAGAGTTATTGCACTGACAAAACAAGACAAAATGAAGGACCTGGGGGACACAGATTTTATGGCAGCTGGATTGAGACACACAGATCGATAACAAACTTCACATTATTAAGCCCGCCAACTTCGAAGTATGGGAGAGTTGCCCCCATAAAGACCACCGTTAGGGAGTTCTTTTGTGCCGCTTGAGATTTGGTCTTTCTCGATTGACTCACCTACACTTGCTTTGCGGTGAAGATGTAAAGCTCTGTGAAAAGTGTGGGAAAAGGTTAACTGTCCTTCACATCCTGTGGAATTGTAGATTTTTTGATCATCAACGTCGAAGATATTTTCCTGAACTTTTCAGAAACCACCTCCCATTTCATCCTTATTTCTTGCTTGGCGATAGACTTTTGGTACCATTTGCTCGCGTTTTAAGTTTCCCACATGCAATTGGCTTTTTGCACCTGATATAGATAGATAAGTAAGTTTAGACGTAACTGCATGCTAGGCTCTTTAAATTAACTTTCTTGGCACAATATGGCCATAGTCGCTCTTGCGGCATTAAACCCCAATCATCATCAACCTGGTGGACAATGTGAAATGTATAGAATGTATACATACTGTCGAGACCGGTTATAATGAAGTCAACGGGAATCGGAAATCACTTCGCTATATCCGCTATTTTGTTATAACCGACTTCGGTTAACAAGGTGCAAAAGGGAATGGGAAATTGTGATCGCTTCGCTGTAGCCGCTTTTTCGTTATAACTGGCTTCGACAGTATTGGTACGAAGGGTGAGGTTGCTTTGCCCGCAACACCAACTCAATCCATGGCTGAGTCCGTGGAAGGTTTAACTAAGGAGAGGGGGACTGAAATTTGGGTGCTCACGGAACCCATGAGACCACTTGCAGAACCCCTGTGTTTCGCAGAACCTAGTTTAAGAACTTCTGCCCTGGGGAACCCTTAGTTATCCAGAGTACACTATCTGTAGTTATGGTACTTATATGTCTGTACACTTTGGTACTCGAGTACCCGTGGGTACTTAAGGTACTGAGTACAGTGCTCAACAAAACGAAATGGACCAGTCTCTAGCGAGACCACGTGCTGAGTTGGTTCATTCTGTTTCGCTGAGCAGTGTACCTTGGGTACCAAGGTACAGTGCTAATCACACTTGTATATAACGCCCGAGCGTGCGGCTTTCTCTGGGGAGCGCTAGACTGGTGGCATTCGTGGAAACTAAGCTAGTCACGTGGTGCAACATGGAACGGCCCGCTCGAGGGGTGTCCTGCCCACTCTATCAGCTGGCGGCGAACGCGGAAGGCTGCTCGCAGCACGCTTCGTGCTCGCCTCTGACCGCTTATCTGACCGTTCATTGCTTGCGCGCTGTTGTGAGCATATCAACAGTGTTCTTTTTTCCGCATGTGGTATTTTTTTTTCAATTCCAATTTTTCCCATTTTTGATGACGACATCGTTGATACGCCTTTATCGTTTGTTTATTGTTCGAGCAATGATGTTTGTAAAAAGCGTGCGAGCAGCCTTCCGCATTCGCCGCCAGCTGATAGATTGGGCAGGACACCCCTCGAGCGGGCCGTTCCAAGTTGCGCCACGTGACTAGCTTAGTTTCCGCGAATACCACCAGTCTAGCGCTCCCCAGAGAAAGCCATACGCTCGCGCGTTATAGACAAGTGTGATTAGCACTGTACCCTTGGGTTCCTAGGAACTCAGTTTTAGGACCCATGATCTAGAACAAAGTTTTTTGGATTACTGTGCTTTGTTTGGGTTAAAGATTGCTGCGCAGCAAAAGCTACAAGAGAGCTCCGGGTTTTTAGCATCCCTGCAGAGCATGTGTGCTCGTGCAGCACATGCGTCGTTCGGGACAATGTGTTTGGGACAACATCGAGCAATCGTGGCGAGCAGAGAGTGTGTGGAAGAGCCTTGTCCTGCTTCCTGCAACGAATTGTAGGCAACAAAATGGCGGCACCCTCAAGACTCGGGTTGGGGAGTGTCAATATACTCTTCACTGGCTCTTGTCGCCCCAAGGATCGAGAGGTCACTCCAGTTTCGTTTCTAGCCTCGACATGATTTTTAACAGTAAAGGATTATCGCCAAAATTTTTTCCTTTCCAGAACAGATCAATGTTGCTGTATTTCTGGGCCACGAAACAATGTGATCTTTGCCTGTGCTTTGTGCAAACCAGTTTTTTTTTTTTTTTTTTTGTTTTAACATAGAGGAGTCAGCATTGTTTTATAATGGCGGAAAATTTGAATGGAGGCTGTGTTCTGTCAAGTGGAGACAGCCACAAAAATACTTATTACCTGCTCATTCACTGCACTTGAATGCATTATGATATGCTGTAACCTACTTTGGGCAGAGAAAATTCCTGCTGACTTAGACTTGCATAATGCAACATAAATATTTTGCTAAAAAGGATTTTTGGGGAACGTTCATGTTGCAATTCTACTCATGCACATAAAAAAAGAAAAAAAAAGATTTGTTTTTGGAGTTGAGCGTTTTTTTTTTAACTGCCCGTGGCCATTGCGGCATTGCCAGAGGTCTGTCTCTCGCCCCGTTTTGCAGACGGCCTGCACACCAAGAGCCGCATTGCTGTGCCACTGAACAAGGGCCGCAACATGCTGGGCGTTCTGGACGAGACCGACACCCTGAAGTACGGGCAGGTGTTTGTGCAGTACACCGCACTGGGGCCGGACACCGAGGGGCAGGACGACGGGCTTCCCAAGACCCGCATTGTCAGAGGTGCGTCGCCCAAATGGCCGACCTGCTCGCTTTACTACGCGGTGTTCCCCTACAATCTTTACGAGGCCTTTGTTGCCACAAAAATAAACTATGAGTCCCAAACACTCATTCTCGGCCCAAACATAGCGCTAGTGGTCCAAACCAAATGCCAAAGTTTCAGGACTAACTCTTATCTTAATAAAAAATCTTAATCAAAAGTTACAAGTGATTTTCTGAAATTTTCAATGGGAAAATTATCAACATTGTAAAACCCGAGACGTAGGGCAAAAGGAGAAGAAAAAAGGGGACAACATAGACACAGGTCTCAAACTCAGCTGAACATTTATTCCCCCAGCCTCGCTTATAAGGACAACAAACCATCATTCCTCGGCGCATAAAAACTCTACTTTTTAGCAATAAGAGCTTTATTTAAATTGAAAAATAAATATCTAGCCCCATTCCTCATTAAATTTCAGTTCAGAAGCATCCACAGCAAAGAATACATTCAGTGATTCATTGAAATGATAGATTTCCTAAAACAAAAGTTGCTGCAAAAAAGTGAAACTGAGAAAAACCTGTTCGCAGTTTCCACACCACTACATTTGCTTTTACTGGTGGTGGTGGCAACCAAAAGCCACCAGTAGCATAGATGGTGCCTTCTGCTTACACCCGGTCTCCAACATGGCTTTGCTAAGAGAGTCCGAGCTTAAGATGCTTTCTTTGAGTGTTATTTTGTTGTCGGCATGTGAACATTGATTGTGGATTGTGTAAGGAATTGGGTATGCTTGCAGTACACGAACCAACATCAGCTAGCATAGGCGGGGCAAGCATTATCGAAATACGAAGCAGACAAACCTACGTGACTTTGTATAAGCGAATGCTGGTTTTAGTCAGTTTTGTGTTCAATCAGGGTGGGCTTTTCAATTCTTGGCCGTATGCATGGCCTCTTCTGCGTGAAAGCTGGACTTCTATGGTGTTCTTGCCCGAATAGAGTTTACTCTCGAACAAAGATATTTAATGTACTGAAACTGTGAAGAAATGCTCTTTCTAACGAGAGTATGATCATCATTCTAGGGCGTACCGGTGCAAAGCTACAGCAGTTTGAAACTAGGAAGCAGAAGTTTCACATTTCCAAAACGTGGTTTTGCATCGTTGGCTTACTGAAAATGTTTGATTTCTCTGTAAATACTTCAGATATCGTAATAATAATTTGCAGGAGTGTACAGCATTAGTGCATGTGGAACCACAATACTTAAAAATAGGAAAATTGTTTTTTTTCTCAAAAGTTTGGACTTTAACGTGCCTAAATTAAGCATTCAAACGTCGCAAAATGAGTATAAAGTGGCGGAATAAAAAAACTTAGTATACTTGCATTATTTATTTATCTAGTTTAACCCTAAAGGCCCTTTTGGGCATTATATAAGGACGATATGATACAAAGACTGCTATAACTACTGGCTTGTCCAAGTATGCATGTTGTTACGATTAAAACGTGCTTGCAAAAGAAAGGATTGGACAAACTTTCCTTTTTTGCACATGCTTCATGTAAAGTTGGCTCCTGTCGATCAATAAATACTCCGAAAACACCGTTAAAGGAAGTAAAACAAAGTCCCGGCCTATCTTTTGTGTTAAATATGCTTGTCTGACTACAACGAATTCCTGGTTAGCAAACATTTCTGTTTAACAAAGCAATTTTGTGGCCCTAAAAAGCAGAAATGGCTGGTATTACGATTTTTCTAGGTGAAAAATAATTGATTTTATGTAAATTCGTCACTCTCGGGTGAAGTACTGTAGAGAAGAAAAATACCGTGGCAACGGCGATGGTTGAAACTGCTGCCTCCTTTGGAGGCATTAGATGAATTCTCAGTTTTAAGTTTAAATAATTTCTCAGTGTGCAACCTTATATCCAGATGGCGCTACATGACTGTGTTTGTGCGTAGGAAACCTTTACGCAGCAGCGTAGTCGCGTAGTGCCATCTAGACGTGGGGTACGCTCACTACCAAATTATTTGGACCCAAAATCGAGAACATGCCGCATGGAGGCAATGGAAGCAGCGTGACGGAGACTGCACTGTGTCTTTATCATACTTTTGTGTAGTTTTGTTTTGTTCACGTCATTATATATGCACCACTCCGCTCCAAGGTGAGTTCTTATCTTTGCTCCGTCCAGGCCATACTCCCTTGTTTTGTTATTTTGCATGTACGTCGGCAGATCTGAAAGGACCTGCGGAAACAGTACATTATAGTCGGTTGCAAGCTAAAAAAAAAAACCGGAAATGCCTCTCAGAAGAAAATGTAATCCTACGCCGAGAAACGCCAGCCAATCGTTTTCATGACGTCGTGGACCAATCGCGATCCTTTTGAAAAAAAAAAGCTCAACATGGCTGCTGGCCTTAGCAACGCGACGCTAGTTTCTCGTGACAATTATTCTGCTTTTTTGCACAGTGTTTTACGTGCCCGAGGTTACGCCACGAAATCTTAATGGTATCGGCTTGCGTTTGCAGCAGTTTTTGCGCGACAACGTGAGAATCCAGCGACGCCATAGCCAACGAAAATTTTGAAGCGGGCGTGAGGCTTAGCACAGCTGAGAGGTGAGAAGCTACGCCGGACGTCGTCTGCTTCGTTGGATTTCCGTCGACACCAAGCAACCGGCTGACAGTTTTACAGACCTCGTTGACTGTGAAGTCTGGCTCGGTATGTCGCGTCTGAACGTAAGCGTTCAGGATCAGCTCCCGCTGGGCGCTGTTCAAAACCCGACCTCACTTGTGCTTCTTGAAGAACCGCTTTGGTGTCGCCGGTAAGGCTGCACCAGGCTGTTTCGTCCAAAAAGAATCGGGGGAATCGCTTTCCGATGTCACCTCAGTGGGATCCATGACGGAAGACAAAGAGAGCGGGGCGCGGTGGTGGTGTCGATGACTTGGGAGGGTGCCGATTTGTCAAAACCCGAAAAGTATAATTATTCTTGTTTTCTATTTATCCAACAAAATAAAGGCACACATTTCGTGCGCAAAGCCCACAAAACTAAGTAAATCACTAAATATTTATTATTTGAAGGAACAACAAGTGCTTCGCTTTCCCTCAATCGAAGGCGCTGGAAGACGGTATGTTAGACAGTATCTTGGACAGAAAATGAATTGGGAAGAAAATGAATTGGACATGACTTTCTTTCTTTACTAAACAGCTATTTCGTTGACAAAAACTTATTCCAACTTATTTAAATGTCCTGAATGAAATAAATAAATATTGTAGTAGTTTAAGACACGTTTCCTGGAGGAAGAAAAAGCAACGTTGCTAGCGAACTACTTTCTTGACGGCGGAGGCACTTCAGATGGGCGCAATGTGCTTGTGAGCTAAAAGATTGTTTTTAGGTTGCATCCGACTATAGTATATAAAAAAGTGTTTTCGTCGGCAGTTGCAACTTTTTTATGCTGTCTTGGCATTTGTTCGACCGACACCCCCATCTTCACCAGGATCCAAGATTCCCAATCTTGTTCGATCGAGGGGAGGGAGGGGGGTCCCTTATGAGGGATCCGCGAGCCGCACTTGGACCAGCAAAGAGCCGCATGCGGCTCGCGAGCCGCGGTTTGGCCACCCCTAGTATATGGTAACTTATCACAAAATTTTTCTTTGCTATATTCGTGGGAGCCGCTCAATTTCTTTCACTAAAAACACAGAAATACATTGAAGAAGTGCAAACGGGAATGGGAAATCACGATTGCTTCGCTATAGCCGCTATTTCGTTACGACGGACTTTGTTATAGGCGGATGCGACGGTATACTTTGTTTCATTATCACTCGGCAAAGATCAAGTGCTACAGCTCCTTTGATCCAGTCAAGGAGGTGGAGCAAAGCACATAACGGTTCTCGACGGGAGTGCACTCCATTGATACATTTTCGGGGGCTTCACTCTGACGTTCTGATTGGCCCACTGGGACCAGAGGCTCCATTTTTTACGGTACGGTGAACTGGGGTATATATAGTTACTTCAAATTCAACGGTTGACTTCTTAAATATTCGTCTTAGCCGGCAGATTGCACTCGTATTTGTAGCCCGTCGTCCAAATGGGCCATAGCATCATGGTGCTGGTGCGCATCTCTGGACTGATGCTAAAGCGCATCCTTGCAAGCCGTCGTTCGACTTCCACCCGAGAACGTCGTAAAAGTGTCACGCCGTTGCCTGCTGCGACCTCGGCGGTGGCACAGGAACACAGGTGGATACCTGATCCTGCGACGTCATTTGTTGTCACTTTGGGATTGCTCTTGATGCATGGGCGGGACGGGACGCTAAAACGCTCCGCCCAGACGTCACGTGAGATTTTCTGCGCAGGTGCCGTCCTGGTGACCAAGTGTCCCTGCCTGCATCCCGGCGACGTGCGCAAGTTCACGGCGGTGGACGTTCCGGCGCTGCACCACGTCAAGGACTGCGTCGTGTTCCCTGCCAGGGGTCCCAGGCCGCACCCAAACGAGATGGCCGGTGAGTCAGATGCATCGGGAGAAGCAGCGGGTCGAGCCAACTGCCGCGTAAGTCCAGCGAATGTGGGGCCCTGCGTTGGTCGGCGCTTGCCTCCAAGGTTGACGTCGGTCGCTCTTAAGTCTTTGAACTGGTGGGGTTGTTTTTGCCTGTGGGACGTGGGATGAAACCCCGTGCCGGGGCTTCGTCCCACATGCCAAATACAAACTTCGGTCCGAGTAATGCGGTAGCCCGCTTTATAAAATATATGGTGCGACATCGTCTGCATCTATGGGCACATCATTAATAATGCCTACCGTAAAGTTCTGAAAGAATGCCCACCCCATATGAAGAGAAAAATTGTGATGCCAACCAAAACTTTATAAAATATTAATGATAAACACCCTGGTGTTGCATACAAATCACGTGACGCTGGAACTGATACCGCAGATCGCGGATACTGCAAATTCGCGTTTCACAGTGCGATAAACACACGGAAATTCGCTACAAATTACTGTGTTACGGGAAAGGATACCGCAGGTTGCGGACGTAGCAGATTTCACGGTGTGAAAGATCTGCGGAAACCCTGCCGAGAACTTGCATCTCACGGGGACGAATATTGCAGATGCAGCAGATTCAACTTTTATGGTGCAATAAACACGCGGGAACCCGCTACACACTTGCCAGTCATGGGAACAGATATTGCGCGTGCAGATCATAGACAAAAATGTGGGAATCCGCTACAAACTTGTACCGTATATACACGATTGTAAGTCGACTTAATTGTAAGTAGACCCCCCCCCCCCCCCCCCTTACATAAAAAAAAAAAAAAAAAAAAAACTTTAGATGCGCATTTTATTGCGAACATGTGAGAACGGTAAAGTATCTCGTTTCGAAAACCCAGCCTCCAACACGCGATCAATGCCTTTTGGCATACTTTGGCTGCGCATGCGCGCGTGAGGTGCATGAGATGGCCAGGCGGTATCGAAACTAGGAAGTTCATGCTGGAGGCGGGACAGCTGAAACTGCTCCGTGTCATTCTCACTCTGTCCATGATTAGACCACGATTGGTCTGCACTGGTGATGTCAGTCCCGTTGTCATCACTGCTACATTCTCAAAGCACGTCGTCGGTGTCGTCCAACGAAATCTCCCACTTTGCAAATCCGCGCTTGCTCGGTGATCGCGTTGCACGCCCCGGGTAGAGATTGATTGCGCGCTTTTGTGGCGTACGTTGCAAGTCTGACCTCCAACTCCAATAGGCATCCCCACCTATTCAGACTTTGGCCTGTGGAAGCCTCTTAGTTTGCCGTCACGATTTAAGATCCTGCGCCATTGCAGACTCCACTGGACATCACCCGCTCTGACGGGTCGAACTTGGACCCAACAGCGCAGTTGTTGGTTGCTTCTGGATGAAAAATGGCCATAAACGAGCACGAAAAACCTGAACTGCCCTGATCACGAATGACAATACAAAAAAACATAGTTAGCGCTCCAGCATGATCTCGACACTCGATCAAACGAAATGCGATCGTGAATCGTGCGAGAAACAGCGAAAAGAAGCCGCTGGGAGTGAGGTGAGCCGGTTCCAGTGGCTTTTGGAGTGGCTTAGACAAACAGAGATGTCCAGCTATTTACAATTCTTGCTGTATGCAGATAATCTTTCTTTATTCCGAAAAAGAAAAAAAATTGTGAATGATGAGTGCAGGTTGTCAGGGCATCTCTGCCTAACCTGTTCTCTTGCATAACAGCCACAGTTTAATTTTTAAAATTTTACTGAAATGTAGATATCAGCATTCACAGTTACCTTTGTTTTAAATACAGCGGGCGCATGCATGCACCATCCTGCTTTGAAAGCGTGCTTTTCTCCTAAGCATGCGATTGCGACGTTCGCGCTTTGTCAAGTGTTGATCGCCGCGGGTTACCCCGTTGAGTGCACTTTTTATCGAGCATTGGTGCACTGCGGAAAAGCAACACCCACGGAGCTCGCTTCCGCGGGTGTTGCTTCCTTGCAGTGCACCCATGCTCGGTAAGAAGTGCGCTCAACAAGGCTAATCTTCCGCAATCAACACTTGGAAGAATATGAATATCGAACTTCATCGGAAGCTAATATCAAATGGTGTATTATTAGAGTGCAGCTCTTAGGCGCCCTTCTCCGGGTTTCGCGGCGTCGCTGTCGGCGTAACTTCGCTAAATTTAGCGGGGAAAAATGACGTCGCACGACTTGGTGTCATGTCACCTATGAACAAATTCAACTTCTCCGCTAGATTTAGTGAGAAAATTGACGTCACGTGACCTCAAGAGCATTTCAATTCCCCGCTAAATTTAGCAGGGAACATGACATCACATTACTTGGTGTCATGTCACCTAGGAACAAGTTCGTTTCTCCGCTAGATTTAGCGAGAAAATTGACGTTACGTGACCTCAACAGCAACTCAATTCCCCGCTAAATTTTGCGTGGAACTGAATTGCTGTTGAGGTCATGTGGCATCAGTTTTTCAGCTAAATTTAGTAGAGAAACTGGGGGAGGAGGGAGGGTATGGAGGAAGAGGAGGGGAGGGTATAGAGGAAGAGGAGGGGAGGAATGGAGGGGGAGGATGGGAGGGTATGCAGGAGAAGGGGAGGGTATAGAGGAGGAGGAGGAGGTATGGAGGAGGAGGAAAAGCATACCCTCCCCTCCTCCTCAAGAGCTGCGCTCTAATTTTGCATTGGAATATTTGCACAAAACTAGTGAATTTGTTTTGCTGAAATCGAAGAATTGTCTAGCAAGAAAGATTTATATCAGGTTGAACATGAGCAGAAAGCAGCTTTCTTTCTCCCTTCCACTTCGTTGGCCAGTTATGCAAGGTGACAGGTCTTAATGCAAGCATAAGAGAAAAAGAACTAGAAAATTAATCTTTTATTGCAAGCGAATCTGAACAGAAAAGGAAATCGAATGAACCTTTTTAGCTAATTAAAAGATGAAGCTGTTTTCGTTCTATTATGGTCAGGGTTACATCAATAAACAGTTTTTAATTAAATTGTACTTTAAATCTACAGTAATTCTTTTGTCCGCATAGTTTTCGGTGATTAGACAGATTGATTGATTTACCATGTTCAAAAATACATGTAGTAATGTTTTTTTCTAACTACAGTGACTTCAATCAAAATTTAAATCAAAATAATCTGATTTAGTGAATGTAAAAAAAAAAAAAAAAATTTGATTTTTTTTCTGGCATGCTGATTTCCTTGACTGTCCCTGACCCTAATCAGTGTTTCCCCAGTAAATTAATTATATTTTGCAAGCTCTGTGTGCACCTCAACTGCTTTACTGTATCAATGTCGAGACCGCGGGATTAGTTTCTCGCGCATAATTCAGAGAATGCAAGCATTCCTCGATATTCACACGTTTATGAACCCCTGTACATTCTGAGTGAGGAGCATGCTATGAATTTTCACTAGATGAAACTGACCACTGAAATGCAGATTCTACAAAAAGTGCACCTAAATGGCGATTTTTCTGGCTGTATTAATGCCACCATATACGTGGCTTGCGTTGATGTTACATCGGCAACCACTCTGCTGGCCTTGCTGCCAAGCATGTGGTGTTTTCTGCAGCACACATTTCGCACCACTTCATTTGTTTCTCTCCGCAGTAACCAGCAGGAATGACCACCAGCGTGGTGCGACGATGTTGCCTGCAAGCCACATGTAGAATTGTTCACGACACTTCGTGCCTTGTTTGCCATAGGTGGGAACTAGCGGTGTGCTCGTCTTGGCAAACCTCTGTGCAGGCTCCGACCTTGACGGCGACGAGTATGTGGTCATCTGGAAGAAGGACCTCCTTTTCCCGGGGCCAAACAGGAAAGCGATGGTCTTCAGCGACCACTCTGCAACGTGTGATGCCAACAAGTCCCTGGTGCGTTCTCACTTACCTTGCACCAGATTTTCCAGAGAATCTAAAATTTTCTAGAAAAACCTGTGAAAGCTACGTTCATGCGGCCCGTGCAGGCGAGTTATATGGCCAGGGAGGCATAACAACAGGAGGCTAATCATCGCAATAAGTAGGATAATTGACCAGAATTTGTTAATTAACTTTTTATTTATTGAAAATAAACATATAGGTATGGTTCCAATTAGAAGCTTGCTTGGCATCATTGAAAATCACTAAATCGGTAAAAGTTACAAGGACTCGAAGAGTATGTGGGAGGCGCAGGGGTACGCTTAAGTCACCGCTCGTGGAGCAGGCTATGAATTTGGCGGTGCAAAAACGTGGAACATAATCCTCTACTAAAGAAGAAAGAGTGGAGGGCTTTGGATGGTTACAGATGGTCACCGATTTTTCGGACGCCGATAATTTGGAATTGTTCAATATTTCGGACCTAAAGGAGGAGCCATGAACTACCCAAAAGAAATAGTGCATATTCGCGACCAATGTTTCGGACAGCTTGAGGTCGGAAAGTTTGATTTTTCGGACAAAGTTGTCACGAGCGATCAGCAAGAAACACTACCGAGAAGCCGCCATTTTAGATTCTATGTTGGCTGCACATGGATTGGCTTGGTTCGGCAGCGCTACTTGAGTACTGCAAAGTCCTACCGCTAGGCGACGCTATGCTACAGCTTCTTTTTCTCTAGCTGTGCCTCATTATTATCGTCATTGTTACCGTTTTGCTTTGTTCGTTCGCCATTCTGCACTTGTGGACTTGCGCCTCTCATCTTGTCTCGGTGAATCGTGTTTTCAGACTATGCTGGCTTGGGGACGTCATGACCCCATCTGATCTTCCATTGCTGCAAAGAGTCGCTAAGAGGCGCGGAAAGTACTTGACCATAACGCTAGAAAAGAAAGCAGCGATTCCTGAGCTAATAGAAAGTGGCCGAACGCAAGCAGAGGCGTAACCTGAAGCAACGCACTATTGACAGCTTTTTTAAGCCCGCTTAGACATAATAGAGGCAAGTTTTTTAGCTTGCAGATTTTTTCGACTGCTCTATTACTAAGACTTTTTTTCGGTCGCTGCGAAGTTCGAAAAATCGGTCGGCGAATGTATAGTTTATTAACAAGCTTATTAATCACTTTGCTTGCCACTATATTTACGTTCGTCGGGATTGACTACTCGACCATTCATTAACTGCAGCTGGAAGGCATGATCCAGTTCGTCTGCAACTACATCAAGAACGACAATGTCGGCATCATGTCCAACGCCCATCTGGCATGGGCAGACAGCCTGGAGGATGGCATCTTCTCGAAACAGTGCCTGCAGATTGCCCGGAAGATCTCGACCTGCCTGGACTTCGCCAAGACCGGCGAGACCTCGTACCTCAACAAGGATGAGAAGCCCATTCAGTACCCGGACTTCATGGAGAAGGGAAGCTCTAAGGACACGTACCGCTCGAAGCGTGTCCTTGGCCACCTGTACCGTCTACATCGGTCGCTTGAAGCCGTCGTGGGCACCGACTTTCAGACGTGCGTCAAGGACGGAGACGCCGACTGCTCGCTGTTTGCACTCCCTGGCTGGGAGGAGTACGCTGCAGCTGCTGAGAGCGTCCGTGCAAACTATGCGTCGCAGATGGCGCGAATACGACGCCAGTACGGCATCAAGAGCGAGGGCGAAGTGGTCGCGGGACTCATCAACAGCACGTCCAGGTACAACACGAGCAATAAGGACAAGACAAACGTCGAGATCTGCGTGGAGAAGCAGTACCGCGCCCTGGTGAGAGCGACGCAAGAACGCTTCTACAGGGACGTCAGCGCCGCCTGCTACTGCAGGAACGGACACTCCGGCGGCGTTGCCGTGGACGTTGGGAACACCGTGGCCCTGCGGATGGCGTCCGCCTGGTACATGGTGACGTTTTCCGGAGCGCGCCTGGACAAGAACTGCCAGAGCTTTCCGTGGGCCATCGCGGATGTGCTCGTGCTGGTTTTGAAGGAACGGAGCGCGTCGGGTGCTGATGAAAAGATAGTGCCGCGGAACCTTCTGATCACGAAACTGAATCGCGTGATTGCTGGGGAGGGACGAGAGGGCGAGCTTGCCCTCAACGTCATCAGGAAATGGGCGACCAAGGAGGAACTGACGAAGCGGACGGCAACGAGGGGACCGGGCATCTGCGAACCTTGTCTCGTCGCGCTGTTTGAGAGTTTCATCTCTCGCGCTTTGTATCCGGCGACGCCGGTGGACGAAGAGAGCCCGGGGAGCGCGGCTCTTCAGCACACGGCGCAAGACTGGTTCTTTGGGGGTCAGCTGCCGACCGTCGGCGGCTACGTGGTCGGATTTCTCCGGTACCTGAGCAGCGCGATGGTGAGGTTCCCGGAGTGCGACGTCTGCAACTTGTCCGCGTCGCACACGCACACGGCGACGATGGCGGCACTGAGGACTTACAGCATGCTTGCGCTCTCACGGGACCCCTGCCACTTGGGACTGCCCTGCGTCCAGAGCCACGAGCCGTTGCAAGAAATCCTCGAGGGAAACCCGGTTCGGATACAGGTGAGACTTGAACACTCATCTCGCTGCAAGGGTGAGACCGGAGCACATGTCAGGCTGTGTTCCATCTCACCCAAATGGATCCGAGTTACTCTGGCGGGTTGTGTCACGTGACAACACGAAAAAAAAAACGCTGGACGCGGGTAGGTTCTTGAATGCCAAGGCGCAAAACCTTTGCCCTGGAGTAAGATTGAGTAAATTTTGGAAGACCGTTTTAGAGAATAAGTGCTACCACATTTGTTTTGTGTGGTGCCCCAAATGAGACTATGTCCAGTGTCATCTAGGTTTTAGCTAGTGCTTTCTATATTGCGGGGGTTCTCAAACTGGGTTCCCCGGAACACCGGGGTTCTGCAAGCTGGCCTCCTGGGTTCCGCGAGCACCCGAATTGCAGTGCCCCCCCCCCCCCCCCCCCCCCTTCCATAGACTGAGATTGAGTTGGTGTTGTCAGTGATGTGATTGCTGCGCCAATTGCGCCAAACTGCGCCAAGGGGCTAACCCTGCTACATCTTGCTACATTTTGTCAATATATGGCTAATCTGCGCCAAGCCTGCGCCAAAGGTCCAATTTCGGTCGCCTTTCAAAACCGAAACTAAACTGAGAACCGTAATTGAGCATGCGTGAGCTATAGGTGGCGCAAGCGGCCGTCCGACACAAAGTACCCGGCATCAATCCTCCATCCGGTCTTGCATGGTTTTTGCCGCCGTCTCGCGTTTCGCGCCCTCGCCGCCATCGCCGTCACGGGAATCTTATCTCGCGTCTTCTTTTTACATTTTTTTTCGCGGGAATGTGCGGACTCTCCGTCGCTAGTGTGCCGGGTGCCAGCTATGCCATCATGCTGTGAAACAAAACCACGTTTTTGCACGGCGAGAGTTACTTTGTGAGCTGAAACGCTCGCGCGACCACTGGGTCACCGTGGTCGTGCGACGTCGGGTGTTGCCGTCCCCACGTCGCTACAGATATGGCGCTTTCTAAACTTGTTCATCGACATTCCTCTTCTTCTAAAAAATCCATCTTTGACTCAAAGACTGCTCGTCAAAATATTTATTACCTAGATTTCTCTCGGCGGGCTATCTTTCGAGAGGGACCCCGCTACGTGAAAAATCTGCCGCCAAAAAAACGTTGGCGAGGAGAAGTAAGCTGAAGCAAAGAAGGCAATGTCTCCTCGCTGAAACCACACAGCGCGCTTGTTTGTCTCGAGTTCAGTCCTTGCTCAGAGCGCTCCAAAACACTTTTGGCCCTGGCTCACGATGTCATGCATCGATGCGCTTAGGTTCTGTTTTTCTTTCTATTTAGCTTGTACCTCGTTTGCCGGCCTGGCAAGCACGCGCCGCTGGACTGTTTTATTTTTTTTTTTTTTTGTTGAATGCTGGACAGTTGTATTTTGCATACTATCTTGGGATTCAGTTGGCGACGGAGCGGAGTGGCATTGTTTCGGTTTCGAATGAACAGCCGTTGTCTCTGCTCGCGCCACAAAGCACGTGCCACTGCAAGCTTGCTGAAGTTGCCCTCAAGTGCATGTGAACATGACGGCACGACAGAGCACCAGCCGGGGCGCTTGCGATCCATTGTTTTGTGTTCGCTTACTTTTAACGAAAATCTGGCACGTCGGGAACCAGGAACCAGTAAAACGGTGGCGAGCGTTCTTTCGAAATTTCTCGGCAACGCCTACAACACTGTACACTTGTGGGATGTCTCGGCAGTAAAAACAGAAACAGCGAGTTCCGTCATAACACAGCACAAAGTGCCCTTCGTTTGTCCAGCACTTAAAACAAATATTTTTATTTTTGTAAGAATATTTCCTCCAAAAGCCACTTTTTCTGCTCCGAAACACTGTTTTGGCTGCTCCAAAAGCCACTTTTGCTGCTCCAAAACACTATTCTGGCTGCTCCAAAGGCCACTTTTGCTGCTCCAAAACACTGTTTTGGCTGCTCCAAAAGGTGCTCCAAAATGGCTTAGGCCAATCACATCACTGTGTTGTGGAAAAAGCAACCGCACCCTTCGCACTAATATGTATATACAGTGTAGACCGCATATAACGTATGTCGGGGGAGTCGCGAAAATCCGCACTATAAGCGGTAGTGCGCTATAACCAAAACATCAATTTTTCAGGCCAAAATGCATGCCATCAGACAACTTACCTTTGTAAAAGAATTTATTTTATGTTAGATGCAAAATAAAGCTTAGTTTGAGGAAAAGTCTTTATTTCACATGACTAGTACACTTCTCTCTCAAGTGTGTCACACATTTTGAAAAAAATGAGCGACTTGTGCCTGGCGCAGCCTTTTAACGGCGTCGCGGGTTGCGGACGGACGTCGCGAGCGTTCAGGATTGCTAACTCTAATCACTTTTCTCCGGCGATGAAAACGCGTGAAAATTCGCATCCTTTATACGGTGCGCGCCAGTAATACCTTCAACTTGAGCACAGGCATGAAATGCTCCAAATAAGAAATCCGGGCGATGTTCGAAAACACAAATGCTTAGAAAGCACCACTGTAGTCGAAGTAAACAAACACAACGACACGGGCGTTTCTGCTGTCTTGAGAGTGCCACCACAACATCGCCGCACGAGTAGGTGGATCTTCCCTTCTAGTACGTGCTGGGTTATCATAGCGACACATAACGAAAATTCACAGTCAAGGATAGCGCTTTTACGCGGAACGATGAACTTCCACCACGCCGCCTACGTCGACGATCAAAACCGATGCCATGTTTGCGGATAGAAGCAGCTGGCCGGCCGGCCCGCGACCGGAAAGCAACGCGCGCGAACACTTTTCCTCAACCTGCGATTGGTCTGTCGTTGCGGAGAAACGCAGCGGAGGCATGCACGCGCGTGAACGACACGTGCGTGCGTCCCTCTGTCGCTATGGCAACTGAAGCCTCTCTCTTCGCTTCTCCCCGCTCCTTCGAGCAACCTCCTTGCCCCGCGAGTGCCGCTTGCGACTAGCGCCGTTATCTAGTGTCGCACAGGGAAGCGTGCTCGCTGCGCCGGTCGGTCGGCGCGGTCGGCGGGCTGTTCCAGAAATCGCACTATAACCGGTATTTCCCTTCGCGCACCTGCATTTTAAGTGGTATATAATTACATGGAGCTCTTTGGGAGGCGAACCGGTGGTTTAAAAAAGCCGCGTTATACCCGGTCCTGCACTATAAGCGGTTATGTTGTAAGTGGTCTATACTGTATACACTGTATTTGCACGAATATAACGCAACCACGAATATAACACGAGGGAAAATTTTGATGCCCTCAAAAAATAAAAGACTATTATAACGCGAGCCGAGGCCGCATCAATTTCTCGCACTCGGAGGCATAGCAGAAGTGAAAGGTCAATGGAAATAGAAGAAATATCAGTTTATGTTTTGACTGCACTCATCCTGACTGCTCAGGTCCGTCCTATTACAATCCACTTGGCCACTACACAGATAAGCAGCAGCACGGCACCACTTGTCTGGTAGTTCCATTTTCTTCCGTGTGAGCTCCTTGGCAGCCTACAATCCAAGCAAGGCAGGAAGCAGAAGCACCAACACACAAACACCAGAGCACTCTGGAGCGTTAACTAAAAAATGCGCAGGCAGAAAATATACTGCTGAACCCGATACACGACCACACTTCTTGTTCTGGTCCCGCTGCATAAACAAACACGTCGTGTTGCACGATTGCGGAAACGCGGTCGGTGGTCTTGGCTTGGCTTGTGTTGACTTGACTTGGCCTGGCTTGGCTCCGATTGGCCAGTGCCCGCATGGCGCATGCGCCGAGTTTCTGTGGCATGCCCGCGTTGTACAAACACAAAAGCAATAAAAAATTTTTTTTTTAATGTTTTCTATTCGCCCCTTTACGTGGCCCAGTAGCTAATAAATTCCCTTCCACATCCCCACTTCTTTTCCCACCAGATCTCCTGCATTAAGCAGGAGGGATGGCCACCGATCTCTATTGTAGTAGGCTCGATCGCGAATTGAGAGCCCGTTGGTGTCGCCACCGGCGGCCATCACTCGACACCAGGCAATACACTCAAATCTATGGGAGAAACGCATAAAAGTAAGAATATTGAATCATGTTCGCTGTGCTCGCAGGCGAGTATTTTACGGTGTGCTGCGATCCTTATGTCGGGTGTTTGGAGATCGAATCGGTATTTGTCAAACGTTCGAACGCTGATTAAAAAATTCTAACGTACCGGAGCGCCTACACCCGAGCTGGCAAGCTTGCTCTCGTGGTGGAGTAAACGAAGGAACTTGCTGTCTATGAGACCGTCCTCGGGGTAGCCCAGAAGTTGATGAATGACGAAGAAATTCCATCTCGACAGAGGCTTTCCGCGAGTGAGCAAATTCTGCGTAGCAAAGCCTTCGAGCTTGTCGTCTGCTAAACCCAACTCAACAAAACTGCCACCGACTCTGCGGTAACTCTACGTAAGTCTTGCCTCACTGAGCTGCACTACAGTGGAGTCACTCTCGACCACAAAATATTTATTTATAAGAGCTGCGAGGGCTGTCACTTTTAATGTTTGTATGCAAGCTATTTGACGGGCTTATCGAAAAGCAGTCAAAACGTTTCACTGCCGACAACACCTTAGGAACGGGGGAAACGGCACTTTTTCTCGTTTTTCCCATGGAGTCTCATTCATTGGTTGGTTTCAATCAATCGGGGGTAGAACGGCTGCGCCATTTGCGCCATTTTGCGCCAGACGCATGTGTCTGCGCCATCCTGCACCATGTTGCAGAAACTGTGCCACAGCCAATACCTCGCGCCATTATGCGCCAAATAGCAAAACATAAGCCAAAAAACTTTACTTTGTCTTGGTTTTGGTTTTATTGACTCAATTGGCAACAATGAGCGCGTTTAGCCTGGTCGGCCTTGCAATCCTTTGTTCTGTATATTCTCCCTGTGTATCCCAAGTCGTAAGTGCCCGAAAAAACTCTGATTCTAAGCGCCACACCACCTGCGACTGAATTGTTATTCTTCAACCATAAGCGGTTAAGCAAGTCGGCTGAGGTGAGGTCGAGTCGTTAAGCGTCAGATTGCCTGAGGCTCTGCGGCCTGGGATTCGGACGTCAGCCAGTTGAAAACATGAGAAAAATATTCCTTTTAGTGCTTCATCATTAGATGTTGGAACCGCATTCTCGCAAGATAAATCGCGATTTAATAGAACAGAAACGCGGTCCGATTTGAAACCTTGCCGGCCAGCAGCTCTTACGCGAGTGGTAGATCTACTTGGCGTACATTAACCTTGCTCCTGCTTATCGCTTCAAATACGATAACTTCGTTAATCATAGTCTGCTGCTTCAATATTGAGTTGCACAATAGGATAAACTCGAAATTCGTTGCCCTGTTCCTCCGTGCAACTGCACTTCCGTTGCTTATGCACGACACGTGGTTCGCACATATAATTACTATGTCGAGCACGTGTGGGTTGTGCGATAAGCAGTGCTGGTTTGCATTTTGAGCAGCTGGAAGCCACTCGGAAGATATCAAGGACGCTATCTTCAGAAACATAGGGTACTTGCTTTTTAATTCTCATTAAGGCTCTCAAAGTTTCAAGTTTTTGCATCTTTTACACTGTTATCCCATCTACCTAGGTCCCTAACCACTCATGTTCATCTGTGCTGCTAAGCACGATTGAAATTGCTCCCGTGCTTGTCTAAGACACAGGCTGAAGTGCAATGAAAACTGATCTGAGCTGCTTCTAGCCTGCTCCAGAACGTAGTTTTAGCTGCTCCCAACCTGCTCCACAACAGCTGTTTCAGCTGCTCCCGTGGCTGCTCCCAAGTGCATTTCATGAGTTCCACCCCTGATCAATGGCGACCGGTGGCGACACTCGGCCCCAGCTGCCGAGGACGCGGTCCGCGATCCAACCTACTACAATAGAGATCAGTGGGGATGGCTTTCTCCAGACTTGCGCGCCTCGTGGCTGAACTCGATTTGAAATATAACGCGAGGTGCGTTTTGGAGCACATAGTCTCTGCCTTATTCTGTCTGTCCCTCTGCCTTCTTATTGTCTGTAGCCCTCCATTTTGTCTTATTCTGTCAGTGCAATTAACTCTTGTTCACTATATAGACGCCTTAAAGGGCAACTAGGCTCAATTCCGAAAAATTTAGGCTTCCATGTGATTCACATTCACAAAGCACTACTAAACAACTCTACGTCTTCGGATTCGCGAAATGTGGAATATTATTTGTGTAATCCTAATTTAAACATCAGCAGATACCGAAACCGAAACTTCGGTTGCGTCAGGCAACATTGGTCTCGGGTCGTCAGAGTCATGGCACGTCACGTCGAACCACGTGGTCTTGTGACGTTCGGGAGGGAGCAAGAAACCAAGCAAGGTCTTTATTTTTTTTATTTTTTTTATTGGACGCGGGCAGGTTAGTTTGCATGGCGTGGACGGTGATGGCCCGGGGGCGAGGGGGAAGGGGAGAAGACGAAAGAGGAGAAAAGGAGCGGAGAAACAGACCGATAAGCGCGCAGGGCAGCGCATCCCAGGCGCATCCGCGTTACGGTGATCACGTGAACGCCCGGTCAGCCAACACCGGGAGGAGAAACTCATGACGTCATCATTCAATTTCGCTCTGAGAAGTAAAAACAAACAAAACGTGAGAATGACGTGTGCATGCCTCTGACGTAGTGGCTCAACGTTGGCCGCTCCATCTCCGTGGCATTGACTGCGCTGGTGATTGCACCTCGCGCCGCACGCTAGAGTTGGCAGATTTCGGCGACTTGGCTCGCTTGAAGGTTTGCTGGCCAGTTTATTCAATATATAAACGGAATTAGATCGTAATATTTGACATGGGGTCTTCCTATATGATACTGAAGAGGGCTACATACGGTAGTTTTCTAAATATCAAAAATGAAGCGGAGTTGCCCTTTAATTGCCCAGTATTATCAGTTGGCAACAAAGCAGAGCTGGGGAGGCTCCTTAAAGGTACACTGACAGGGTATTTATGCTCGCCGAGGTTTTTAGTTGTACGTGACATATGAGAGCTCAACTACCCAGAACAGAATTTGCGGCTCGAAATTCGGTTTCTTTCCGCCCGAAAACCGCCGATCAAGAACTGGCCGGTTCGAGTCTCGCTCACTCTCTTTTCCGCGGTCACGGGCCGTTTTGTAAGGTATCGATGCGACCACCAAATTTAATCGAAGTCGTGGGTCACTGAAGACACACACTCAATATTAAAAATAGAAAAAAATATGAAACCCATTTTTGGTGGCTTCTAAAAAGCTGTAGATACGTTGATTGAAAAAAAAAAAAAAATGTTCCACAAACAACCGGAAGCATTCTGTGCGTGCGTCGCTTCGCGTATCGTGGGACTCGCGGGGACGGCGATGGCAGCGGACGACGGGCGTGGGACCTCTATTTCAGAACTGTCGTTCGCGGTACCGGAGAATTTTGTCTGCCTTTAAAAGAGAAATTTGGGACTGATCAAAAGAATTGGTCTTCATCCCGTACGACACGCCCGACCACCAAGCCGATTTGCACGAAGACGTCGCCGAGCCGTCGCTCCCTTCTCGTGGCTGAAGACATCGCTCGCGCAAACGTCAAGCACGACGTGTCTACTTCGAGTTGAATATGCACGCGTACGATTTCTTTACAAGGTGAGAATGTCGCCAATGCGGGGTGCATCCCGACTTCGACCCGGGGGCCGGGAGTGCTTTTGCTAAAGGAAGATCGGTAGCAAACTTTCCAACCTACAGTTTATCGGCTGAATTGTTACTAAGGAAAGAGATCCCCTAGTTTTGATATGCTCCAGTAGCTTAGTGGGAAAGACGTCCGCTTTACATGCCGTAGGATCGAGTTCGATCCCCCGTGAAACTTTTTTTTTTTTTTTCATATGTTTTTCTATGTCTACATTTCTTCTTTTTTTACAATTATCACTGAAGAAACAAAAAAAAAAAATAAGAAACAAATGTTGTGGACGACACGTCACTCAATTAAATGGTATGGGATTTCCTTTTTGACACCTGCGAACTCAATGTAATCACTTTCCACAAAATGCAAGGAGCATATAAATCAGGTAGCGTCCGCTTTCCGAGGTGCCCGTAAATGGTCTACAGGAATTGCAGCCAGCCATTGGTCCCGATCCCGTTGATCTTTCGGAAACTCTGTCGCACAATGCCACTTCTGTTTCGGACGCAGGACATGTGAGCCAGCTCTTCACGCAACATCTTGGGTGTATTCTTTTCGGAGCCGATCAAAATTCACCACGGGCACTCACTACTCATCTCCAACTCTTCAATATACAAAACAACTCATCTTGGAGTACAGAACAACGAGCGGAACATACATAACTGCAAAAGAATCCCACGGCGAACAGTTCCCGTACGTCGCATGTCGTCTGCTACCGGGAAGGAGAAAAAAAAAAAAAAAAACACGGTCGGGTGTAGCCACGTGACTTCCGCCACTCGCTCTCTTCTCTCCACTTCTCCGACCTCCGTCGGGTTTCGGTTTCGAGCAGTTGCGTCTTTTGGCTTTATTAAAAAAATACGCTACTCTGTTGCAAAATATTAATTGGGTAGTCCTCCGACATCATAATGAAGCGCCTAGCAAAAAATTTTAAAAAAATTTGGGGGGTGTCAGTGTCCCTTTAGAACTTTTTGAGGCTTGCTGGGAATCCCTGGGACAAAAAAGTTTGAGAACCCCTTAGTGTATTGAATAGTCAAAAATAAATTTGTCTGCAACAGGACAATGCTGGCCTATTTTCCTGCTGGTCATACCTCGGTGAAGCGCGATCATGAATAGGCTTGCTCACCTCTCTCACACCTCTCTCTCTCTCACATGAGGCTAGGGTGAGTGGCTTTGCGAGCCTCGAAAGCTCATGAGTGAGGGGTATGAGGTTGATGAATGAGGGTTGTGAGGTTGACGAGTTTGCTGACCTCAATGAGTGGTACAAGCTCAAGGGGTTTGGTGAGAAGAATGAGTTTGGCAAGTTCAATGAGTTTGGGAGTTTAAAGTTTGATAAGTTTCTTGAGTATGAGTTCAGTGAGTTGATGTTTGGTGGGTTCATTAGTCTGGTGATTTCATTAGTGTTGAGTTCATGAGTCTGGTGAGTTCTTTGAGCAAGATATTGAACTTGAGGGCAGCATTGAGGGTCGATTAGCTTCTAGTTTGTTTTTCGTATGAGACTGAGGGAGTGGCTATCTTTTAACTTTTGTTTTCGAGAACCTCAAACTCCAGCCTCCGCTGTGGTAAGCAGGCTCTCCCAGGTTTGTCCACCCTGATTTGATTGCGCAGGGTCATTGACACGAAGCCACCGATTGCAGCACTCTACTGCAGCTTTGAAAGAAGGCTTTGGATTTCGGCACTCTGGGTACGTTCAGTGTCCCTGTACTGGACCTCTTGCTCGCAGGTCACCAGACAAGGATTCATGGAGATGCTGCGCTACAGCGTAGAAGACGTGCAGAAGCTGCTGGCCAGCTGGTCTGGCGTGCAAGAGGTGCACATCAGGGGCAACAGCAACCGGGACGGCAGCTACTATATTCTGGTGTCGGCCATTGGCCGCGACTGGCAGCGCTGGTATCTGGAAGAAGTCCTTCTGCAGCCATGGTTGGCCGAGGCTGTGGAAAGACAAGATCTCGCACCTTATCTCCAGGCTTGAGAGTGCCTCTGTTGCGATCGGCAAGCTGTTTGCCGATTGGTCTCCGATTAGTATTCGGTCCATCATATTTTCGGCACGCTGCGTGTCCTCGTTGTGACAAAGCCATAGTGCCACCGTTTGACCACTCTTAAAGTGCCTTACTTCGTGTTTGTCTTGTGACGTTTAGCTTCGGAGCAATGCGGCACTTTGCTCTAGTGTTCTTTCTGAAAGGCCCGTGGTTCATCCTTTATGTTGGGTGAGCCTTTTGCCGATCGGTCTCGTTGTTCGGCGTCCTTGCTGTGGTAAAGCCATCACGCTGCCTTTTGAAAACTCTCTAAGTGCCTTATTTCATTGTTTGCTTTGCGGTGGTCAGGTTGGCATTAAAGAACTACAGCACTCTATACTCGGTGACAAGTTCAAAATGCAGTAAATGCGCTGCCTGCAGCGCAAACTTTCGGTCTTCGACGGCACTTTGGCACATGCGCCGCCAAAACCCAGTAGAAGGCGCATGAGGCAGAGCCTTTACTGCATTCTTAACCTGTTTCATCTTTTAATAGTGCTCTTTACAAAAGCCTGTGGTTCAGAAAGCAACCCGGGGAGCAATATGCCTTTGTGTACATTCCTTGCAAGTGCCTTGATCTTTCTAAGTCATTCCCTAGCTGTTCCTAAAATGTTACCTTACAAGGGAGGCAAACCTTGCCAAGTCAATATACAAGAAGATCATGAGAGATCTCTATGCTTAAAATAAACTGCGTGAGTCGGAGGTTTAGCTGTCGCCCAGATGGGAGTATATTGTGGGCTGGAAAGTTATTTTCTTCTTTATGCGCAAGTTTCATATTGTTACTCAACCTCAAACTATTTCAGAGTTTGCAATTCATTCCTGGTGCCATGCCAGAACAGGTGCTGAGCTTTGGCTCAAGCTATTTCCGCTTCAATCCTCCCTTTTTGCCTTTTTTATTTTAGCAGCTCAGCATACTCCAAGCATCTCTTTTATTTCTTTGGTGGCAATAGTCTTGTTGAGACAATTTTATAGCTCCACTTGTGACCTTTAAATAGTTTTTAAAAGCAAATGCAAGTGGCTTCTTAAAAGTTTTAACCTATATACGAAGAAATATGCTATTTGCGGCACATAGCCAGGGAGGGTCCCATGGGGCCTGGGCCCCATGGGACCCCCCCTGGCTATGTGCCTGCAGCAAAGATCACATTAGTCTGTAATGCTTGTTTTTACTACCTTGGAGACCATTTGCAGTCATTTTGGGTTTCAAAGTGCCATTCGCCCCTTTTTTAGCGTATGATACTGCATTAATTTTTGAAGTGTCACTCAAGCCATATCAGCTATAGCACATATCACCAGTGTAATGCTGTGCATTAGAGGTTGCACTCTTTATACTACAGTGTGCCAAGTCATAAATCAAAAGATCTGAACGTGCCGTCTTGAAATATTCAAGTCCGCATATTGCCTTGCAACCCAAAACAGCTCATGCCGCCTGTGCAGGTGTCCACTGGAGCATTGTTTACCGAGCCTATTGTCGTCACGGTGGATGATGTTGGCTTTTAATGGGAGCTTTTCTCTGTGCTCAAACTTTATTAACCTAGTTGTCAAGGTGCCTAGATATTTTAAGTATTTTTGCACTTGTGGCCATACTATATTTTGCAGTAGTATTGTTTTAGATTTCTATGATATTTTTATGTTTGGCTGTGACGTGTGCCTTGGATTTTTTGTACTCCTATGGAATTAAATCATTTTAGTTATTTACAGATTTACTGCTTGTCCTGTTTGTCAAACATTTGCTGATTGCATTGAATGCAGGCTTCAACACAATTCCATGGTTGGGTACTTGTGATGCTATATGAATAACTTTTTAACCCTGTCGTATTGCTAGAAATTCCACAGCTAACGCTACATAATAGACCAACCTCGCCAAGCGTTGGGCAGATCCGTGACGCCGCCATAACTTTAGTTCACAAGGCAGATGGTAGTTCTCGAGACGCTTCGTGCCGTCTCGCGCTCTGCACGCTCAGTGCATCAGCGAGGTTGTCTCACATGAAGAAAGACTAAAGTTCCCTCAATGCATTGCGGCAGCGGCGGCATAACTAAACTGGCTGGTGGTATCGGTCTGTTGATCAGCCAGATTTTATGAGAAACCTGTCGCCAAGGACAGTAATGATGGGCTGTGGCATACCGCGATAGTGACGTCGCGTGATGCCATAACGACGTGTGATGTCAGTCGTGACGTCACACATAGCATGTGCTCATCTTGTTCACAACACTTTTTGTGTTCCCTGGTCTGTCAGCATATGCTCAAACTTGTGTATGGTAGTTATTTTTCTCTTCAAAAATTTGGCAGCTCTGTTAACACTGAACAATATGGAGAGCAAGTTGTCTGCTTCTTTTCTTACGCGAGAGTTGCGGTGACATTAGAACAATGCAGAGTTCTGATTGGCTTCAATTGAAGGCAAAGTGGGTAGATATTAATGCTAGATGCCTTGAGGTCTACCCACTATTTTTTCCAGTCGGCCAGTAAAAGCTCAACATTCTAACATTGTTGCAACTCCTGTGAAAGAAGCAGACAAACTTGTGTTCCGCATAGACTATTCCGTAACTCGAACCGGCATTATCACGGCCAGGGTCGGATTCAGAGGGGGGGGTCCAGATGTTCTGACCCCCCCCCCCCCCCCCCTCTTGAATTCTGCATCTGTAAAAATTTAGGGTGTGGAAAGGGGGGGGGGGTGGTCTTAAACATGATATGCTGACCAACACCTGACCCCTCCCCCCGCCCCCTCAAGAAATACCTGCGTCCGCCCCCGATCTCGGCACAATGCCACATATGCATTGTGAAAATCGGTGGGAAGCAAAATCTACACGCTCCACTCCTGGCCCACAGGTTCCCAGAATGTAACATGCGCGATGGATTTATGAATGTACGTAGTCTATTGAGCTGCACTTTGTATGACAAAAAGCATTTTGACTAGCAGAATTTTAAAAAGAAGAGTTAAATTTTGGTTTCTGAACACTGCAACTCACTGTGAGAGAGGTGAGGGGGTGATGCTCGACAGTTTCTTTTCCAGTATTTTAGGACAATGTACTTAGCTTCACAAGTAGCAGAAAAAAGAACGTGCACACTGCCGAAACTGAAACTACCACTAATTTGATACTGATATTCTATCTCAGAAAAACCGCGGCGCCGCAGAAAGGCAAGTCACCCATAATATGAAGACACTTCCCTGACTTCACTAGTTTCCCCTTTTTGGATACTTAGGAATTCATACCTGGTTCACACCGTCCACAGCTGGTATCACCCCATCAATTTGAATCTACAGGGTGTCACAAAATAAAATTTACACGGTTTTTTTCACCGCAAAAATAAACTAGGCATCGCCGAACGCTCATTCTCCGCCCAAAGGTAGAGCCAGAGGTCACAACCAGATGCCAAAGTTTCAGCCCGATCCGTTAACATATCAAAAGTTACGAGTGATTTTCTGAAAGTTTCAATAGGAAAATGGCGGCCGACGGAGTTTTCAAACACATGGGGCTCTATGGCACCAGAATCCGAAAATGGGCAAAAATAGGCGCCATTTTCCCATTGAAATTTTCAGAAAATCACTTATAACTTTTGATGAAGTTATCGGATCGGGCTGAAACTTTGGCAGATCTGGTTGTGACCTCTAGCTCTACTTTTGGGGGGAGAATGAGCGTTCGGCGATGCCTAGTTTATTTTTGCGGTAACAAATATCTTGTAAATTTTCTTTTGTGACACCCTGTACTTGAATCGCCCTTCATGCAGCATGGTTCGTGCCGTTCGTGCCCACGCCTCCGCGTCACTTGAGTCTATTTGACTCCACACAGTGCCAAACAAAATCGGACTCTTTATTTTTGTGCCCTTTGCCGTCGTAAGCACATCGTCATACGATATGCCGACGGCGGTGAACGTGAACTTTGGTCGAATAGCCGGAGCCTTCTCTACTCCCTCCCCCATTTCGTCCCAAAACTGTCAAAATAAATAGGCCCAGAGTGACCAAATGCAGCGCGCCGCCACCTTGCGCCAGCATCGTCGCTAGCGCATCTTGCGCGGCGCCGCGACGCGCGACGCTAGCACGCGTGCGGCAATGCCAAGACGGATGCGTCTGCCGCTTTGCGGCTCTGCGGCGGCTCTCGTCGAGTGCGTTTGCCGCTTGAGCCAACGTTGGCTTGAGCGGCTTGAGAGGATTGGAGGCCAACCAACGATGACGTCATGGGTAGGCCTTGTCTTCACAACCATCCGAAGTTCCGAACTCATCGGTTGCTTGTGTCAGCACGTGGATCGCCTGTAGAGTTTCGCTTTTCCCCTTGACGATTGTTCGAGATGGAAGCTGACCGGGAAGATCAAGCACCGTGCGCCGACCGTACTTCAGCCCGCTGATTTCACTGCGTAAGTAGGCGTCATGTCGCTCCGGTGCTCTTACGTCGTCTTTTCGAGATCTCCTAAAGCAAGTAGCAGGGAAGAACGAAGCGTTCCGAACTGCCTGGGAAATGGAGCGCGCGCTTGTTCGAAGGTGCGCTTCGTTTCGAACGCTTCTTCAATGCCTCTACAACGGCACGTTTGAAGAAGCTGTATCGTTGGGTGGAAAGGTGTGCTATCAAAATCTATCGTAAATGTATATATAATATCCGCGACTAAAATATCTTACCCCGAATGGAGCCGACCAAGTGACTTTTGTTTAGGGCGACCGCGACCGCGACCGGTTCGTGCGTTGACAGATCTCGATAGATTTCCGAATATTTGTAACATGGCTGAAATATATATAATCAGTGCTTGAAATCCATTTAAAACTTAAATTTGTGACCCATTATTATATGTATATATAAAAAAGAAAGGTGAGAGAAAAAGTGAAAGCCGTTTACAAATCCCTGTAACGCCGAATTGGAGCGCAGCTCTTGAGGAGGAGGAGTGAAGGGTACTGAGGGGAGGGTAGACCCCTCCCCCTTCTCCTCCTCCTCCCCTCATTCTTTAATATGCTCCGGGGGGGGGTGTCACGTGACTTCGGGGAGGGGGTCACGTGACCTCGGGGAGGCGTGACCTGGGGGTGACCTCAAGGCCACGTGACCCCAAAGGTGACCCCCACGTGACCTTGGGGGTCACGTGACCTGGAGGGGTCACGTGACCTCAGAGGGGTCACGTGACCTGGGGGTCACGTGACCTTGAGATGACCTTGGAAGGGGTCACGTGACCTTGGGGGTCACGTGACCTCGGGGGTCACGTGACCTTGGGGAGGCGACCACGTGACTTGGGGGTCACGTGACCTTCAAAGGGTCACGTGGGGTCCTTGGGGTCACGTGACCTTGAGATGACCTTGGAAGGGGTCACGTGACCTCGAGGGGTCACGTGATCTTCAGGGGGTCACGTGGGGTCACGTGACCTTGAGATGACCTTGGGAGGGGTCACGTGACCTTGGGGGTCACGTGACCTTGGGATGACCTTGGTTACGCCGACGCCGACGGCGACGCCGACGGCGACGGCGACGCCGCTCAAGCCGGGAACGGGCCGCTAAGAGCTGCGCTCTAAAACAAAAGGGTAGACTAGCTGCGCACATCGCAGCACAAACAAACCCCCGCCCTCCGTCCCTCCCCCTTACGCGCACTAAAGAAAAAAAAAAAAGAGAAGGTTTTGCGTGATGTCATGGCAGTGGCGTAGCATTTAAGGGGGGGGGGGGGGGGGCTGGACTGAAGCCCCATAAGCATTGATCCCTCCTGGCTACGCCACTGCGTCTGTCACAATGACGTGACGTCGGTGTGATTTTACATTATGATGTCACAATTTATGTTACGTGACATCATATATGACATCATAATGTCTTGCACATGGTGTCATGTATAACGTCATGAAGTCGTGTGGCACCATCACATGCATGCGAATCTGACATCACGTGACTTTGTGAATCACATCATTAAGTTGCATGACTGATGAAGTCACGTGATGCCATGTTATGTGATATCATGTGACACTGACAAAATTGAGGCAACATGCTATGGACACAAAATTTCTGAGGCTATTATTATACTATGCTTTAAAAAAAAAAAAAAAAAAAAAAAACCGTCTAGTACACATGCTAATGCGAAATTGCACTTTTTTTCGATCCCATAATGACATCCATTTTTTACCGTGTTCTCCCAGGGTTTTGAAACTGCCACACTGTGACAAGACATGGCTCATTCGAAGCCCCTCACTTTCTCCCTCCACTGGAACCAGGAAGGGTGGGAGAACCCAAACACCTACACTTCGGCATGCCAGCGCGTCTTTCGCATGCTCGAGCGGGCACACAACCTAAGAGTCCAAACCTCCGAGCCCCTGCGGAAACTGAACAACGGCGTCTACAATGACCAGACATGTCAGGTCTTGTGCACGATCCAGACGAGCCCATTCCCAGATCTGGAGGCGTACGACGTGATACGGCGGCACTGGTGCCTGGCTGGCAAGATGCCCGCCTTCCAGGGACGTCTGCAGTGGCTCGTGCCAGACCGCAACAGGGGCTTTCGGCGTGGAGGCACTCTCTATGAAAGCATCCAGTTGTCTTCCATGTCTTTCGGCACTTTCGTCGGCTTCGGCATCTTTGCCGAGAGCCACAAAATTGACACCATTACGACATTCCCCGGGTACACGCTGACCTGCACTTTCAAGCATGGCGAAAGGATGCTCCAAGTCCTGCTTGAACTGAGGCACAAGTGTCACAGGCCGACAACCTTGTACCGACTGACTGTTCCGTATGGGAGCATCCTTCGCGTCATCATCGACGACTGCGTGGACAGGTCAGCCACTACCGACATCTTCCTTCATCTCCAGACTTTCCCACTGCTCTGCAAGAAGGTGGAGCCGCCGAAGACCTGGCGCATACAGCCGACGAACCCTGAGCACTTCTTTTTTGATAGGGTCCTGGAGCTTGGCTGCTCTTGCGTCTCTCTGTTCGAGAGTCAGGACCTTGGCGGCAACTCGGTTATGAAGCTGAGCTTCCGGCATGGTCAGGTCGAGCGGAAGGTCGTCGACCGGCTCAGTCGTCGCTGCAAGAGAGGCACCACGTTTGCCTATGCTCCGATGCAGACTCGCGAAGTCGGATCCCAGCTGAAACAGGCTAGGCATTGGTTCAATGTGACGCTGATGCCTCACTTGAGCTTTTCCTGCTGCTATGCCCTAAACGCCGTGCTCCAGCAAGGCAATGACGCGGTGGCGCAGATGGTCCTGTTGCAACAGCAGGCATTCCACAACTTTGTGAACAACCTGGTCGATTTCGCGAGGGCCAACGAAGGTGCGCTCGAGCAGGCGCTTTTCTGCATCCGTTCTGCCATTGAGGCGCGGAGCATCGTTAATGTCCACGTGACCTTGCCGGAGCTGTTCCGCAAGTTCTGTCTGGCGTACGTTCCGCCCAAGGTTCCGCGGGGGTCTTGCCTGGTCCGACGCGTCTTCGTGACGCCTTCATGCGTCTTCTTCCTGCCGCCCAACGTCCACTCGGAGAACCGGGTACTCCGTTGCTTTGACGCCGAGTATGCGCTCCGAGTGTCCTTCCGCGACGACAACTTGCAGCATCTGTCGCATTCGCTCATGTTCCACCGGCAGAAGGAAGAGATGGTCGATACCATCGTGGCCAAATTCCTTCGCACCGGCATCGAGGTTGGTGGCAGGCAGTTTAAGTTCCTGGCGTCCTCCTGCAGCCAATTGCGGGACCACGGAGTGTGGCTCTATGCAATGGTAAGTCAGATTAATTTTTGTTTTTCATCTGTGCAACGCCATCTAGAAAACGTGGCCTGCACCTTTACCCCTAAACGTCGTTGGTTCTTTGCAGCGCCGCCTAGCTTGCGTCAGCGTTGCCGCCAGCGCATTTTGCGGCATTTCGCGACGCCAGCATGCGACGACGCAAAAACAAACGCGTCTGCTGTCTTGCATCGACTGTTGACGAGCTTCGGCGTATTTGTGCCGCTTGGGGCGGGTGGGGGGGCCACTTTTGATGACATCAAGACCTTGTCTCCTAGGTGGTATATTGATCCGTGATCTACAGACATTTCTTTAGTTCTTTTTTTTGATGTTCGATTACCTTTCAAAGTTTTCACAGAAATTCACAAAAAGAAAGGTTTAGCGACTCTACTTCATGCGACTCGGTTGTGTGAAAGACCCTTCTCGTGCCTTTTCCTCCTTGCACCTCTATGGCATACTACTTTGTTTTCACCACAAAGATCTGTTATTAGGTCATGAGTTTTGAGTGGAGAACACGTTGCCACATCCTGTAATTCTTAGTCTGTTTTTCTTCCACTAGCCTAATGCTTACCCTCTTTTCTTAAAATAAGAGAGTAAAAACAAACGCTGTGTATGCAACGCCACAAAAGGTATCGGCACGAGCTCGTACAGTTTTAACTAACGTTTTGTTTCCACGACAACCTATGCATGTGAGGTGGTAGCTGATGCTATATGCTTATGCCAGTATGTTGGCAAGTTATATCTGTGGAATACAGTTTCATACAGTGCTGGCAAACTGGAATAATGAGTCGCTTCTCCTTTAAGGGGGACATAGCCTCGGAATTCAAATTTTTCAGAAAAAAAAACATTTTTTCAAAAATAATATGTTTATATTTATTAACTTCCAAAGAATGGTTTCAGAAACTTTCATCTATATAAACATGCACGATATATCTCACAATAAATTATTTTCGACATGTCGGCAGCCCTCCGAGTCAGCAGGGAGCAAGTTTTTTACGTGTTTTATTTAGCGCTGCTTCATACTCATTTAACATAGCCAGAACATCTTGCCCTTATTGGAAGCACCATTTACTCTAGATTTAGCTTGTAGAAGCTTTCAAAGTCTACACGTATCAATGACCAGGAGGATGCGATACATCCAAACAGAAATAATTCTGAAAATTTGGTATGAGCAATATTATTAGTTGAGACCTGAAACAGGGTTTACAATTGGTCCTTCTTGGTGATGTGATATTATATCATCTTCAGTAACACCCTTTCACAGTATCTTCAACTTCAGATCCTATTTCTGCTTTGCTGCTCTTCCTTAGTGTGATTTACCTTATAGTTCTTGCCAGTTTATCTGTCGGAGAATGCCTGCTACAAAAGCTAGCATGCCTACAAACAATGCAAACTGGTAGCTATTGCCAGGGGAACAACGAAGTCTCAAAGAGGAAGGTGCTAACAATGCGCCAGGTGAATTTTGCCTGCCTCGGATTCATAGAAAATAAAGAAACCTAAGGTTGAAGCTTCAAATGCATTTTTCTCAGTTTCACTTTTTGACAGGAAATGTGGTATGAGGAAATGTATCATTGGACATTTTGAAAGTGTGAAGATTTCATTCAGTGGTGTCCTCAACTGAAATTTCCCGAGGAACAAGTTAAGGTACTCATAATCTGAAAAAGCTAAATTCTTCATGACAAAAACTGAATATTTTAAAACGCAGAAAGTTGTTAAAATTGTTTGCTCTTTTTGGGTGTTATTGTTTTTCTCTAGAATTACATTTTCTACAATTAATTTTTACCTTAACTTGCACTATGGGTATTCTACTTCCCATTAAACTAAACATTTTGTGGTTTTCAATTATTATTCTTATATACATTTCCTAATAAAGTAACTTTTTTCTGGAGCTTGTTATAGTATGTTGTAGAATTGGCCTATAAGGCTGAAACTTTAGATGTCATCAATCCTAGTGGGTTTCAATTCACCCTGAAAGTTTCAATCACTTTGAGACAATGGTTCAAAAGTTGACCCTCTCAGGCCATGTCTCCCCTTAACATACTTGTCGATATTGTTGGTGGTCACTTCATTCCTTGGTCGTCTCGCGGGCTCCACTGTCTTGGTGCCAGTGCAGAGTGGGTGCAATGGACCCTTTTGAAAAGTGTTTGCCATTAATATCTCCAATCAATCATTCCCTTAACTGGTCCCAGTTTAGCCCTACCTGTTTCCCAACTGGGAGTGGTCAAATGAGTTACTCCCAATCGGGAATGATTCCAGCCAGATGGTCCTAGCTGGTCCCTTTGCTGGTCCCAATGGGACTTCATTTGGTTCCAGCTGATTTACTGTTGGGACCAGTTAGTCCCAGCTGAAGCCAGTTAAGATTTCAACTGGTCCCAGCTAGAAATTTTTGCCTGGTGTACATAAAGTGACCAGACGTCCCGATTTAGGCAAGACAGGTCCCGTTTTTCCGGTTATGGTCTCGCTGTCCCCCCAGCGTGCTTGCGCCGGGCCGCCAGCGCCGGCATTTTCTCCCGCTTCGGCTGCCCCGAATCCGGAATAGATAAAAACACAGTTACCGTAGGATACCGCGCATTTGCCCATACCACACTAAGCGCCCATACCCAAATTTGTAAGATCTGAGAAAATATGCGCAGTACATTGATATGTATAATTGATGACCGGACAAGCACCCATCCCCTAATTTTTCGCGATTATCTGTACATTTTGAGTGGGCGCTTTCCCCATATTTTACGGTAAACGAAAGTATCACACCAGTGAGAGGTTTCTTTTCCTGGTTACCGTAAAATACCGGGCAAGCGCCCACTCAAAATATAGAGATAATAACAATAAAATGGGAGATTGGCGCCTATCCGGTCATCAATTTTATATATATAGATGTTCTGTGCATATTTTCTCAGATCTTAAAAATTTGGATATGGGCGCTTAATTTTGGAATGGGCGGATGTGCGGTATTCTACTGTAAGGAACAAAATATGCTTGGCAAAGAAGATGCTGATGTTGAAGGTTAATTTGCATATGACATCTGAACAGTACTATGGACATAGTATCTACGAAAATGAATACTAAAGAAATATTCCAACTAAATGTATTAGATGTGCATACCAAACAGTATGCAAATAGCAAGGAAGAGAAATGTGTACGGTGTATACGAAATAATAAAAAAGTGTGATTTGTAACCGCAATATAAACTTTTCAAGTCTTGCAACACAATAATCCCCCCCCCCCCCCCCCTCTTGATACGCGTCTTGCTTTGGGGCCCGAGAAAAATGGTCACTTTAGGTATGCAGATAAAGAAAAGTAGGACAACCTCCTTTTACAAAGCCCTCTACTCTTTCTACTTAGCAGAGAGAATGCTGGAGAGGATGCAGGTGGAGCATCTATTCTGTTTAAATGAAGAGCGGACGGCTCTGGGGGAATAGTTTGTCCTGCTTTTTTTTCACCAGCAACTGCATGTCTGTAGTAGCTGCTGTGCCAAGTATCCAATTCCACCATTGTTTGATCATGTGCCCTGAGCATGCATTGGACATGTGGGGTGCATCAGTCAGCGTTCGGCGTGAGCTCGGCTCAGCTCGCATAAAAAACTAAATCCTGCGTTGGCGTTCGGCGAGGACTCGGGGGGTGGAGGGGGGGGGGGGGGTCGTTTCTATCGTGAATGCGTTTCCTGGAAACATGTTTCAAACAACTTTTTTGTTGATAACATTTCATTGACACAGTTTGTCGACGCTCTATGTTTCGTGGAAGCTCGTTTCGTGAGCACATGCTCCTGCGAAGTTTTGTTTACAACATGTCTTTTTACTGAGCAGCGAAAAGCTACCGCGTGATTCACTGAGGCATGTTTACCCAAGCCTTGCCCCCCCCCTCCCCCCCCTTTCCCCCCCTTTCCCTTCCCTCCTTTCTCTCCCCCAAAAACCAGGCAAGATATGCAAGACGTTTCTTGCGATAATAGCAGGCTTGTGTTCGACAAAGCGTCGCAAGGTCTGTCGATGAAATGAACGTGGGAAGCCTTTTGATGAAACGAACCATCAATGAAACGTCGCATGTTGTCAACACAATGTGTTGGTGAGACGTCGTTTCATGAACTGATTGCCGCCAAAGGACTCGGATCCAAGCACATGCATGCTCCGTGTCCGAGAAATGGCGTCTGCCAATGTTGTGTGATGGGGTTTTGAAAAGGGTTTATTGACGATTGTTTAGAGTAGACAATGCGACTTCTCTAGCTTTAGATACAACCTCGGGAAGCTCGTGCAATATCTTGTTCTTGCACTGTCACAGACTGTTTTCACTGTTAACTGGCCACAGGAAAAGCAGCGATTTTCAAAGGGTCCATGCATACGCTTTTATTTTCCTAACCAATTTCCATATGGAGCTATATGACAGATCAAAATGTGGCCAATTAGTTGTTCTTTCAAAGGAAACCGAGGTATAGTATAATGTATGTGGGACAAAAATTTTAAAATTTTTGTTCTTGAAACTAATGTAGATGTGGAAGGCGTATAAATGCCGAAACCTCTACAACTGTGTGAAATTAAACAACAAAAACAGAAAAATTCACAATACACAAAATGTGCCCCATAACCACACCTATATCACTTCAGAAAGTCACTGTACTCTAACTGACATTCTTTATTTTTACAAAAAGCAGAAATCACAAAGTCTCTTGTCTAGAAAAACTAAAACCACATAACCAACCACTGCTGCTTATTGCTTCTTTTTCTTAAAACATAATCTTCTTGGACCCTCCCCTCTCCCCGACCCCTCCTCCCTGCGTTGGCCCTCAACGTTTCAGGGGTGGGCTATCTGACCCTACACCCGAAGGAGTTTGAGGCCCATGCACTCTGTGAATAACAGGCGTGTTTACCAAGCCTTGCACCTCTTCCTCTCTCTCCCTCCATAAACCAGGCGAGGCGCAAAAAAGTATGTCAGGAAAAGGGAGAGTTGTGCTCGACGAAATGTTGCAAGGTGTGTCGATAAAACAAACGTACATACAAAGTCTTCGACGAAAGAAATTGTCGATGAAACTTCGCACGTCGACGAAACGTGTTGATGAACCGTCGTTTGCCCAACTGATTGCTCTTGTTTCTCCAGTGTAACATTCCCAATTTTTTCCACAGCTTTTGAAATTTGCGGGATGTGTTGAGCTTGTCTTGCCCCCTGCGTCCAGGACCGACAAGGCTTTACGGCAGAGTCGATCCGCCGCTGGATGGGGGACTTCAGTGCCATCCCCAACGTGGCCAAGAAGATGGCGCGGATGGGCCAGTGCTTCTCCTCAACGGAGGAGTCTGTCAAGGTACCGCTCCACGGAGGCAACATGGAGGAAGTTCCGGACGTCGTCGGTGGGGTGCACCCTGTCTCCGGGAAGGAGTTCACCTTCTCCGACGGCATTGGCATGATCTCCACATCGCTTATGCAGAAGGTGAATTTGATCAGCCTTATTTGTGGCATTATCTTGCTCAATCGAGCTGTAAAATAAAGCCCTTCCATTTAATACGAAGCTCCGAGACACAGATATGTATATCTTAACTACAGTAGATCTTGCGCTGTAAAACAATTTGGAAAATGCGACGCCTGCACATAAAAAGTTCAAACTTCCATCGAATGTGCACTGAGGCAGTGTATTTTAGCTGATTTCCCTTTCTATAAAAAAATGAGACTGACAAACTTGCCACGGTCAACGGTGGATGGGTTGGCAGACGACCTGAGTCATCGATGCTTGTAACAGTGGCTCCATCTGCTGATAGATGCAGCAAGGAGACGACAGTCGTGTCGTCTGCCCGCTGTGCCTATGTTTAGGGGTTAAAAGCGCTAAAAACGACGGACGAGTAGGATCTTACTCTTACACCATGCGTGGTGTAAGAGTAAGAATTGTGATAAGTGACGGTTGGAACTGAATCGGATGTGTGTCTTGTTGGTTTTACGTACGTATGGTTTTTCCAATAATAAACCAGTTGCAAGTAGCGCTCTGTGGTGTGTGTCTCTCCTACTCGTCCGTCGTTTTTAGCGCTTTTAACCCCTAAACATGTTCAACCAACTAGCCCAAATCCAAACCCTTCTGCCGCTGTGCCTATCGGGAGATGGCGTGCCACGTGTTCCAAGCATCGTTAACTTATATTTGTCTGCGAACCCATGTGATATTGACCGGGAAAGGTTTGCTGGTCTCATGTTTTACGAAAGGAAAGCTATATCTTTTAAAACATTATCAGCTAAAATACACCACCTCAATGCAAATTCAATGAAAGTTTGAGCTTTCTATGGGCAGCATAGATTTTTCCGGCTCGTTTCACAGTGTAAGATCCACTCTAGCCACGCTATATTTGCGGAATAATGTTTATGAATCCAGCAGTAAAATGAAGCATTTCTGTTTAATACAAAACTGTGAGGGTGCTTTTTTCGATGCCGTTCTTGCGCTCCAGCCATCTTGAATCGTCATCTTTCTTTTCTTTTCGCGACACACTGAGATGCACGGAGAAACTACCTTGTTCTGCAACACAGACTTCATCTGCAAGTTGGTGTGCAGAGGGGGCAGTTGTCTGTTCTATAGAGTCACCCTACGCTTCAGGGTACACTTTGGCCACTTTTGCCATTTGTTGTTGCCAGTTATCTGAAGCTTTTTCTGAAACAGCATGAAACGCTTTTCCACCCTCCAGAAATGTTAAAGAAGTCTGCGACAGAGCAAGCAAGCCGGAGTCTCCTTGAAACTGTAGCTATACAGTCTAAGCTCATTACAACAGACCTGGTTACAACAGACATTTGGATATAACATATGGATTTGTGAAGTTCGGTTGGTTTTCCTCTACATACCATTGACCAAACATCATATCTGCATACAACATACTCCTTTTACAACAGACCAAAATCTTGGTCAAAATCAAGGTCTGTTATAACGAGCTTAGACTGTACTAGCTTCGGCAGTCGCAGTTTCGAACCGTAACTATTTCTCACTGCACTTAGTGCAGTGATGCGATTGCTGCACCCCTGAAAGATGACTTACCCTTAATTTCGACATGATTTCCTACTTTTTCAAAAACACCAAAAGATATCCATCCCTCTTTTGGTTGAAGGGCCCTGGCCAATGGTGACCTCGGTGGAAATGGTGTTACCTATGATGGGAGACAAGCGAACATTGCTGTCATCTTTGCCCCACTGCCCCTAGCTGCGATCACAAGTTTCACAGGCCACAAAATCTAAAATCATGTTGTTTAACACCTAAGACTGTGGTGCAGAAAAGAACACAAAAGCTTTTTGTCTAAGGAAGAGACACAGAAGGGAACGTCTCAAACTCGGCCAACTGGTTTATTTCTCAAGCATCCTATATAAACCCACACAGCCACTCTCAACCACCTTCTCTGCAGAGATCTCCTTTGTTGAAAGCATTTTCAAATACAAAGAACATACACATACGCAAGAAACCAAACGGTCTAACCCACAATACCATCGTCGTCAACCACCTTCGACTAAAAGTTTTTTTTTCTTTTCTGCGCCACAGTTTCAGGTGTTAAAAGACATGATTAACTACCACCAGCTTACTTGCGCACTTAGTCTTTTCGCAAAAGCTGCCATCTTTAATTTTATTGCCCAACGGAGTTGGGCAAAAAATAAACCTCACCCTATCTTGATTGGATAATCTCCTAATTAGGAGGGGGGGGCACTTGCTCGGTATTTTACGGTAGCATTCTACTTTTTTTTATCAACACCGAAAGTTAGATTACTCCTCACTTTCATCTTAGTACAGTCGAACCTCGATATAACGAACTTCAATGTAACGAAATCCTCGATTTAACGAAGTATTTTATTTTTCATAATTTCTTGCCCATAGGTTCCATGTATTTTTAGTCCCTATATAACGAAGTCTATTTTGCTGCTATTTCAATATAACGAAGCGCCATTGCCATAGAAGGCAATAAATAAATCAACTCTAAAAAACAACTTCGCAAAAAAATTGTGGTTAAAAAAAAAAATTATGCGCAAACGCGAGCGCTTGATAGGTTACTTCACGGGGACAGGCCTTCCAACGTTCCTAGGCTGCCCGAGGATGCGGCGCCGGTAGCGCCGGCGAGGCATGCGGCAAGCGGATTCCGCGGGGCTGGCCAGAAAATGCCGAGCAAAAAGTTAACACGGCATAACAGCATCACCACTGACATTCACTGATCATCATAGTCCACTGTACCGCGGGAGCCAACTTCAGCGGGGGAGCGACGTGATGGCGCGACCGCGCGATAGGGAGCCTCCCTATCGCGCGACGCGACCGCACGGGCAGTGCCATCTAGGAGAAGACCGAAAAGACCGATTATCGTCTTGCGACCGTGATGTAAAGCAAAGGCGCAAGCACACTGTGGGCGCAAGGGGGCAAGTAAACTGTGCGGTCAAGAGTACTGTGTAGGTTGGAAACATTGGCACCGCTTAAACCGCCTAAACTAAACAGCTTTATTTGTTAACCGGGCGGTTCACTTACGTGCTTGCTGCCATAAGGAAACGTAAAGTTCTTTCTTTGGATGAGAAAGCAAACGTTTTGGACGCCATCCTGAAGAAACTGCCGAGATCACGAGCACTCGGGAAGCGCTCGACGCAATGGACGTACTGAGGAGGTACACGGCGTCGCATGGGCAGCAAGATGCCGTGCAAGCGCTCTGGGCGCTCGAACGCCGTATTGGCCGTATGACGCCGCCGACGCCGCTGCTACTGTCGGACAAGGCGCAAGCAAAACTCGCGGACTACTTTGCCCCTAAATAAATGTCATTTTCGGTGAGTTTTCATACCCGTAAAATGTTTCGGAATTTTTTTTTCGCATGCTAAAGCCAAATTTCGATTTAGCGAAATTTCAATGTAACGAAGTAAATTGCGAATTTTACCGACTTCGTTACATCGAGGTTCAACTGTAGTTGCTTTCGATTTTAGGTCGGCTATCTCTTCAGACAATGTGTAGACATGCCAGGTGGCATGTCTAGAGTTTTTTTTATTGCTTGTAAACCTTATCGTCTATCATTAGTCCGACAGTGAAGTGATGAGTGAGCCGGATTTTGTTGGCTTCCCGGTCTGCAGGTGTGCAAAAAGCTGGATTTGTCCGAAGTACCTTCGGCCATCCAGATCCGCTATGCGGGCTACAAGGGCATGCTCTGCGTCAACCCAGAACTGCGGGGCGACAAGCTGGTGTTGCGGGACAGCATGCGCAAGTTCAGCTGCTCAAACTCCGACAGCCTCGAAGTCATCAAAGTGTCTGCCCCACGTGCGTCTCCACTTCTTCTACTGCCTTGTTTGGTATAATAGGTGGTACCTATGACACAATGCAGGCAGAGTTTAGTAGAATGGCAGGCACCATATACAATACGAGGATATGCTACAGACACGTTTCAAGGGGGGGGGCATGGGGTGCGGCCCCTTCAGTTTTGCTGGGGCCTCCTCCCCCCCCTTCCCCTTCCTTGGAATCAAAATCCTGGCTACATGCCTCATATGCTATACAATATTTCATCTTGTTATAAATGTTTGAATTTTCGAATTGTGGTATAGAAGAATATGCTATTCGGTATTTGCTTTGAGATTAGCTGCAATAGTCATGCCTTTCAAACTGTTGATTGCAGCGGGTTAGCCGCGTTGGCTGCGCTTCTCTGAGCACCTGTGCACTGCAAGGAAGCAATACCCACGAAGCTTGCGGGCTTCATGGGTATTGCTTGCCTGCAGTGCACAGGTGCTTGATGAAAAATGCACTCGACGGGCCTAACCTGCCGCCATTATGCAAGAGTATCGTATTTTCTGGTGTATAAGACGCACCCCTCCCCCTTTCTGCAAGTTTTTAAGTAAAAATTAGTATATAAGACGCACCTCTGTATAAGACGCACCTATATTCACGCACTTGCTGCGAAGAAACTTCATGACGTGTGCTTGCGCAAATATCGTGAAATGCCATACTTACCAATTAACGTCTCAGAGCACTAGTAACTTGAGAACTCGCAAACTTCGTGTTTTCTTTTTTTCTTTTCTTCGTTTTGTTGACTTTCTTTTTTTGTTTGTTTTATTATGGAACTCTAGTTTTGGAAGGTTGACTTGCATTTGACACATCATTTGCATTGAGCTGTCATAGTAGTTAAAAAAAGACTAATCGGCATCAGCAGAAGTTCTTTCAGAGTTTGCGAGAAAGAAAAAAAATATGCACATAATACGCACCGTTGTACAAGACGCACCGCCGAAAATTTTATAAAAAATGTGCATCTTATACACCGGAAAATATGGTATGCGTTTTGCAGTGATGCCTTGACAACCAGCATTCGTCCTTCATGTTTTTTTTTGTCAAACCTAAAATGGAAGGAAATTATGTTTATATAACAAGCAGATTTATTAATCCCAACAAATGGGTTAGCTGCAAAAAATTTGTTGTTTACATGCCACAGTTCACATAGTAATATTAAAATTAACTGAGCTTAGAAGTGGTGGACAAGTGGATGGTTAGAAGCAACCTTCATGAATTTAGCTCGTTCATTTAAAAGCAACACGGCCTAGAAAATTAAATTTTTTGCAATAAAATGTTTTTTTGCAAACTGCTTTATTTGGGTTCACAACTTCTGAAGAGCATTTGCTTGAAATTTCGTTCATGTCCACTGCATAGTAATCTTGTTATAGATTATTTTCTGTTCGCCGGTGGTGCAAGAAACAGTGGAACGACGGAGTGCGCGCGAAAGAAATTGCAATGTTTATCTTTATCTCGGTAGGGCTCCGCGCATGCTAAGCCTAGCAAGGAGATTGCATCCTCGTTTGAAAGCCTGTTTCTCGTATTTTTGGCGCTGATGCATCTCTTCGTTTGATGAACTAAGAGCACTGTGTTGACGATTAGGCTAGTTGGTCATTCATATTAGCGGAAAACAAGCAGCGCAAGGACAAGGCCAGAGTAGAAGGCGGTAGACACACACAGCGCTGCTTTCAAGTTGTAAACGTCGACTTGAGGTAAAAGGTGCTGTGTGCTGTGTGTGTCTACCGCTGTGTGTGTCTACCGCGCTGTGTGTGTCTACCGCCTTCTACTCTGTCCTTGTCCTTGCGCTGTTTGTTTTCCGCTAAAGAGCACTGAAAAACGCTTAAGAGCCCAAGTTGAAATTGGCACGTTTTTGCGAGAAAATACGTTACACGCCCCTATAGGCAGAAATAATGAAACCTAAGCTCCTATTGGCACCCACAGATCGAAAGCTTGCTTGTAGAATCCGGTCGCAATCATGTATTGCTTCTTGTTTTGGAACCTGCGTCGCCTCTTTTTTTGCTTTGATTTTATTTAGTTTTCATCGTTGATCTTCAGTTTTCATCGTGAATTTTTTGGTGAAGGATATGCCTGTGGTGAAGCCATGAGAGCGACAAGGCTTTAGCTGCCGCTCGCGATTCACGAAGCCGCAAGGACTGAGCAATGGAAACCGCGCGACTGCCACCGATGAAAATGCTTCACTGCCACAGACACCTTCACACGGTGTCGACAACGGAAAGTGGTATTGATGGCGTTCGAGTGGAAAGATGAGCTTTTTATGAGACTGGCGAAGGCAGTGGGGACGCAGAAAATGATGAAGACGCCGAAAAGTCTTCCGGCGACAGTGCGGCTGGCTACCTTTTAGTGAGCATATCATCTTTGCGAAGCTTGATAGAAGTGCTTCTCTGTCCTACATGCCGTGCCGTGCCGTGCTTGCGATTTGAAACTACAGGAAAGCGTTGTCAGTACGCATCTGACGTTCTCTGTCGTGTGCCCGGGTGGCACTCAGTTTGTCGAACAACTTCTTGGCGAGTACCGACTTTTCATCGAAAGACACTTTAGCAAATGGTCAGCCGCCGTGAAGCGGCGTTCACGGGTGGGCCAGGTGGATTAACATTCTTGTAATGAGCCGCCGCAAAGCAGCATAAATGCAGGCCGGGGGGGGGGGGGGGGAAGAAGGAGGGAGGAGGAGGAGGAGGAGGAGGAGGAGGAGGAGGAGGAGGAGGAGGAGGAGGAGGAGGAGGGGGGGGGGGAGGGAGGGAGGGAGGGAGGGAGGGAGGGAGGGAGGGAGGGAGAGAGAGAGAGAGAGAGAGAGAGAGAGAGAGAGAGAGAGAGAGAGGAGGAGGAGGAGGAGGAGGGGGAGGGAAGGAGGAAGGGAGAAAGGGCCTGAACATGACGTTTGCCAACAAACGTCATGTTCAGGCCCCGCCTCCACTTATCCCCTGTGCACGCACACACCCACACGCACACACTGCAGCTGCGGCCTGACTTTACATTCCGGTGCCGAGGCACTCTCGCCCCGAAAGCCGCGCCGAGGAGGTGACAACAAAGGGTCCACTGTCAGCCCGGTAGACAACGTTGGCCAAGGTAGTGCTGATCCGTCCATTAGACGGCGTTGTGACACGAGAAAGGGTTTGGCTGGATCATCCTCAAGTGGCGTCCGAGGATAATCTAAACCGAACGCGCCCTCACGGAAATCCCGCAGCTGGCGCGCCGTCACCCGGAATCCTCGCCCGGTAATCCCCCCGGTTCCCGCGTCGGCTGACCCCGTTTCGGGCCAGCGTAATCGCAGCCAGAAAGAAGGGTCCGGCTAAGCCTCGCGCCAAGGTGTGGCGACGTCAACACGGTGGTCCTCCGTAGAAAACCGCGGCATCCCCTTGTCGCCTTTAGCTTCGTTTCCGGGCACAGCTGACCGGAGCCACGTGGCGACGATACTCAAGGCGTCCACGGTGCCGGTCGGATTAAATAGAGATGGTCTGGTCCGGGGGCCTTTCACAACAAGATTTCAACCAATTTCACCCAGCGGTTCAAAAGTTGACCCTCCTTTATGGTGCAGGGTAGTGAAAGACTGAAAGAAACTATTTGATATTCGATTAGAAAATATTCGGCCCAAAATCACTATTCACATCGAATTCGCTTCGAATTTGCTTTAAACTTACTTTGAACTCAAAATGTACTATTTGAACATGCCCAATAATCTTAAAGTCACTGACCGAATAAAAAGGGCAGGATGTGTCTTTCAAACGCCAGGCCTCCAGCATGCACCCCATGCCTTCCTCTGTGCCTTGGCTGCGCATGCGTACTTGAGGTGGAAGAGATGCCGAAGCATAGTTGAGGGTAGGAATCTTGCGCTCGACGTGGGAGACCCGAAGCTCTTTCCTGCCATTCTCGCCTCTTCAGTGGCTATAGCGTCGTAAAGGCTTACGGGGGGCCAAACCCTCTTGCTCGTTGCACTTGCTGTAATTTGGACATTGTTCCTCGCTGCAAAACAATTTTCGTACTCCTCGTGGAACCCAACTAGTACTGGTAAACACTACAGTTTATTGCGGGTTGAGAGCAGCGAGACAGGCCTCCCACGAAACCCCTCTCTTTTTACTTTATCACTGCGAACACTGGAGAGGAGGAAATCGCCGACCATGGCAAGTGGACAGCTATGTGGGAGGGGCTTGTCCTGCCATTCCAGAGCTGCAACAGGACGTAGTACTTCCCTAAGGCTGCGGTCCCACCGCCGATGCATCGTGCAAAAGACGCGGCGTTTGCTCCAGATAGGATGACATAAGTATATGAGGATACGCCGCAAGCAATTCAATTCAATTTAATTTTTATTTTCAGATCAAGTCATACAAAATAAAGAGCATTGTTTGCTTTTTACGCATGTATGCTTTGAAGCTAGGTGTCCGCAAACTGGTTTTGTATCACCAATGTGATAGGTTTGTTATAAGAGGAAGAAACATTCCTCAGACTGTGTCTGCAGACTGACTTTTGCGTGACGCATCAGCAGCTGTTACTGCAGCTTAACGGGAATGTCGGAAGTTTCCATCCGTTCTAACTCTATGTGCCCTTAACTGTATCCAGGCACGGTGTACCTAAATCGCTTCCTGATCACCATCCTGGAGCAACTTGGCGTCCCCAGCCGCGTCTTCCTCTGCCTGCAGCAGAAGATGATGCTGACCTTTGCAGACGCCCTCGTCTGCGAGAGCACGGCGCTGCGCGTGCTGTGCACCTATGTTGGCGGCACTCTCCCTTTCCTGCGTCTCCAGCAGAACGGGTTCTGCCTCACCCGCGACCCGTTTGTGCGTCTGTTGCTCTACACCGTCTACAGGAGCACCATGGGTGAGCGGCGGTGTCGCCTGCAACTATTTTGGCCGGGCTGATGCTGATACTGGGTGTGGGCTTCAAACATTCTGGTTTAAAACAGCACGACAAGACAAGGACAAAGTAGAGACGATACAGACGCTGCCGCCGTCTTGTCGCGCCGTTTTAAACCAAAATGCTCATCAAACTAGTCGAACATACCTTTTAGCGAGCTTCAAGGCAGATTTTGAGCAAATATTTTGTTCTTCTGAACAAAAATAGATTGTATGCATGCCCAATAAATCTTTAGCGATCACTTGCCTTCCATATTCTCTGCACTGCAATCCGTGGAGTACTCGTTTGTTTAAAGCCACGGTCATACCGTTAACGCATCGTAAAGAAGACACACTGCAAACGTTGTTTAAGGCATATATTTTGCTCCTTGTATGACGGTCCTGTCATGTTGGTCATGCAAGAGCTGTCCACAGACATGCTCAAAGCAAGTGTATGTACGAAGCAAACGTGACTCGAACATGCTTGAGGCAGTGTCTGCAGACGACTCTGTCATTGTGTCTACAGTGAACACTGCACCTTTTGTATGATGTACGAGCGGTGTGATCGCCTGTGGCTTAAAGGTTTTTCGCAGAGTGTGCTACAGTCACCGACTGAATGAAAACAGTGGGGTGTCTATTTTGATTGAATGCCCGGCCTCCGGCACGCGCTTGTGGGAGATTCTGCTGTGCCGTGGATGCTCGTGCACGTCCAAGGCTCATGACACTGAAGTGTTGCCGAAGGTGGGGAGACCATGCTGGAAGGGGTACAACTGAAAGACCTCCCTGCCGTTTTTGCACTCTCCAGGACTTTGCGGAGTGCAAGTTCGTCTGCTTCTTGCCCAGGGGTTGCGATGATGTCGGAACGCCAAACTCTTATTGGCTGATTGAAAAGAACAGTGGGTAGATCTCGAGGCGTAGCTATCATTGAGGTCTACCCGCTTTCATTCAAAGCCAATCAAAGCTCGGTGTTGTCCCGATGTTGCCGCTACTCGTGTGCAAGAAACAGACAACTAACTCTCTGTGTAGCTACAGGTGTAAAGTCCACAATCGACTCGATTGAAAGTCGACCTACCCACATTGCACATCAGCAAAAAAAAGAAAAAAAGAAAAAAAATCTTTAGAGGCACATTTTGTGGCAAACACGTGAGAATGGCAGGGTATCTCTTTTCAAAGCCCAGCCTTCAGCACGCAATCGATGCCTTCTGGCATATGCTTTGGCTGCGCATGCATATGCAGCACATGAGATGCCCAGGCATTATCGAAACTGGGATGCTTATGTGGGAGCTGGGACAACTGAAGCTGCTCCCTTTCGTTCTCCCTCTGTCCCCAACTAGAGACTATGATTTGGCCGCACTGGGTATGTCAGTCCCGTCGTCATTACTGCTACATTCTCAAAGCACATCGGCGGCGTCGTCCAACGAAATCTCGCACTTCGCAAATGACAGCATCAAGCGCATCTTCCATGCTCGCTCGGTGATCGCGTTGCACGTCATGGGTAGGGACTGATTGTGCACTTTTGTGGCGTACGTTGCAAGCCAGACCTCTAACTCTGCAAGGCATCCCCACCTATCCAGACTTTGGCCCTGTGGAAGCCTTTTTGTTTTCCATCACAGTTAAGATCCCATGCCATTGGAGACTCCACTGGAGCACCACCCGCTCTGACTGGTCAAACTTGCATCCAGCAGTGCAGTTGTTGGTTGCTTCTGGATGAAGAATGGCCATGAACAAGCACCGAGAACCTAAACTGCCCGGATCAAGCGTGTCATTACAAGAAAATGTAGTTGGAGCTCCAGCATGGTTTCAACACTCGATCGAACGAGGTGCGACCGTGAATCGTGCGAAAAACTGCGAAAAGAAGCTCCTGGGAGTGAGGTGCGAGGCTGTTCCAGGGCCTATTCTGGAATGGCTTTTACAAAGAGTGCCGCCACCCCCGGGAGTCGTATGCACCATGCGCTGGTCACCGCCATACATCCACCAATGTTTGTTCGCGCAAACAAAAAAAGAAAACTTGTAAAATGAGCGCTCAGAATAGTGCATTGCTACAGGTACAGCTGGATGAACCGGTATTAACAAGTCGAGGTGTTCTCGATATTGCGATTGTTTGGTGATTGTAGGCGGTGGAATTCTTTGGTTCGATTGTAAGTCAACCCCCCATTTCAGATTTTCAAAAATTGAAAGATGGGTCGACCTACATTTGTGTAAATACGGTATTGGTGGGGACAAACAGCATGGTGAACGCTGCAACATGGTCGACAAGATAAAATCCTATTGGTGCCCCCCCCCCCCCCAAGTAGCCTCAGCCAACAACGTCTTGCTGTCGGCTGAGACTGAAGAACTAAAGAAAAATAAATTTAAAAAAGTGTCTCATTTATATGGCACCGGGGCATGCTCTCTTTCTGCTTGGAGCGTCTGCTCTGACCTTGAGGGACGCTGGCTCGAACACTACGCCACAGTTCTCTCTGCTTCAACGCATTAATGAGACTGCAATCGTCGTTGAGGCGCGAAACTAGGGTCAGTGACGAAGCGGCGTCTAAGCAACAAGCGTAGCGCAAGTGTCTTGTTTTACGTGACATGGAGCACTCAGAAAACAAGCACATCTACCATGGAGAGGCATGAGAAACCGGGCCTGCGACGTTAGCCGCATATTGAAGTGTCATCTGGTGGCACCGCGTGCAACCAATGCGAGGAGAGGTCTTTATTTGGCAGCTGCGATATGCGCGGTGACCACACTTACCGTAGTTTTCCGAGAGATGCCCACACCGAAGCAGTGATGTGATTGCTGCGCCAGTTGCGCTAAACTGCGCCAAGGGGCTAACCCTGCTACATCCTGCTACATTTCGCCGAAATATGGGTAATCTGCACCAAGCCTGCGCCAAAGGACCAATTTCGGTCGTCTTTCAAAACCGAAACTAAACTGAGTACTGTAATTGAGCATGCGTGAGCTAGGTGGCGCAAGCGACCGCCCGACAGAAAGTATGCTGCATCAATCGTCCATCCGGTCTCGCATGGTTTTTTCCGCCGTTCCTCATTTCACGCTCTCGTGGGTCTCGTCTCGCATCCTCTTGAAAATATTTTAACGATAGATGCAAGCGTATATGGACGCCCCGACGCTAATTTGCCGGGTACCAGCCATGCCGTCATGTTGTGAAACGAAACCATGTCTTTGCGCATTGGGAGTTACTTGCGATCTGAAGCACTCGCTTCTGAAAGAAACGGCCGTGGCAAAACTATTTTTGGTCCCTGCCTACCAGTCACCGTGGTTATGATGTCAGGTGTTCCCGTCCACACATTGCTGCAGATATGGCGCTTTCTAAAATGAAATGTAGGGACCGCTGCAGGGTAATCAGCAATCCTGTCCTTGTTTAAATTAAACGCTACTACAAAAATTCCTCTAGCTCAAAGACTGTTGTGTCGAAGTACTGTTTACCTAGGTTTCTCTCGGTGGGATTTCCTTTGAGAGGGATCCCAGTACGTGAAAAGTCTGTCGCAAAAGAAAGTTTAAGACAAGCTAGCTAAAGTTAAAAAAGGCAATGTCTGCACGCTGAACCCGCACAGCGCGCTTGTTTATCTTGAGTTCAGTTGTTGCGCAAAGCGCTCCAAGAACTTTTTGACCCTGTCTCGCGATGTCTTGCATTGATGCGCTCAGGTTCTTTTTTTTATTAGCTTAATTGTCCTTGTTTTGTTTGCGCTTTTTAACCTTTTAAATTAGCTTGCGCCTCGCATATTGGCCTGGCAAGCACGCGCCGCTGGACTGTTTTTCTTTATTTTTTTATGCTGGATTGTTACATTTTGCATACAATTTTGGGGACCAGATGGCGACGGAGCGGAGTGGCAGAGTTTCGGTTTCGATCGAACAGCCGTCTCCGCTCCCATAACGAAGCGCGTGCAACTGCAAGCTGCCGAAGTTGCCCTCACGTGCATGCGAACATGATTGCACGACAGAGGTACCAGCCGGGACCTTGCAGTCCATTGCTTTACATTTGCTTGCTTCTGACGAAAATCTGGCATGCCGGGAACCGGTAAAACGGTGGGAGACGTTTTGGAATTGCTCGGCAACGCCTACAGCACTGTACACTTGTGGGATGTCTCAACGTCTCTTTGGAGACATTGAAAGTGGACATTCATTACTTGCCGAAAGCTAAGCGAGGCTTGCAGCAGCCTTGCAGAAAGTTTCAACAAGCGAAAGGAAAAGCACCCACCAGTCGTACTGCACCTTTTTCATATGTACAGTTTCGTATTGCATTGCAGTAGTTACGTGTTTCATCAGTTGGATACTGCTTCAATTTATTATATTATATAACTAGTGAAGTTTATGCTTTCATATTTACTGCTAAGCTGGTCATTTTCCAATAAATTTAATATGTGCACTTAGGTTCTTATTTATCTATAGCGGGTACATATATATGTCATTTAACTGAAGCATTGCAAAATATGTTGTGTCATTTTCATTTCAGTTAACAACTTGAAAGACTCCCAGGTCATCTAACTTGACCATAATTTGTTTATTGTGGCGAGCAATGTGCCCTTCATTTGTCCAGAACTTAAAACAAATATTTTTATTTTTGTAAAAAAAATCTGCTCCAAAAGCCACTTTTGCTGCTCCAAAACACTGTTTTGGCTGCTCCAAAGGCCACTTTTGCTGCTCCAAAACACTGTTTTGGCTGCTCCAAAAGGTGTTCCAAAACGGCTTAGGCCAATCACATCACTGCCGAAGAGATAAGTTGCCCCCCTATTTTTGGCACGATTTGCTATTTTTTCGAAAACACCTTAAAGGGACACTGACAGGGTGTTTATGCTTGCCGAGGTTTATAGTTGTACATGACATATGAGAGCCCAACCACCCAGAACACAATTTGCAACTCGAAATTCAGTTTCTTTCCGCCTGAAAACCTCCGATCAAGAACTGGCCGGTTCAAGTCTCGCTCATTTCATTTCTTTTTTTACAATTATCACTGAAGATACAAACCAAAAAAGAAAATAACAAACAAATGTTGTGGACGACACGTCGCTGAACTAAATGGTATGGGATTTCCTTTTTGACACCTGCGATCTCAATATAATCACTTTCCGCAAAATGCAAGGAGCATATAAATCAGGTAGCGTCCGTTTTCCGAGGTGCCCTTAAATGTTCTACAGGAATTGCAGCCAGCCATTGGTCCCGATCCCGTTGATCTTTCGGAAACTCTGTTGCACAATGCCACTTTTTCTCGGACGCAGGACATGTGAGCCAGCTCTTCACGCAACATCTTGGGTATATTCTTTTCGGAGCCGATCATGGAAATTCACCACGGGCACTTACTACTCATCTCCAACTCCTCAATGTATAAAACAAATCATCTTGGAGTACAGAACAGCGAGCGGAACAAACATAACAGGAAAAGAATCGCACGGCAAACAGTTCCCGCTACGCCGCGTGTCGTCTGCTACGCAGAGGAGAAAAAAACAAAACAAAAAAAAACACGCAGTTGGGTGTAGCCACGTCACTTCTGCCACTCACTCTCTTCTCTCCACTTTTCTGACCTCCATGCGCGGGTTTCAATTCCAGCAGTTGCGTCTTTCGGCTTTATTAAAAAAATACGCTACTCTTTTGCAAAATATTAATTGGGTAGTCCCCCGACACCATAATGAAGCGCCTGGCAAAAATTTAAAAAAATTTCTGGGGGGTGTCAGTGTCCCTTTAAGATGGCCCACTTCTAGTAATTGCATGCAGGACCCTGGCCAATGGCGACCTTGGCAGAAATGGTGTTACTTAGCCAAGGCGGGTGATAAGTGAACGTTGCTGACTGGGAAGGACAGTCGTCTCTGGTTCATCAATCACAAGTTTTGCAGTTTACAGAATCTAAAACTTGCATTTTTCCATTTTTTTTTTTTTTATCACACTCCAAAAGTTGGTTCACTCCTTTTTTTCAACCGATTTGCTTTCAATTTTAGGCAGGCTACCTCTCGTGATATTACGGTATACATAGTATCTTTCACTGTGCTATAGCTACAGGTGTAGAAAATGTATGTGAAGAATTTTTACCAAGATTGCTTTATCTGACAGCAGGCCCTGTGCAGTTGTTGGGGTGCAGTGATGAGACATACAGGGTTCAGTGCATTAGGTGGTCCAAAGCGGACCACGAGCTTCATCGAGCCTTACGTTGCAGAAAAGCGCCGGTATTGGACAATGAAGGGGGTCATAAACACTCCCGGACATCACTGCTACTAATAAGGGTGTTCCTACGGACAGCTGGGGATCGGTGACTGTGATGTCGACGGTACACTGGGTGCAGCCTATTGAAGAAGAAGAGACCCTTATGGAACCAAACTTTGCGTCAGCAAGCTGTACACTACTTGCAGATTAACTACAGTAGTTAGAAAAGTATGGTATGTCACTTTCCAAGATCGATCCTGACACCTCTGCCCGCTGGTGGCTGGTTTTGGTGCAGACGGACTACGGACAAAGGCCCGTATTGCGGTGCCGCAGAACAAGGGACGGAACATGCTGGGAGTCTTGGATGAAACCGCCACCCTCGAGTACGGAGAAGTCTTTGTGCAGTACACACATCTGGGACTCCATGCCGAACAAAACGGCAGGATCGATTCGGACCCCGAGACCCACATCATCACAGGTACCCTGGACAACCTTCCAAACCGTTTTGAACGAGAGCATTTTCTTGTTTGTTGAGAAATGGTGTTTACTTTAACGCAGAATATGCACATGCTGTAGGGTTTCTGCGTAATTTTCATAGGAGTGAAAGCTACAATCATAGGAGGAAGGATGGCAGCGAAAGGTTCTATCTTGCCACTCCACCCCGGTATAGCCGTAGGGTGGAGAGGTGGAATGGGGGATGAGAATCAGCTTTCCAGAGACTGCACCGGGGATTTTAGGAATTTTAAAGTATCGACATTTATTAAAGCAGCACTTGGTTGCAACTTTCGTTGTGGAACAGCTAGTACTATACTCTGTTTCGCCTAGTGTTGTACCGCAGGAAAGGCTACACGCACGAGCTCTTTGCTCTAGGGCACGTCTCGGTGGCACAAGCTCTCGTGCACCAAGGGCAGCTGCCAACGCTATGAGCTCGCGCTTCTATCCTTCGCTGCGGTACAACATAAGGTGAAACGGAGTATACCGATGGCAAAGGCGCAAATTGCTGATTTAACTGGTGAAATATCATTCAAGTGAGTTCTTAAGAAATTGAAGCTTGTTTTTTGATAATATTTGTTTTTGTTATCGTTGTGTGAATATTAAAAATTTTGAAGTCGTTCCAAATAAAAAGGCTATTCAATATTCGATTTGAGGTTCTTGCCGAGCACCGGTGCACTGCAGAGAAGCAACACCCGCAAAGCAACACCCGCGAAGCTTGCTTTTGCAGGTGTGGCTTCTTTGCGGTGCACCGGTGCCGAGTAAGAAGCACACTCAATGGGCCTAAAGCACTGCAATCAACCTTTGGCAAAGTACAAATATTGCAGCTGCGTGCTTGGAAGGAAAGCAAACTTTCAAAGCGGGATTGTGCACACACGTGCTCGGTGTATTTTATAAGTAATGGAAAGTTTGAAAATGTTAATATTGCATGAAATTTTCAAAATTGAACTGGCTATTATGCGTGAGTATAGTTAAGTAGATGGCCCTGACAACCTGCATTAATTGTTTGTGACTGAAGAAAGGATATTTTCATATAGCAAGAATATTTATGAACACCCTCGATTAGGTATAGCCGGGCATTTTTATAGGTTTAATTATATGTAAAATCTGTAGTTTACTTGCAATCGATTGCAAGTAAACTACACATGTCCAATGCCTACAGTGAGATCTCAATGTGGGCACTGGACTTTCTGAGGCCACAATCAATACGTATAGTTCGATTAAAGTTAAATTAGCTTAGAAACGGACAAGTGGAAGCATGGGGCAACGTTCTTTTCGTTTAAGCATGAGTCGGCATATGAAAGGCTTAGAGAAACAATTCAATATCTAATTTTAAAATATTTGGTCAAAACCATTATTCGCTTCGAGCTCAAATCCACTATTTGCACGATCCTAACTTTTATATTGAATTTTGAAAAATTGGACACACAGCAAAATTAGACTTTGACTTTCGGAGAATCTGGATTCTTTCATAAATAAACTTTGATACTCTGAACTTTTTACAAAACAATAAACTCCAAATGACAATTTCAGAGTTTCACGTGTTATAAATTCCGATAACACTGACGCGTAGACGTGGTTGGCTCCTAGCAGTTAACCAGTAACACACCCCTCTAACCGAAGAGGGTCACAGTAGTGCTGCATCAGTGTTGGGCTGGAACTTACATCCCTGCTGACGTTTATCCTAACTGATGTCCTCACTGATGTTTGTTTGTCCACACTGATGTTTAGAAACTCGTGTCCTCACAGCGCTCGTGTTTTTGCTGATTGAATACGAGCCTCAGTCAAAGGCGGACACAAGACTGGTATCCAGTCAATACTCCTCGCTGACCTCTGGTAGCCGACATAAAATGTTCAGCACTATGGCCTCGTTACCTAGTAGATGTTTTCAGCGAACACGCTCGTGCATATGGTGGGTGAGCGTACAGGAGGCGAGGGAGAAGAGAGCATTCACATGCTTTGGAGGAGACGGGGAGACAAGAAACAGCAACATGTGTGCGACTGCAATACATGCGAATTTCATATTCCACTTCAACTGGAGCACTAACTTTTGAAAGGCTCATTCAGAGATTCTGTGCACGACGACGTTCGCGCCGTAGTGGCACAAAATGCGTGGCAAGTGCGCATCCGTGCAACATCACCACGTAGGAACGCACAGCACATTCTGCATTATTATGGCCTTTGCCTGGATAGGCTGAGAAAGGGTGAGTTTTTAATGCATTAGCATTATGACGCTTGTTGTGATGAAAACCCGGTGGTGTCTTTCGTTTGTCAGCTACAGGGAGAGAGGGAGAAGGAGTGGGAGAGGGTGATATTTACGACGCTGCCATTGGTCCGAACCGCCGACGTCAACAGGCATCTAGCTCTCCCCCTCCCTGTAGCTGACAAACTAAAAGACACTGCCGGGTTTCCGTCAAAATGAGCCCTTTCGTTTTCGTCAAAGTCACGCGCACAGCTGGCGCGGAGCCAGAGAGGGAGAGGAGCCACGCAACACCCCCTAGATAACAAAGCCTTAATGCTGAATGAGATTGCATCATCAGAGAAAGCCAACACTGGACAAAGATTGGAAACGAGTGCCACGTCAGCGCTCAGCTTTGAGTGAAGTTGAACTTTGAGGCGAAGGTTGATGTAATCGTTGTGTCCAATCTGGGCCCAGCATTGGCCTTCTCTGATGACGCCATCTCATTCAGCACTACGGCTTTGTTATCTAGGAGGTGTTGCATCGTGGCCCGTTGCGGTGGAATGCGGGTGCAGTGACATCACTAATGTCGGCGACACCGTCTCCTCCTCTTTCTCCCTTTCACTGGCCAGCTGCACTCCCCTGAGTGCTGTACCCGGGGTGGTCTGCCACCCCCACACCACCCTTGTGCGCCACTGTGCGTGTGTGCACAGTTGTCGCTCTGCCGTTAATGGTCTTTCTTCACCCTGAGTTTCCATAGTAACGGCGCGTGTGCTGTCGTGTGTGTGTAGTTAAAACGATGGATGCAGTTCCCTCCACGAGTTATATGGATCCGGTTCCTTCCACGAGTGGTATGGATGTGGTTCTTTCCCTGAGTGATATGAGACCATATCCAACGGTGTCGACATACTCTGACAGACAGAGAGTATATACAAAGAAGCAGTGAAAAAATGAGAGGAAGAACCATTGGTGGATTCTTAGAGAATCCGTTACCTTGACCCTTGGGAAATGCGCTACACGTTCCCCTTTGGGAAATGCTAGCACTGACCCCAATACGAGGCTGAAAAGAGACAGCAAAAAATAGAGAAAGCAAAAGAGAAAGTCAAAAGAAAAAAGTGAAGAGGTCAGCGTTAGCGCTTCCCAAGGGAGGGACGGTTGTGGCATTTCCAAGGGTCATGCTGAGGCATTTCTTTAAAATCTACCAATGGATCTTCAGCAATTTTTATGTTCCGGGGCATTTGAAAACCCACGTGATGAGCACGCTCCAGGCCTTGTCCAAGGACCCCAGGCGAAAATTTTCAACTGGGACCAATTGGTTCCAGTTGCAACTGGTGTATGGAACAATTCCCAGTTGCAACTGGTCCCAATTGGAGTCGTCCAACTGGTCCCAGTTGGAGTTGGTCCCAGCTGGAATTGGTCCCAGCTGGAATTGGTCCCAGTTACAACTGGTCCCGGTTGGAGTTGGTCCCAGTTACCGCTGGTACCAACTCCAGCAACAATGAAATACGGCACAAAATGGAAGATTGACAAGACTTTATCGTCAAAAACTTGGAGAATGAAACTAAATAGGTGCGGTGACATACACGTTCCGGGTTTATAGGCACTTGCTTGCGACGGTTGAATCGCTTTTCAGAGGTGGTATTCACGAGATGAAGAAAGATTGGCCGCTGGCGTCTGTTAGTGAAGACGTCCTCAGCTTCTCTTTCCATCGCGTGAAGAAAGGTGCTCACCCGTGATCCCGTGTTGCGCAGGTGAAGTCCTGATAAGATGCGGTAGCGCTCCCACCTTGCAATCTCTGTCAAAACAGTCAAACATTTTCGAGGTAGATCTCCCGCCATTTTCGCCATTGTGCTCTTCGCGGCGTTTTCTCTTCCGTCCGGTCTTTCCTGGGTGCCCTCCGATCGCTGAACTGCATCTTTCCATCCTCGAAGTTCAACGCCGCCACCATGGTGTGTGTACAGTTAGGTCCAAAGAAGCGCAGCTGTAGTTTTGACATTTTCATAACGACGCCAACTTGAGCGATGGCGACCCTTCTCTACCGCGTCCGTCCGACTCCGGCATCACTGCGGCGTCATCGTCAGCCTAGGCAGCGCCATCTGTCGACAGTGTGTACCACTAATCCGCACCTGTCCGCACCCGCGTGCCACGGCGGTCGGCTAGCTCTGATTGGCCATAAGATAAATTTATTTATTAAAAGAAAAAAAAGAAAAAAAAATACTGTAGGTATTTAAATAAATGTTTTAATATATTTTAATAATGCACTAAATGTTCATTTAGGTGAACTTATTTTGTTACTAATTATATTTTCCAATTAAAAAAAATATTTAGTTAATTAAAATTTTTGTTATTTTTTATAAATATATAAATGTACCCTAGTAATTAAAAATTTCCCTATTTGTATAAATCTAAAAATGTAAGTGTTTTTAGTTTTCTTCATTAGCAAAGGTCAATACACACCCAACTTGTCAAAATTGTTGCCCCATGTGAACTGGGAACGGGAAAGGCATTTGAAGTCCGACTGGGAATTGTGGGAATCGCTCCAACCAGTTACTTTCCTAACTGGTCCCAGTTCACTCCATTCCTAGCTGGGAGTCAAACCAGTTGACTCCCAACTGGGAATGGTTCAACCCAGTTGACCCCTCAGCTGGTCCCAGTTGGACTCCTATCGGTCCCAGTTGATTCCCAGGATGGACCAGTTAGTCCCAGTTGAAACCAGTTGAGGTGCCAACTGGTCCCAGTTAGAAATTTTCGCCTGGGACGAAAAAAAAGGGCAGCCCTCCCCCCCCCCCCCCCCCCCCCAAAAAAAAAAGAAACGTGTCAAAGTGAACTGAAACTGGAGGAAACTCCTCACCTCCAGTAAAGCAAAGGCTGTGACTGCCGAAAATGTGTCCTGCTTGGACAGCTCTTTACCCGCCTCTGCTTGCACCGTGGGGCTGTGGACGGCTGGATTTATGCGTGCTGCATCCTGCGGTAGTGGTATGTACGACGGGTAGTCCTTGCACCTGGTATGTTGCCTTTGTTCAGGCACCGTTCTGGTGACCAAGTGTCCCTGCCTCCACCCCGGTGACGTGCGCAAGTTCAAGGCAGTGGACGTGCCGGCCTTGCGCCACGTCAAGGACTGCATCGTGTTCCCGGCCAAGGGTCCCAGGCCACACCCGAACGAAATGGCTGGTGAGTGTCTGGCACCAGTCTTTCCATTGCACTGTCACGATAGACCAGGGCGTTTCAAACGCGTCTCTGTCTGGTGCGCTTACGGCCGCCGCCGCCCGTGCGTCGGAGTGTTGTGGGAGCTGCAGGGTAAGGCTTTAAGGGTCGTTGCGATCCCAGTGGTTGGCTGGGTGTAGAAGTACAGTCGAACCTCGATATAACGAACTTCAATGTAACGAAATCCTCGATTTAACGAAGTATTTTATTTTTCATAATTTCTTGCCCATAGACCCCATGTATTTTTAGTCCCTATATAACGAAGTCTATTTTGCTGCTATTTCAATATAACGAAGCGCCATTGCCATAGAAGGCAATAAATAAATCAACTCTAAAAAACAACTTCGCAAAAAAATTGTGGTTAAAAAAAAAAAAAATTATGCGCAAACGCGAGCGCTTGATAGGTTACTTCACGGGGACAGGCCTTCCAACGTTCCTAGGCTGCCCGAGGATGCGGCGCCGGTAGCGCCGGCGAGGCATGCGGCAAAGCGGATTCCGCGAGGCTGGCCAGAAAATGCCGAGCAGAAAGTTAACAAGGCATAACAGCATCACCACTGACATTCATTGATCATCATAGTCCACTGTACCGCGGGTAGCGCGGGAGCCAACTTCAGCGGGGGAGCGACGTGATGGCGCGACCGCGCGACCGCACGGGCAGTGCCGTCTAGGAGAAGACTGAAAAGACCGATTATCGTCTTGCGAGCATGATGTAAAGCAAAGGCGCAAGCACACTGTGGGCGCAAGGGGGCAAGTAAACTGTGCGGTCAAGAGTGCTGTGTAGGTTGGAAACATTGGCACCGCCTAAACTAAACAGCTTTATTTTTTAACCGGGCGGTTCACTTACGTGCTTGCTGCCATAAGGAAACGTAAAGTTCTTTCTTTGGATGAGAAAGCAAACGTTTTGGACGCCATCCTGAAGAAACTGCCGAGATCACGAGCACTCGGGAAGTGCTCGACGCAATGGACGTACTGAGGAGGTACACGGCGTCGCATGGGCAGCAAGATGCCGTGCAAACGCTCTGGGCGCTCGAACGCCGTATGACGCCGCCGACGCCGCTGCTACTGTCGGACAAGGCGCAAGCAAAACTCGCGGACTACTTTGCCCCTAAATAAATGTCATTTTCGGTGAGTTTTCATACCCGTAAAATGTTTCGGAATTTTTTTTTTTTTTTCGCATGCTAAAGCCAAATTTTGATTTAGCGAAATTTCAATGTAACGAAGTAAATTGCGAATTTTACCGACTTCGTTACATCGAGGTTCAACTGTACCAGCAAATGAAATGGAACGTCTGTAGGCATCATGTTCTAAAGCTGTGGTGACACTGCTAACACATCGCACAAAACACAGTCTGCAGATACTGTCTCGGGCATGTTTCTTCCTTGCATGTCGTTCATGTCACATTGGTCGTGCAAAGACTGCCTGAAGACATGTTCGAAGCATGTGTGAAGCAAACATGCGTGTGTCTGCAAGTAATTCTGTCCTGCCTGCAGCAAATGCCATGTCTTTTGCATGACGTATCAGCAGTGTGACCGTGGCCTCACACTCTAGGAGCTTCAACAAAGCAGATATTTGCAGAGTGAGCCGCAGCAGGGCGGGCGTCAGCCGTATGCAGTCCCACTGTTGTGCCACCACCAGGTTCGTGGTGAACCTCAGTAATCGACGGTTGGGGCGTCACCAGGTGGAAACCCGGTGGACAAAGGAAAGCCAGAATAAGCTGTTCGGTCGAAAATACGTTTTAGGCACCATTGTCGTAGATGCAACTCCGAGAAGGGCTTCAACGAAGAAAGGGAAGAAGGGGGACATGTTGAGCTTGTTCGCGGTGCCTACCAAGAAGGAACGATGCAAGGAGGTCGGGGAAATGCGGGTCTTTAAGTGGCTTGTGATGAGCTGTTTCCTGAACAATGTGAATGTGTAAGACTTTGCAGAGTCGCTTGGTGATCCAGCCTGATTCGGATGTCTAGCAGACGGCATATGCAAAGTGGAACTGGCGGCTCGGCGTTCGCACCGATAGGCTAGATTTTTCATAAATGCATCATGTCAATTCCGCTACTTTCAGTTTTGATAATGTGTTATGCTACTGTTGTTGATAGAACAACAATAGCATAACACTGTGAGCAGTCTTAAAGGGACACTGACAGGGTATTTATGCTCGCCAAGGTTTTTAGTTGTCTGTGACATATGAGAGCCCAACTACCCAGAACGGAATTGGGGCTCGAAATTCGGTTTCTTTCCGTCCAATAACCGCCGATCGAGAATTAGCCGGTGTGAGTCGGGCTCACTCTCTTTTTCGTGGTCACAAGTTGTTTTCTAAGGTTTAGACATGACCACCAAATTTAATCAAAGTCATGGGTCATTGAAGGCACACAGTCAATATTAAAAATATAAAAAAATATGGAACTCATTTTTTGTGGCTTCCAAAAAACTGCAAATACGTTGATTGAAAAAAAAAAAAAAGGGTTGCACAGACAATCGGAAGCATTCTGTGCATTCGCTGCATAATTCTCAACAAGGCGTCGTTTCGCGTATCGTGGGACTAGCGGATCGCAGCGGACGACAGGCGTGGGACCTCTAGTTCACGGTACCGGCAAATTCTGTTTTTGAAAGGCAAAAGATAAATTTTGGACCGATCAAAAGAATTGATATTCATCCCGTACGACACGCCCGACCAGCAAGCCGGTTGCACAAAGACGTTGCCGAGCTGTCGTCTCTTTTCGTGGCTGAAGACATTGCTCGCTCAAACTTCAAGCATGACATGCATACTACGAGTTTAATACGCATGCGTATGGTGTCTTTACTAGGTGCGAATATGGCCAAAAAATTCAAAAGTCAAATTGGACGTTTTAGTGATTTATACAGCGTAAGGTCGGTCTGCCAGTAGGGGCGATACTGGTTTACACTGTAGATGAGCAATTTCGCCAGTGCAGTACGACTGCTAACCTGGGGTCTTTAACGTCTCGCGCAGTAGTGATACACGACCGCACGCCGGTACGATGCTCATCCAGATCGAAACGGGCAGGGGTGGGGCTCGAACCCAGGATCCTTGGGTTCTGCAGCGCGAGCTTTCGCTCCACGCGCGCCGGCGAATGTGGCCAATGCGTGGTGCTGCCAGACTTCAAGCCGGGAGTGCATGACTGGTGCGAAATCGGCAACAAACTTTTCGACATACAGTCGACCGGCTGCATTACTACAAACAAAAGAGTTCTTTCAGTAGCTCTGTAGAAAGACGTCCGCTTCACAAGCAGCGTGCACGGGTTGAATCCCTAGTAAGGGCGTACCATTTTCTTTTTTTTTTTTGTCAAACATTTTGCTATGTTTACATTTCTTTTTTTACAATTATCACTGAAAAAAACAATTGTTGCAGACGGTACGTCGCTGAACTAAATGGTATGGGATCCCATTTTTGACACCTGCGAACTCAATGTAGTCACTTTCCACAAAATGCAAGGAGCATATGAATTGGGTAGCGTCCGCCTTCCGAGCTTCGCGTAACTGTTCTACAGGAATTGCAGCCAGCCATTAATCCCGACCCGTTGCTCTTTTGGAAACTTGTGCACTCTGCCGCACAATGCCACTTTCAGATGCAGGATATGTGAGGCAGCTCTTCTTCATGCAACATTTTGGGAGTATTCTTTTCGGAGCCGATCACGGGAATTCACCATAAGCACTCACTACTAATTGCCAACACTTAAATGTACAAAACAACCCATCTTGAAGGACAGAACAGCGAGCGGAACAAACATAACTGCAAAGGAATCGCATGGTGAACGGATCCTGCAACGCATTTTGTCTGCTGCGTGCGGAAAAGCAAACAAACAAACAAAACAATTGCACGGTTGAGTGTGGCCACGTGACTTCCGCCACTCACTCTCTCCTCTCCACTTTACCGTGCGGTGCGGGATTTTTGGTTTCAATTTTGAGCAGTTGCGTTTTTTGGCTTTATTAAAAAAATATGTGACTCTGTAGCAAAATATTAATTGGTTAGTATTCCAACACCATAATAAATTGCCTGGCAAAAAAAGAAAAAAAAAGAAGATTTTGGGGGTGTCGGTGTCTTTTTAAGCATTCTGTTAGCGGCGAAATGTTTTGGTGACACCCTCCTGTGGCTCTCCCTTGTGATGTCATTACCTTGCAAACAACAAGTTCGATGGTGTTCGTAATGAGCATGGTGGAAGCTTGAAATCCATCTGCTCTCAAAGCAGCAGTGCCAACTCCGTCAAAATTAAATTTTTTACATTCTTATTTCCGTCAATGAGAAATCCTTTGCTGAAGTCATAGTCAGCATTCTACCAATCGTAACAGGTCGACCACAGTGACACTCTCGATTGCGCACGTTGCCTTGCTTTGCTTTGAAACATATTTATCCGCACGTCGCCGGTACAGAATGTTTTCTTCTAGGTTTTACAGACAGTTCATAAAAATGTTGTGAAAGGTATACATAAATACGGCTTGTGCAGGTCAGTTATATGGCCAGGGGGAAATAATGGGGGGCTAATCATAAGATTAAGTGGGTTCATTTACTAAAATTTGTTAATTAACTTTCTAATTAGTGGAGATAAACATACGGTTTCAATTAGAAACTTGTTGAGTGTAATCGGAAACCACTAAATCAGTAAATGTTTTAGACTTTGAGTGGTGGGCTAAGTTACCACCCGTGCAGCACGTGCAAAGCTATCTGCAAAAACATACCCATGTGGTACTACTGCGCTTCCCATATGCACTCCAAGTCTCTCAAATTTGCTGATTGAGTGGTATTTGACGACGCCCAGCAAATTTCTATTTGGAACCGTATGTTTATTTCCACTAATTAAAAAGTTAATTAACTAATTCCAGTTAATTAGCCGACTCATTGTGACGGTTTGCCAACTATATTATGACCCCCTGGCCGTGTAACTCGCCTTTACAGACTATTAGTGTACCGTATTTACACGAATGTAGGTCGACCCTTTTTTCAATTTTTGAAAATCTGAAGTGGGGGGGTCGACTTATAATTGAATCAAAGCATTTCACCGCTGGCAAAAACGAAACAATCGCGATATCATGGACACCTCGGCTTGTTACGAGCTCAGCCGGCTGTACCCCTAGCATTACTCTGTTTTGTGCGCTCATTTTACAAATTGATTATTTTTGATTTGCGCTAACGAGTATTATTGGTAGCGATTCGCAAATTAACCCGAATGCACGGCAGTGAACAGAGCACGGAGCGACGGAGTGCCCGACTCCTGGGGGGTGTTGGCACTTCTCGTAAGAGCCACTCCGGCGGCTTCTGGAACAGCCTCACGGCTCGCTTGGCTCAGGCTTGGCTCGCTCGCCCCGCGGCTTCTCTTTGCATTTTTTCGCACGATTCATGGTCGCAGATCGTTTGATCGAGTATGCGATCATGCTGGTGCGCTAACTATATTCATTTGCATTGAATCGCGTGATCCGGGCAGTTTAGGTTTTCGGTGCTCGTTAATGGCCATTCTTCACTCAGAAGCAACCAACAACTGCGCTGTTGGACGCAAGTCCGACCCGTCGGAGTGGGTGATGCTTCAGTGGAGTCTGCGGTGGCGCAGAATCTTAAAGTGTGACGGCAAACGAAGAAGCTTCTGCAGGCCAAAGTCTGGATAGGTGGGGATGCCTTCCAGAGTTGGAGGTCAGGCTTGCAACGTATGCCGCAAACGTGCGCAATCGGTCCCTACCCGTTATGTCCGACGCGATCGCCGAACGAGCGCGGAAGATGCGGTTGATCCTGTTATTTGCGAAGTGCGAGATTTCATTGGACGACGTTGACGACGTGCTTCAAGAACGTAGCAGTGATGACGACGGGACTGACATCACCAGTGCGGACGAGTCGTAGTCGCGGATGGAGAGAGAACGACAGTGAGCAACTTCAGTTGTCCCGCCTCCAGCGTGAACTTCCTAGTTCCGATAACGCCTGGCCATCTCATGCACCTCGCACGTGCATGCGCAGCCAAAGCACATCAGAAGGCATCGATCGCGTGTTGGAGGCTCGGGTTTCGAGACATATACTTTGCCGTTCTCACGTGTTTGCAATAAAATGCGCGTACGAAAAAACAACAATTTTTTTTGTTGATGTGCGATGTGGGGGAGTTGACTTTCAATCGAGTCGACCTACAATCGTGTAAATACGGTAGCTTTCGTGGCTTTTTTAAAACAAATTTGTAAAGCCTGAAAAGAAAACACCCTGTATACTATTGTCTGTTGCAACTCAAAAAGGTAAGGCGAGAGTATGACGGGCCGGGGAGGAGGAAGCAGACGGAACGATAAAGAGAGAAGGAGGTTTCCCCCTCTCTTCTGCAGCGTTCCGTCTGCTTCCTCATCCCCGGCCCGTATTACCTTCGCCCTACCTTTTTGAATTGCAGCGGACTATAGTACCTTATAAATGACCATCATTGTTTATGAAAGATGGTTTAGATGTTGACATAGTCAATAAATGTGCTAAGAGCTTTCACTTTGCTTGTTACAGCCTGGAAGTAACTAATGCAGAGCACTAGTTTGTCTGCTTTGTAAACAGGTTGAGATGATGTCAGAATGCTGAGCTCTTATTGGCTGGCTGTAAGAAATGGTGGGTTAACCTCAAGGCATCCAGCATTGAGGTCTACTCGCTATCCTTCCAACCAAAGTCAATCGGGGCTCGGCGTCATTGTGATGTCACCGCAACTCCTGTGCAAGAAGCAGACGACTTGCTGTCCATATAGTTACAGTAAAACGAAGGTGACTGATATGGTAAACCATATTGACCAGAGCTGTGTGAGCTTCCGGGCTCTGTCCATGTACAGGACCTTTATATGATGAAGTTCAACATCTGCTATGGTTTTCTAGGCTCTGACTTGGATGGAGACGAGTACATAGTCATCTGGGAGCCTGATCTCTTCTTTCCGGGATCGAACAAGACTCCGATGACCTTCAGTGACTCCTCTTCAGTAGGGTCAGCTGATGAGAACCTGGTGCGTCTTCTATTGTTTGCTCACCTTTTGCCAGTGGAGTACTTTGAAGTGGTGTCCAGCATTTGCAACAAGCCTGTGACCTAATAGTGGGACTTCAGGTATGAGATCCATTGGTGTCGAAACAGAGTAATTTGATTGTGAAAGTTTTGTGCAGGGCACGCTAAATTTAGGAACTACAGTTCTTCAGTAAACAGATATCGGACTTGACAATGAAACCTTGTTATCAATTGTTGATGCAAATGACCAGCAGAAAATTTAGAGTTTTGCTGTACACTTAAGAAGAAGAACCTGAAAGGTCAAAGGTTGACCTGCAAAATCATCTGCAGTGCAGAAAATATGTCTAGGGAGTAGTTCTTATTTGTGTTTGGTAACAGGTGGAAGAATACTTATTTGGGGGAAGGAGGAAGTCACAAAGTCAGAAAGTCTAAGCTCATTACAGCATACCTGGTTACAACAGACATTTGGATATAACATACCTATTTGTGAAGTTTAATTGGTTTTCGTCTACATACTCTACTCTTCTTACAACAGACCGAAATCTTGGTCAAAATGAAGGTCTGTTATAACGAGCTTAGGCTGTAGTTGTGGAATGTGCCCAGTGAGAAGTGCTCTTGCACCGATTAACTCTTGCCATATTTACACTCGTGTTATCTCTGTGGCTGCCTGCAGGAGGAGGGCATGATCAAGTTCATATGCAACTACATCATCAATGATAATGTGGGCATCATGTCCAATGCTCACCTTGCATGGTCAGATCAACTCGAGGACGGTATTTTTTCTCCACTCTGCCTGGGGGTCGCAAAGAAGATCTCGACGTGCGTCGACTTCGCAAAGACGGGATTAGCATCATGTCTCGACAGACACGAGAAGCCGCTGTTGTACCCTGACTTCATGGAGAAAGGGGGCTCCAAGGACACATACCGCTCCAAGCGTGTTTTGGGACATCTCTACCGGCTCCACCGTTCGCTACAGGCGGTCATCAATACAGACTTCATGGCCCATACCGGCCAGCTTGCCGAAGGCGACGGTCATTGCACTCTGTTCGAGTACCCTGGCTGGAAAGACCACCAGGAGGTTGCGGAGAAAGCTCTTGCGGCCTACACGGTCCAGATGTCCCGAATCCTTCACCAGTATGGGGTGGGAAGCGAAGGGGAAGTCGTCTCCGGAATCATCGTCAACGTGTCTGACTACAACAAGAGCAACGAAGACAAGAACAGTGTAAAAGCATTGGTCGCAAAGCAATATGCCAGCCTTGTGAAGTCGACGCGAGATACATTTTTCAGCGACGTCACTGCCGCCTGCAACAGCAACGGTGCGTCAACGGACATTGCCAAGAAGACGATTCTCCTGCAGATGGCGTCTGCCTGGTACATGGTGACTTACGCCGGGGTGTGGCACGAACAGAACTGCCAGAGCTTCCCATGGTCAATCGCAGATGTCCTATTGCTCATCCTGGTGGAGGTGAATGCAGCGGAACCGAAGCCCAAGCGGAAACCGAAGAACCTCCTCATTGCCAAGCTGAATGAAGTCCTTGCTGATGCACTATCCACGAAGTCTTCGCAGGACGTCGCTCTAGACGTTGTCTTGCGATGGGCGACAAAGGAGGAGTTGCTGAACCAGACGAGGGCGACGGGGCCACGGATCTGCAGGCGTTGCTTGGTTACGGTCTACGGAAGATTCCTAGGCAGTGTTAACGATTCAGGGCGTAAAGTGTTTGAAGACATCCAGCATTCGGCTTCGGACAAGTATTTCGAAGGGAAGCAGGAGACTGCCGGTGGATATGTCGTGGGGTTCCTGCGTTATGTGAGCAGCGCCGTGGTGGACTTTCCGGAATGCGACGTCTGCAATTGGGCTTCGTCGCAGACGCATGCAGTGACCATGGCTTCGCTGAGGACGTACAGCATGCTCGCCCTTTCTGGGGACCCCTGCCAGCTGGGACTGCCATGCGACGCCAACGCTCACTATCCGGTGCAGAGCTTGCAGGAAGGAAACCCTGTTCGCATCCAGGTAGGCGAGGAAGGTTTGCTTATCTTTAACATAGAATATTTGTATGGGTTGAACTTTGTAAGTTCCTATGAGATATTACGTGGCGGCGAGTTGCACTTGACTATTGGTTTTTTATGCCGGTCTTCGTAACTAAATCTAGCGCTGAAGGAATTTACGCTCGGGCACATTTCTGGATGGTGTTGTATGCAGCGTTGACTGGATGGGATGTCATGTAGAATGGCAGCAAAGCAAACCGGAGCACACACTTCAATCTGCTGTCATTACATGGTACGGTCTAAGGGCATGTAATTTTTTATCACCTTTCAGAATTATATCTTGCTAGCAAAAGAAGCACCACTGAAAAAGGGAGTTCTTGGTTTTTAGGAAAATTTGAAATGTATCAATATTAATTTCACCAGAGTTCTTGGTCTGACATTTTATTTAAAAGGCAGAATGCAAACACTATTGGAAAATTCAGAATCTTAAAAATTGAAACTTCTGAGAATCGGATGAAGAGAAAGAGAGAGAGAGGGGGGAGGAAAGAAGATAAAGAAATAAGACATTTCCCCCCCCTTCCCCCCCCCCCATCCTTCTCCCAATAGTCTCCTGTTAGCACTGGCAGCTAGGGGAAACAAGCACATTGTGTGTGCTTTTGTTTGTTTCTTCCTGTAAAAGACAGCTCCACTGGTATTACTGGCTTAAATTGTTGGACACGCCTCGCCATGCAGCTAGACAACAGGAAAAGGGCAAAAAAGAGGGCGAGGATGACTTTCCGCCAGGCGGAAGAATATTTTTGCAGGTCCCCCTTTAAAGGGATGCTAAACCAAAAATCAAACTTAAAGAAAAAAAAAAAAAAAAAAAAAACGCAGAATCGATAGGCGGGGCGCTACAAATCCCAAAAACGTCCTCATAAAGCGGTATCTCCAACGGATCGTCGTAATCTTGTAAAAGAAAAGCGCGCTCGCACAAAGCCTAAAGGACGCGTGACCTCGCGATTCTCATTTCCTCCTCTTTTCGCTTTGACTCCGCGAGGGCACGGAGAGGAAAGGGAGCGAAACCATTTTCTCCTCCTTCCCAACTTCTCTGCGATAGGATGATGTCAACATTCTCCTTCATTCGCTCCTTATTTTCCAGAAATACAGCCATCTGCTCGACATATGGCTATATGAGTAATGCTTCGTGGTTTATGGTGCCCTGTTGAACACTTCTGCAAGCTTATTTTGTGGAATCCGAATTTTGGTTCAGCACCCCTTAAAAAAAACCTCTGACACGCCCCCACAAAAAAGAATTTTCTTTTTGATGCTAGGCGTTAAAATGGTGTATCAGGACATCACCAAAAGATTGTTTCACTTTAGAGTGCATAGTTTTTTTTAAATAAGAAATAGAAATACGAAGCCCAATTCAAAGTGCCCGCCAGTGCCCTGTGACGTAACAATGTACCGTAAGATGTGCGGGCGGTCAGAAGGGAGGCATCGCCGGAAGTCACATGAGTTTTATCACTCCTCGTGCTTACCACGTCCATGTCTAATATTTTTTTTTCTATTCTTGTTATTTTCCGCACCTCCACGAGCAATCTAAGCAGACAAGGTTTATTTTATTTGCTTTTCATCGCCTAATGTTGCTGTAAAGGTAGAAGAAGAGGAGTCAGGGAACCTAGTAAACAAGTTCTACTCATGCTCTAGACAAAACACATACTTTGTGCTCGACGTTTACTTGTACTTGATGCACTCACCCAGAGGCGGATCCAAAAAAAGGGGGTTGGCGACGGGGGCGGCCACCCCCCCCCCCCCCCCCCCCCTTTTCTGAGAGGGCAATTTGACATAGGTGGACCCCCGGTGCACAAGAAAGAATGGGAGAATGGTATCCTTACAAATCCCCCCTCTCCCCCCCAAACCGGAGTTCTGGATCCGCCCCTGTACTCACCAGTTCGTATTCTTTAGACGGCAGGCATCATCAGCCTGGAGAGTATCCGATGATTCGACGACCTCGGTATCTGAACCTTTAGCAATGCGATCGGGCCTGTGGTAAGCTAGCAATCCTAATCTCTGCGAGCGTTCTAAAATTTACTTTCAAAACCCCGACTCGATAGCTTGTTTTGCGCCCTGTATGGCTCTGTACGATCGGACTGATGGCGTGCACTCGTACACTGGCTTGTACTCGCAAAGCTTTCGTCATTGACCTCCATCACGGCAATCCACCGACTCTTCGTCCTCAACTTTTACAGCATGCAAACTAACCAAGGGTGCAGTGATAGAAAGCTAATGGAGCTGAAACTTCGTTTTCTAAAGCTGCCAATAAAAAAAAAAAAGTCGGGCAGGGTTGTGGAGGGCACGAGGAGTGACACTCGCGTGACTTCCGACGAACCCACTTTTAGTGACGTAGGTCGATGTTTCCCTTTTGACCACCCCGACACCTTGCGGTACATTGTTACGTCACAGGGCACTGGTGGGCACTTTGCATTTTTTTTTAGCGTGCCAGAGGCCGCTTAAGTCAACGCCCGCGATTCTGACGTTGCATCACGACAGGACCAGCCATGCATACTTGCGAAATTTGGAGTGAAGTTTCGTATTGATGTTCATAATTGATTTAACTAATATTGGGGCGTCTCTCTAGGGAATAAATATATTATATGAATATATTTAGGCTTTCTCTCCGTGATGAGCACAAAAACTTGGTAACTTCCGGATATCACCGGACAATCCTAGAACCACTATAGGCTCCTTGCGCATGACGTCATTTCCGATACCCGCCAGAGAAGAGGGGAAGAAGGAGCTCCCCTCTTATCAGGACCCTCCTTTGTGCCTCCTGGATTAGCACAGGCATCGGTATTCTCCTCCCAGAAGATTATAGAAGATTAACCTGTCACTCAAAATTCTTACAAAAACAGCTTCCCTCTCCTCCTTTTACTTGGTGTTCAAAAGTGTGCGATGTGACGTCAGTGCAAGAAGCCTATTCACTTTGAATTAGCTTCAAACCCTAAATTAATTATTTGCAAATGCCTGACGAATAGCTACGATTTTTGTACAGTGCTCACATCGATCGCAATAAATAGCTATTCACTGGGATCGGTTAAAGTGGCTAAATGCTCCGCTTAGCTGCTCTGTGAACGGTAGCAGGTGAAATATGAGCGAGAGCAGCATAATACAAACCCTACAAAGTAGCCGAAAATTATTTTTATGTCAAACACAGACGGAAGACGCCATTGGTACTCGTAACCGTAATTAATTGATACATCAGCAAGATTACCGTCGTGTGATTGTTCAATAAATAAACATCCCTCGCGACCAGGTCCTCTGTAGTCAGGACCCTTTAAATAGACCTCCAAGACTCCATCAACTGCAGTTCTTTCCACAGGCTGACTTTCAAAAAGACTGTAAACATTTTCCGACATGAAAGCTCAATATTGTCTGCTCAAAAAGTGGGAACCCCTGATCCAAAACCCGTTTTTCCTTGCTACAAGAGCTGCTCCAAATTACCACTTGTCAGTTCCACCACTGCCGGTGTCTTATTTTCCCCTGCTTTACCCTACAAGCTTGACTGCTACCAACGTATAGACGCTTTCAGTGCGCGCAAGGTTGAGCCGCCATAGCCGACCTTCTCTTGTCTCCCCGAGATGCCGAGCCACTGAAGCGGGCGTTGACGTGTCCTCACAAAGGCCTATGCTGGGGAGAAGGACACAGTAGCATCTAAAATGGCAATAACCTGTCCTGCTGTGGTAATGAAGAAGTCGAGCGAACGGAATAAGAAAGAACAAAAACTGAAGGTCGGTAATGGTGGCGTCCATGCACAGCTACCTGAAAGCGTCTATAAGCAAGCGCACGTAGAAAAAAAAAGTAAACGGCGCCGTTAGTTGCTTCAAAACGCAAACGAAGATATAAAAAAAAAGAAGAAAAAACTACATCCAACCGCGGATTCTGAGCACGTGGCTCGCAGTGCAGGCTGCGTCGCCTGGAAGTGAGCCTAGTGGCGGGGGTGCGTGGCCTACTCCGATGTGTTTACGCCCTTCGCTCGGCGCTCCCCAAGCTTCGGCAGTGCGCCTCTTAGTGCGCTGAGAGCTCTCACCGCCATCTTTGCTCGCTCGGCGCGTGCGGCGCAAGGAAGCTCGCCGACTAGTAGCAACTAAAGCGCGCTCTCAGCCAGCGCGCGCTTTAGCTGCTACTAGCGGCGCACAAAGAGGCGCTCTGCCGACGCTTGGGAAGCGGCGAAAGAGGGGCGTAAACACGCCGGAGTACGCCACGCACCCTCGGCCCTAGGCTGGCTTGCAGGCGGCGCAGCCTCTATCGAGAGCCACGTGCTCCTCTGTTCGCACTTTATTTTTCCCCAATAGTACCTTGATTTATGCCTGGTGAGGTTCCTGGGTCGCAAGTTGTATTGTAATATAATTAGCAACGTACTGAATTTAAATATAAAGTATATTGTCCACCCCCCGTTGTATTTTTATATTTTTGCTCTAGTTTACATTTATGCATTACACGCGTATTGAGGTTTGTCTAGTTGGGTGTATCCGCATTTATATTGTATTATTTATTTTTCGGCCCTCGGGACTGCAAAATATCCTTAGCCCAAAAGTTTGGAGACCGTTGCTCCAGATTGTACGCATTGTAACAACGTTTTCTTTCGCTGTTTTTTTTTTTTTTTTGCTATTATGTTAGTTTGTTAGTCTATTTTGAAGCCTTAATTGTACACTGCCAAATTTGCTAGTTTGTTAGCCTAATTTATTTTGAAGCCTTAATTGTATACTGCCAAATTTGAGGGTTTTATGTGCCAAACAAACGAAGGGTATCTGGCACGTTAGCATCCTCGATCATCCGCACCGGGGCACCAAGGTGCTCCCCGTCGTCTTCGATCGAGTGCACCGGTGCGCACCGGACGACCTCGATCGACGGAGCGCAGCCTCCCGGTGCGGCTTTTTGTTGCCCCAACGCGCACCATAAAAATTGACGGAGCGCCGGGGTGCAATCCCATCAGGCATTGCGGCCAGGAGTGGCAATAGCAGACGTGCAGTCTATCAAGGTGGCACCCTTCCGAAAACTAACATGCCTCGCAGCTGCACTCGATGAATTCCTCAGCTCTTCTGAGAGCGAGGACGACGAGCTACTGACCATCGCCACGATAACCGGTGATTGCTGCGGTGGTAAGGAGCGCCCGGAAGTTATGAACTTCGTGGAAAGCGTTGTGAGGCGTTTCGATGATACCTAAGGTACGGTTATTATCCGGTGGTAGTCGTTCTCGAACCAGCAATGATGGGCAAAATACACCTGTGTGTCATCCGCTTTGTGAACCCAGCGACAATCACGTCCACAATGTTCCTTTGTGTTTGACCGCTAAATCTGCGAGTAAAAAAACCGGGAGAAAATGAAAGTAGGCTGGCAACGCGGGCGGACGCACGCAAGAAAAAAACGAACAAAACGCGGGGTGACGCATGGCGGCGGTCGCCGCCGCGTTGCACCGGCGCGGCGCAGCTTGTCCTCGATGTTGCACCGACTTCGCGCTGCACGACCGAGGAACGCTGTGCACTGTCCTGTTCCAAGGGCAGTTCCGGTGCCAATTGATCGGAGATGCTTTGTAAAATCGCGACAAAATTACCGATACCAGAAGCGATGACTGTTCGTTAAAACCGCTTCACTGCACTCTTACTGCGTTTGTGGGGAAGCCGCCTTTTTGAGTGAGTGAACGGGTACACCCACCCTCCAAGTATCACGTGCGGAGAAAGCCGCGTTACGTTCGTATTCATAATTATATTACGTGAATTAAAACAAGCAAGTATAACTACAACTTACTGAAATTAAAATCGTCTTTTGCGCCACGCGACCGAACGGTGTCACCTCTGTTAAGGCCCGTTCACACTCTTGCGACCTCTTAAACCTGGGTTCCTTAAAACTTCTTAAACCAAGTGCAGTGATGTGATTGCTGCGCCAATTGCGCCAAACTGCGCCAAGGGGCTAACCCTGCTACATCCTGCTACATTTTGCCAAAATATGGATAATCTGCGCCAAGCCTGCGCCAAAAAAACAATTTCGGTCGCCTTTCAAAACCGAAATTAAACTGACTATACCGTAACTGAGCATACATCTGTTATGTGGCGCAAGCGGCCGCCCGACTCTGGTCTTGCATGGTTTTCCCGTCGTCTCGCGATTCGCGCTCTCGTCGTCTCGTGGGTCTCGTCTCGCGTCTTTTTTAAAAACTATAAACTTTCAAAATATTACACGATAGACACGGGTGTGTGTGGGCGCTCCGACGCTAGCGTGCCGGGTACCAGCCATGCCGTCATGCTGTGAAACGAAACCACATTTTTAGGAGTTACTTTGTGAGCTGAAGCACTCGCTTCTGAAAGCAACGGCCGTGGGAAAAGTATATTTCGTCTCTGCCTTCCAGTCACCGTGGTCGCGCGACGTCGGGTGTTGCAGCCCCACGTCGCTGCAGATATGGCGCTTTCTGAAATAAAACTAGGTACTGCCGCATGCTCATCAACATTCCTGTTCTTGTTTAAATCATACGTTACTGAAAAAATCCCTCTTTAACTCAGAGACTGCTGTGGCGAAGTATTGATTACCTAGGTTTCTCTCGGCGGGCATTTTTTCGAGAGGGACCTCGGTACGTGAAAAATCTGGCGTGATAGAAAGTTGGTGAAGGGAAGTGAGCTAAAGCAAAGAAGGCAATATCTGCACGCTGAACCCGCACTGCACGCTTGTTTGTCCCGAGTTCAGTCGTTGCACAAAGCGGTCCAAAGAACGTTTTGACTCGCGATGTCTTGCATCGACGCGCTCAGGTTATTTTTTTGTGTATGTTTAGCTTGCATTTTGTTGGCCGGCTTGGCAAACACGCGCCGCTGGACCGTTTTTGGTCGTACGCTCGAAAGTTAAATTTTGCCTTTTGATTTCGGGAATCAGTTGGCGACGGAGCGGAGTGGCATGGTTTCGATTTTGATCGAACAGCCGTTGTCTCCGCTTGCGCGATGAAGTACTCGCAACTACAAGCCTGCAGAAGTTGCTGTGCATGCGAACATGATTGCACGATAGACGCACGGACCAGAGCTCTGGCCGGGACGCTTGCAGTCCATTATTTGACGTTTGCTTATTTTTGGCGAATATCTGGCACGTCGGGAACCAGGAAAACGGTAACAAGTGTTTTTTAATTGCTTGGCAACGCCTACAGTACTGTATCCATTTGTCTCTGCAGTAAAAGCACAAGCAGCGAGTTCCGTCACAACACATCACATCAGAACACAACACAAATCCCTTCGTTTCTACAGCACTTAGAACGAATATATATGGGTGATTTCATCTCAAATCGGGCAGGCTAGAAGTGTCTAATTTTTAATTTTCACGAAAAAAAAAAAAATGTTTTTGGGGGTATTTCTCAAATGAAGGAGGGCGCAAACCGCACGTTCTCCCGATTTTTTGTTCTCGAGTTACGAGCCGTAGAAGCCGCAGTGGCAGAAACTAGTGTTTTTGCCTGCCGTCGCAGGTCGCGTGTTTGACACCCTCTGCTGACGCTATTGTTTTCTCTACACCCTTTTAACTTTTCCCCCTCATTTAACAGGTATTATAAAGATACCTTGATGTATTCAAATAGTTTTAGGAATTTGATTGTTTTCTGAAAAAACATGTCAAACTCGTCACTCCGGTCGCTTTTCGGTCAAATTTGACACGTCAATACTTTGTCTGTACTTAAGGTAAATTTTCTTTATTTGGCTCTACAGAAAGCCCAAGGCAAGCCTATTATAGATATAATAATATCATTATTATCTGCCGAGTAGCCGCTCTGCTAACTTCCCGTAAACGTTGTGAAATATAACAAATGTTCACACATTTCACGCGATTACGGCTCAAACAGAGGACATACAACCAAAATATTACATTTCTAAACTGTTTTTTCTTGTATTCGACTAATATGTCTAAAAGAATATAAAAAATAAAAATTTACAAAAATGGGGTTTTTGAGAAAATCGACCTCAAACTTTCAACATTTGTTATTTCTTACAACGTTTACGTGAAGGTAGCGGAGCGGCTAGTCGACAGATCATAATGATATTATTATATCTATAATGGGCTTGCTTTGGGCTTTCTGTAGAGCCAAAGAAAGAAAATTTACTTTAAGTACAAAGTAATGACCTGTCAAATTTGACCGAAAAGCGACCGGAGTGACGAGTTTGACATGTGTTTTAGAAAACAATAAAATTTCTAAAAATATTTGAATACATCAAGGTATCTTTATAATACCTATTAAATTAGGGGTAAATTTAAAAGGGTGTAGAGAAAACAATAGCGTCAGCAGAGGGTGTCAAACACGCGACCTGCGACGGCAGGCAAAAACACTAGTTTCTGCCACTGCGGCTTCTACGGCTCGTAACTCGAGAACAAAAAATCGGGAGAACGTGCGGTTTGCGCCCTCCTTCATTTGAGAAATACCCCAAAAACATATATTTTTTCGTGAAAATGAAAAATTAGACACTTTTAGCCTGCCCGATTTGAGATGAAATCACCCATATATATATTTTTTTGTAAGGATATCTGCTCCAAAGGCCACATTTGCTGCTCCAAAACGCTGTTTTGGCTGCTCCAAGAGGTGCTCCAAAACAGCTTAGGCCAATCACATCACTGCAAGTGTAAACTCGGCGGTCCGGCATATTTTTTTTATTTCTCGCGCATTGTCCTTTCTTTCTTGGCTCGAAAAACTTTTGTCAATGGTATAAACGCGTCTTTCCATGGGTATTACGCACATTTGACCTCGGAAATCCCGCAAAACCTTCGCTCTTGTGAAATGCAGTTCCAGGGTCACGGCATAGATGGCGCCACAATGCCAGTGTGTTCCCTCATTCTAAAAACATTTAAGAAGTTTTAAGAGATCTCGTCTCTCTCAGTCGTACTCGGTCGCAAGAGTGTGAACGGGCCTCTAGCATTTCATCATACACAATCCACTGACGTAAACTAGCGTCGTCAGCGTCCCTCAGCCCGTGTGTGGAGCGTCAGATATGGCTTGGCGCGGGTCGGGGGTCCACTAACGATAGCGTCATGCGCAGGCCTGGTCTTCTAGGTGGTATGAATGGGGCAAGTCGCCCCCCCCCCTCCCCCCCCCCCCCCCCCCCTCTCACATAGCTGCCGGTGCACTTGCTTCCCAGGTGAACAGGCCGGGGTTCAGGTCCATGGTGGAGCAGAACGAGGAGGGTGTTGCTCGGCTCTTCAAGGACTGGTCGGGCGTCCTGGAGGTGTCCATCAGGAAGCAGGTCAACGTTTCCGGGAGGTATCTGCACATCCTCGTGTCGGCCGTTGGCAGGGACTGGCAGCTGTGGTACCTGGAGGAACTGCTGCTCCAGCCCTGGATCGGCGAGGCCGTCGAGAAGGGAGACCTAGAGCCTTTCCTTAGTGCCTAGTCGTGGTCGCTCTGATCTCACTGTTGCCTGTTGAATCACGGCTCGGAGCCTTTGGTGCGAGGCCTCCCGGCTGCCATCTTATAAGTACGAAGATGTCCGTCTTTGATCTTTTTCTGCGTTCGTAGTCTGTTGCCTTAACCTCATTCTTGACTGTTAGATCTCATTTCGGAGCTCTTGGTGCGAGGCTTCTCTGCCGCCATATTTTCAGTACCAGTACGTGAGAAGTTTGTTGTTCATTTGGGTGTGTTGATGGGGCAAGTTCGTAGCTGCCCGTCAGTTCGCAACATAATAATTTGTTAACGAAGAGTCGGGCGAACTAAGATCTTACCAAAGGGATATAAAGTGCCTGGTGTCCTCCTCTCGGAGGGCGGAGACCATCTCTCGTTAATTAAATGTTTTTTAATGGCTTTATTACATATCTAGTCTTTATAGTTGTTGACTCAATTCTCTGTCACTGCCAATTGTACAAGTGCTTTCACACCGCGGTGGCCTCAATTTGCGTCGCTATCACAAAAGATCTGTTGCTTTGCAGTTTTTTTTTTGCTTTTTCAGTGTATCCCGTTGACCAAGTATTTTCATAATAAAAGTGGTTTCTTGTTTGGCATTGTTGGTATATTCACTTCACTGTAAACATTAAGAAAGAAAAAAAAAAGGTTTTACGCATGCGCAGTGGTTACGTCTTATGGACAGGGTGGTGTCTCCGAAACGGTTTTCTAAAGGGTCCTGTCATTGGTGTTATGGTGGGCCCTAATCTGGGAAAATCCCAAACACACACACACAAAATTACTGTTTGTTTATGAATTGCGATACAATTCGTCATGAGACTCACGTAGCAGCTCACTGTCGATATCGCGATGCAAAGTTTGAGTAAACACTCTGTTTTGTGAATGAGTTACAGCGCAATAATTGACGTCAGCTTGACTGCTGCGCGCCACGTCGAAATTGAGTGATTGCTTCGTCTCCGTAATGTTTAATGTTCAAGTTGTTTCCCCACCATCATTGTAGCCGCGCATGTGTCTTCTGTCTTTGTGTAATCGTTTAATGTTCAAGCTGTTTCACCACCATCATTGACCATGTACCAACTAGCTTAACTCAAACCGACAATTGCTTTCGTAGCTTGGGCGCAAATTTGAATGCGTGCCTACTACCACTCCGTGTATGCGCGCCGCAAGTTTATCTGTTCGCTAGGACGACGTTGTGGACGACATCCTAGAGGACTATATCAAAGACGACGTCTAGGATGACCTTTAGGACGATCTCGAGGATGATCTCTAGGACGAGCTATAAGACGACCTGATAGACGGCGTCCTAGAGGACGTGTAGAACTACCTCGAGGGTGATCTCAAGAGCGACCTCTAGGACAACCTCAGGAACGACGCCGCGTGTATGCAAACGTTTTGCGTATGTGCGGCGCAAACGCGCGCCGCGTATACGCACGGCGCATTCGAGGCCAGATCTCGTATCGTGAAAACCGGGTAAAATAAAATATGCTATCGCATAAAAAAAAAAAAAAAGTTGATTACTTTGATAATTCCGAGGCGCACAAGTTCTGTTGTGCGTGCATTGTGCGCGCGTTATGATTTTTTTTTTATGATTGGTTGCCGAGAGCTGTGGGTGGTTATGGACGCGTTGCACGCACGACAGAATCGTGCTGCGTATTTACAAGAATGTTTGAGACAAGTCTATATTTAATCAGGACCCGTGACATGAGATCGCGGGGAGCTAGGCTTCGCCATTAGCGCTCACCGACAGTTGCCGGCAGGCTCCGGTGGGTCATGCTTAGTTCATCTGCTTGCACCCACGTTTGCATTGCCCTCGTGACTCCGAAGAATGACGATGAGCCGCGGAACTCGCTGCGCCGGTTGATAAATTTCAGCAATGGTGATTATGTAGTCCTGCATAAGTATGATGGAGTGTGATTAATTATGCGTACATCTATTTATGTATTATATCCTCCAGGTTAAGAATTAGAGGGGATGTGGGGATTTGGGAATACAAACATAATGAAAAAGTTGTATAGGCTCAAAACAAGAATAACAATGAACTAGTACTGCAAAGGGACCAAGAAAACCAAACTGTGCTTCGAGGGGCGTTCCTATGCCAAACACGAGCGTTCAGTGACATTGGTCTTGAGCGTCGCATAATGGCTACATAGAATTCTAGAGGTAAGACTGACTGAATGAGGTGCGCGTGAGCACCTCTGATCCTCTCAAGCGCGTGATTCTCACTCACTTTGCATGGAACACTCGTAAATCGGTGGGTTGTTCGCATCTTCACAACTCGATGTTAATTCCAACCATTTGGAAGATCGCGCATAGTTGTTGCACGCTCTTGTCGTTTCGGCTTTTCTATTCGTTCAGACCAATGGCGTCATCAAAAATATTAAATGTGTTCAAAATTATAAATTTCTGTCACCTATTGTGTTCAATATACATCAGATTTCTTCTTTAGTTCATTTTTAACTTGTTGCTAAAGTTTCACAACTAGTTCAAGCGCAATTAAAAAGAAAATGGCCAGAAACGTTTTGCAGGGTCCCTTTAACCTCCCGAGACCGTGTCCACCAGTGTGCACATAGGGTTTTGAATTGTTGAAAAAAAAAAAAACGGCGCCGCACACAGGAAAGAACTCCTGTCCACCGTCATGGACATAGTCTGTGCTGCCATCTGGAGGAGTGTTGAGCAAACAGCACTGAAAACAACTGGTTGCTCGCTATTCCCAATGGCGACCTGGAGCACTCGCACGTTCTACGGGTGACGCCAAGATATATAATCAGTTTACGTGATTTACACATACGAAGGCTGTGTTAATTTATATTTCTAGTGTTTTTGAAAGTTCACAGATGGTTAATAATGCTTAATATTGACAAGAGTATTAGTATGGGTTGCGGTAGTCGCTTGTCAAACTGTGTCCTCGTGGGTGGACACTGGGACCCAAAAGTTGTGACATGAATTTCACGATGACCATGTTTTGCTGACCATCAATGTCAAGCATTCGTGAAGTGAAAACAATTGGTTTGATTGATTGTTTTCAATTTTTGTGGACTAACAACAAGTCAGGCGAATGCCATTTTAGACAGGGTGTGCGGTGCCACACGTTCCGTGCAAGAGAGTCAAGCCGCTGCCAAGCTTGCTAGTCAGTGCGGGGCAGGCACCTCACATGGCGAAGAAAGGCGATATCAAGAATGCTGCTAGGAGCAGGTACCCTGGCCGCTCAAAAGAAAACTCCTCACCGTTGCACGTCCTGTGATATCTTCCTCTGCATTGAAACTGACTGGCACTGCTTCTTTGAATTTCATACGAAGAAATGAGCATCATTTTTTTGCCGGAATCACTCCAGACTTGTTATTCTTACGCTCGAAACCTAACTTGCAAAACTTAACTCACAAAATGTTGAATAAAAATGTGTTAATTTTGCTGATTTGAAGTGTAAAGTCCCACTGTCCCTGTGGGTGGACATCCATTTTTACTAAACCTGCAAACTAACACTGCAAAAAAAAGTAAAAAATGCTCAAACTTACCTTTAACCAAGCAACTAAGGGTATTTATTATTAAATACCTATGCCGGATTTTTCTCGGGTCCCACGAGGTTATACCTACCAGAATCTGATTGTCGATATAGAATGGGAAGCGCGGTCCCAACCCCAAAAGATTTTGGAAAAAAAAAGGTGAAGAGGGGTGGTGATTTATGTGAGTTAGTAACAGTTAAACATGAGGAAAAACAGCCTCAGATAAACAGGGACGAAGAGCGGCTAAAGAATACGTCAAGACAACGGCTGACTCGCAACTGAAGTTTATTGAAAGAAAAGTGAACCAAAGGAACATGTTAAACAGATTACAGAGGTACAGATAAAAACACACGCCCACCAGGCGACCAGATGTGCAGATGCATCGCCTCAAAACTTCGCACTTGTGTTTAAATGCAGATACAGTACCCCCCTCTCAGATAACGCCACCGATGGCTCACTGATACATCTGTCTGCCATCGAAGAGATAATGAACGCTTCAATTATCTCGAGTCATTTTTTCCCTGTGTCTGCCCACATCAGTTACGTCACCAAAAAAGGGAAGACAAGAGCAATCTCTGCAATGTAGCAGTAGAAGTCCCCCTACCGTTGCTTTAAGGGAGTACGCGTGCTCTCTCAGCCTGTCGTTCAAACACCTTCCTGTCTGTCCGACTTATACCCCTGTTACACGGGCACACTTAACCGCGGTTAACTCAGCTTTAAGTGCGGTTACGTGGCAGCACAGATGCCGCACTATGCCCTCGGACAGCTATTTCAAAAGAAGCGAAGAGAGCGCGTGCACTGCTTTGATGGGTGCTCAAGATGCTCAAGCGCACGTTCGCCCATAGCTTCGACTGCATAGCCGCAGAATGTAATCGGCAAGTATTGTGCGCTAACTGTGGCTTAGCTTAACTGCAGTTAAGTCCGCCCGTGTAACAAGGGTATTAGTATCTTCCACAAGATAGGGGTATTCAGTACACGACACCCCGTTGTACATGGCACAAACGGTGCTCGGTGCCTCTTTTGTGCACTTAGCTTGCAGACGTTTTTCCGCGCCCCCTGCACTAACCCTCGCGCATACCTGACTCATTTTGTTTTTGTGGCGCTGCAAACGCAACAGGGTTTTTCATCATGTTTAAAAGCAAAAGTGGTTTTACATCTGGGCATTGTCAACCTCACACTTAAGTTAAAGACGTTAAATATATGTAGGCTGGAGCTTTTTGACAGGTTATTGTAAAACATTTTATGAATGATGAGAGATCATACGCCAGATGGAAAGAAGTAATAATGAGAAATTACCTTTGACGAGACACTTGACGGAACATTGCTTGTTGTGGGCTATGTGCGCTTTCCATTGCAACGGTTTTTCGCTGCACGAGTGTAACGCTTTTCGCATGAAATACAGCCATTCAGCACGCTGTGTTACGAAAGTGAGAGACAGAAACGAACGAGATGAACGGGGGGGGGGGGGGGGGGGGGGGGAGGAGAGAGAGGAGGAGGAAAGAATGGAAAAATATCAGTGTTGGGAAGTGCTTTAGTACATTCCACTTAGAGTCAGTGTTGGGTTAAGGTCGTCTAAAAAGTACTTGAAGTATAAAGTAAATGAGAGGGTACGTACGTCAAATAAAGCAAGTACACCGGGCGCAATGTACAGTCGGGGACAAAAGTCTCCAGGACACGCGAGCTGCGACTGAAACGCATTGTTCTGCCATCTGCCGGCGGGTCGCCTGGCTTCGAGATGACAGAAAAGCGCATGCGCGTCCTACTGTGCGTGCCAACATGTGCGCTTTCCCGCTCTTCTGCGGCGCGGCGCCTAACTCGGAATCGGGCGCGGGGGTACCGCCTCGGAGGTAGCGCTTACTGACATGGCACCTATAAAGCAAGAAGTCATGGCAGCTCAACTGAGCAATAAAATCAACTGGTTATAAAGCAAGGTGCGCTGACACGGCGAAATGCAGCGCAATGCCCCAAGCGGTATCTCGAGTTTTGGAATATGTAGCAGGCGCTCGTAAGCCGCCAGCGCTATCTCCGAGGCGGTACCACGCGCCCGATTCCGAGTTAGGCGCCGCGCCGCAGAGGAGCGGGAAAACACACCAGAGTAG